TAGGCCTTATAGAAAAGGCCATTTTGCTACCAGTGGGCAACCTTGGCTATGAAAAAGATGGTTTGATACTTTGCTCAAATCTGTTAATGGTGAAATACTTTGCAGGCCTACTGGGAAATAAATCCCATGGAGTTGAGTGAGGCCTTCTTCCAGGGAGCTGAGTATCCTGGGTATATAGAGCAAGAACCAAATTCTATCCTGGAGAACTCTACTGAGGAAACATTCCAGTGTTGAGCAGGGCCAAGTCAAACAGGGTGTTGCCAAAATACCAGAAATCTCACCATACTGTAGTTCATAGTTCTTACTGCCATTAACTAAGCCTCACAGTTCAGGGCTTTTCTACTTGTGGCTTTTAACTTGCCACTTTATTGAGACTTCCTGCCTCTGGATTCTTTGCGTGACTAAAACCAGCTCCTTTACACTGTTTTTGTATGCTGGGGTTTCTTTCTCCACCTTTCTATATGTTCCATTACACAACCACTAGATGATGCTGTGGTATAGGGCAATCACATAAACCTACAATGGTTTTAGGCCACCATTCACTTATAATACAGACTTTCTTCAATCTGAAAAAAAAAAACAAACCCATAGAAATAGTTGCAAACCACAAGAGAGGCCCTGCAGGACAAAAGCAAAGCAACTGAGTAAAGTAACCACAAACTACTGTCAGTGACAAATCACAAGTATGTAAGAAATACCTTGTGTCAAAGGGGGTAGTGGCCATTCGGAATATCCCAGAGGGCCAGATTATCCTTGGCCTTGAAGACCTGTACCTTTGGTGTATAGGATTGTAGCCTAAATGATCCACTGACATACTGGTTGGGTTCACACATCAAAATGGGCAACCCTGTGTGGTTACCATGGTTCAGGCTTGTTCTAAACCCAAGAAGCCTGAATTGCCTATTCAAGGCCGAACCGCCACCTCTAAACATCCACCACAACCACAGCCAAAACACCTTTGCATTACAGCCATGGAAAATATGTGCTTGGCTGGAATCTCGTTTTTTAAAGCTTGTGTTTTAAATTGTGCTTATCTGAATGGTTAGGAGAAGCTGCTTGTGCCTGTAACAGCAGCTTGCTGTGTGATGCTTGCAGGTATGCACTTTAACTTCTGGGTCAAGCGAAGTTTCACCACTTTTGCTGATCAAGCTCCTGTTTGGCCACAAGAGTAGGTGAGGCTGGCAAGTTCAGTTGGTCAATGGCAAGCCTTCCCTAATGAAAAGGGGGTGGGGAGGAAGGAGGCATGTCTGCCTTTTGCTCTCTCCTGACCTTGCGTGGACCTGCCACACCAACAGGTAATTGTACCCATTTTATGCATAAAAATAATTCTCCTGAAATGCACAAGCCTGCTAATGACAAGTGGGAAAATCTTTCAGCTCGAACATCAGCAAGCTAGCACATTTCAGGAAAAGCCAGTGCAACAGTGGCGGTGCCGTTGCGTGTTGCTTTGATAAAAGGATGGGACATGTGACTGACCCTTCGGCTTTCTTCCCCCTGAACTCTTAACGTTGCAGTGCAGTGACTGTCTGAGGACAGAGGAGTGAAACCCCTTTTCTGTGATGATTAAAGAGCTGGCTCGCAGGCAGTGACGTCCGCGTGTGCTCGTTGGGCAGCAGAAGGCTGCTCTTCCTTTGTCTTCTGTCTGGGTGTATTCCAGGAAGCAGCAGGCAAGCAGAGTTTCAGAGGGCGAGTGGGAGTAGAGGAGCTAATGCTTTTCCAATGGTCTTTACGCACCCTGCTTTTATGCAAGCAAATAGTCCAGAGTGACCTAACTTTCAATTCAAAGGGGGAGCCAAGGGCAGCCTCCACTTGCAGTCAAGCTAAATACTTCTGTAATTAAAATCTTGTCACAAATGAGAATGTGCAACAACTCCAGAAAGGCCTGCGCAAAGGGTCTATGGCCTATGAGACAAATGTGAGGACTGAATCATTCACACAAACTCTGGAGATCCAGATTGCACACAGCCAACGGACCAGAGCAGATTATTGCCCTGCCTGCAAAGTATTTTCCATAGGTGCTCAGTTTCTGTAAGCAGAACCTACAGCCAAATATTACAGTGTGAAATGCTTAGTTCACATTATCTTTTCCAGATCACACTATACTGTTTGTCTGCTTTCCCCTTTCCAGCTTCCAATGTTCTGACATGTTACGATAGTTTGGGAGTTCTCCCCTTGTTTTTATCCTTTGGGGGGACATTGTTGCCAGCCTGGGGGTCTCCCCAAGGCTGCTGACCTGTGGAGGTGCTGTTTTCGTGATGGAGAATGAATTGACTGTTAGTATACAGGAGAGCTTGTGCTGCAGCTGGAGTATTAGTGGCAGCTGAAGCCTGACTTGCAACTAAACCTCAAAGGACGGCTTGGGTCAGCAAGGATAACAGACGTCTCTCCTCCAGTGTGGCGAGAGCTTGCCATTTCGGGAATCCTTGATGCAGGATTACCTTCTGGGGGCACCTCTAAGTAGGTCATGTTGAGCGGCTTGTCAGGAGATCTCCGAGAGCTGCCTAATGACATATGGATGGGGCCTTGCATGTAAAAGTGCCTTTTATTGTCCTTTGATGCTGCTGAAACGCTAAAGAAAATTGAATGCCCTCCACTAATCATTGAAGGTAACTAGAATATGTGCTTTTCATCAGATGCCAGCCTCTTGCACATTGCAGATTATGGACATTCATTCTATAGCAAATTTTGACTTGATTCAATGAGAGTTAATCAGTTAACTGGATGAGTTTTAATCAATTAATATAGTGAATATTTGCTTCAATTTGTATATGGGTGAAATCAAGTATAATGTTGTTATTCTAGTTATTTAGTAATAACTAACCAACATCCCTTTAATTTTGGTAGGTCTGCTCTAAGCCTGGAAGAATATCCAACCCAATATTTCTGAATCAAAAAGCATATTTCCTTGTTTTTAAACAATAAACACACATCATAGCTGGTCTCATCTTAGAAAAGACATTCCCTTCTGTAAGAGAGGTGGTTGGGATGGGGAAATGCCTCTTTTAAGATGTAGCTTCAAAAATCATTTGTATTAAAAATAATAAATTATTTTTCCCTCAAAAATTTGCACTCTGATTAATCATGGCATCTTGCTTATTGCAAAGATCAGTTAGTCTTCCGAGTCCCACAAAACCCTTTGTTGCTTTTGCTGCAGCAAACTAAGATGGCTGGATCCCCCCTGGAAACTATCTCTAGAATGCAGAGTAGAGAGAACTGTGGGGTAGCATTAAAAGTCAGGTAGGTAATGCTCTCTAGTACAGCCATCTGTAACTCGATGGCCTCCAGATGCGTAGGACTGCAACTGCTTGCTATGGCCAGCCGCGTTACTGAGGGCACCAGGTTGGGGAAGGCTGACATAAATAGCCTGCACACCCGCAGAAGAGTGGCATGCCCTCTGCAATACCCTTTTCCCCAAAGAAGCAGCTCTTGCCGTTTTCCTTTGTTTAGGTGAACAGCACAGCCTCAGATATAGATAAACCTCATAGGAGCATTCTCAGCATGCAGGCAGGGTCAGAGTGAAGGGTCAGGAGCTACCTTGCCACCAATGACCCCTCCTGTTTCTTTGCAAGCGATAAATAATACCACTTCACGCTGCAGATGCTGAGAAACATTTTGGAAATGTCAACAACATTTGCAGGAGTGTTTCTGAGATTCCCTGACAAAGGCTGGATAGATAGAAGGGCAAAGTATGATTATATTGTTAATTGTTGAATGTAAACAAGAGGCAGTCTAAAGAATGTGGCTAGCTACACAGCCTAATTGCCAGGCTGACTCATGTCATTATTTTGCCAGGATGATTGCTGTCAGCTCCGTAGAGGGAAGGCATCACCCCCAGCTTTGAAGAGGCAGTGAAAGCAGCTCCATGGCTGTGGCCCACAGTAGGAACAGTGGCCACATTTCAGCACATGCCACTGGGGTTTGGGACAACTGGCCATTAAATGGATCTTGCTAGAACCTGAAGGGCTTTTGGAGGCCAGCCATCTGGTACTGCCTGGCTGGAAAGTGGAATGTGCTGCCTGGGGAAAGGGTTGTTTGCAGCTCTTACAATCAACTGAATATTCTCCTTTCTCTTCTGATTTAGTGCAAGCAATTACTGGCCTGCACCACATCAGAAGACAAAAGAAAATATTAATTGCATAGTTATTAGCCCATGCTATTTGGGAGCCATCTGGGGTTTCCACAACCATGCTTTTGTGATGGGGCCTTCAATCGGGCAGGATGTTATCGGCCGTGCTGGTTAGGGATGATGGCAGTTGTGGTGCAACAGATCTAGAAGGTACCAGGTTGGAGGAGGCTGTAATGGACTAGAACTAGCAAAGGAGGTGTCGAAACAACTAGTCCCGATTGTTTCCACAACATTCATTGCTTCTTCTATCTGCCTCTCAACCCCTCCTTTTGGAAGTCATATAGAGATCCATCTATAGATTCTGATCTACCTTCTGACCACCTCTGGACTAGACTACTGCTACACGTCTGGCATGAGGGTGTCTTTATTTTTAAGCTTTTAACAGGGTTACTCTGACATGCTGAATGTATTTAGAATAATGCGGGCTCCACTATGCTGGCTCACCTAGTGCCCTCAACACGCTTCTTCCTCTGCCAGGCTCTCTCTTTCCTGATTGTGCTGAGCTTCTGACTACCCCTCCAGTCAGTTCCAGCTTGCCACCATCTCCACAATGCTTCAGAGAGCTAGTCACAGTGTCATTCCAGAGCATTGTGGGAAATAATAAAATCATGGTTTGTAGCCACATAGCAAAGGGAGCCAGGCTTCCCTGACAATGAGCACTGCCAAATGCAATCTGTCAAAGGACCGTGCTGTCTGTACAAAGGCGCTGGGTGCACAGCCTAGCTCTGACTTATGGTCATAATCTGGGCAAAAGCAGCCGCATGATAACTTTCCCATGTGCTGAACTTTCTACACATCCACCAAATCCATTTTCCAAAGGAACATATCAATTGGCTCTTCTTTTTCTTCCTCTTGAAGCCCTGTCCTCCACCATGTCGACCGTGAGAAGTTTAACCTCAGAGATGCTATCTCTGTTTATACAAATTAAAAAGAAGAACTTGGCTTTCTGAATATTGTTTATTTAGATCACTCTTCAGCCAGGTTGGCAATCTGAACAGAACTGATATTTCCTCCTTCTTAAAAACTGATGTGTATTGTATTCATTAAATGCTTCCTTTTTATTCCAGGGATTGAAGTTGCTCAGGGTTCTTTCTTTCTTGTAAGCCACAGTCTTCAGTTAAAAAAAACGGTGACCCAGCATGGATATTTGTACACTATCATAGGGTTCCCTAGATGCAAGTCACATGATTGCAATGCATTAGATGTGATAAATTAGACAGCCGATCATAGTCCAACAAAAGGGAAATGTGGATCTTCAGACATACTAGATGCTCACTTATATATACCTATTTAAACATAGATACCTCTTAAGAGAGCAGGTTTAGGAAAGCAAACCTGATACTGTGAATGAAGTTTTGGTGGGAATCCAACATGCATGGCCCATTCCTGAACAGGACCTTGGAATTTCCATTACCCAAGCAAATATCCAACAGTGCTTCCAGACCAACTGTGTCTAGCACTACTGATCAAAAGACATTATGCAAAGATTCAGTCTTTCCTTCCTTAATGGGGTTTCTGAAGTAAGAAAAAACGATGGAAGATACGGTGGGAAGATATGGGAGAATTATAGATGGAAGATAGATGCTCTAGGAAATTGCATGAATGAAATTGCACAATAAAAGGCTTGTCCAGAAGTATTCCTACTTAAAATCAGGGAAGGCTGATAACATTTGGGACATTCTTTCTTTAATTTGGCAGGTAATGGCTCCTTATATATCTATCACATCTCCTAAACTCTGGTCTGTTATTAGTTACCATGAAGGCTCAGCTGATGGACTCACTTCTTTTCTTCCCCTTTGAGATGGAAAAGTTTCATTTAAAAATAGCATGTGCAAAGCTGTAGTTAAGCTCTCATACTGCTTTCCTCATATCACCAGAGGAAGCTGTTATGGTAGATCTCCTTGGTGCAGGTGCAAATTTAAAATGCTGATGCTTTTTCTTCCATTGCTGTGTCTCCTGTCCTTGGACGATTGCTGGCTCTCTTAGTCATCGAAACCCAAACAATCAGGGATCCTGCCAAAATTCCAACTGCTACTGCCACTATTACTGCCCAGTAAGGCACTGTGACTCCACTGCTCTGTGCCCCTGTTCCTGAGTCCTGCTTTTCACTGTTTCTTGATGTGAAAATAAAGGGCCATTCCTGCAACGGTAAGAGATGATTTACAGAATAAATATAAGATACATTTAGCCTGCATTTACTTTGAATGACTTCCTACCCTGCAAGTGTAGAAGCAATAAAACAGGTGAAAGACTCTCCTCCCCATTGATATTGGATTCCCTTTCATTTTCTCTATTGCCACACTGCTCTTGCTCTCTCCTTTTTCTGCAACCCCATTCCTTCTGTCGATTGTTCACACAATCAAAAAGCCTATATTGGCATGGGCAGGCAATTTGAGTATTAATTCTGCAACTACAGCTTGTTGTCTCATCCAGACCCAGCACGAGTGGGTTACTGGCATGGTTAACAAACCACCCACAGCCCTAAAGTGAGCCATGGTCTCTTAACTATTCCAGCAACCCACCCTTACCATCTCTGGACAACACAGGAAGCCACAGTTGTGACTTGAATAGTCAAAAGCTACCCAGCATGCACTGCAGCCCAGCATGTCTTAAGTAAGCTCTGGTAGGCGAAAGGGATTGTGCAAAGCTGACCTCTCCCACTCTAGGTTCGTTTGCAAGTTTGCCACAGAGTGGGGGGTTTTGGATAGTCAAGGCATGGCAGACAAGTGCCACAGCTTATCATGTTGTGCAAATCCTGTGAGGGTGGCTTAGGTGAAGGTTAAATCATTCCTGGATAGCCCTGAAGCAGCCCAGTTGGTTAACCCTTGCCTAAGACACCCTTGCCAGGTTCACCCACCACAATAGGCCATGGCTATTCCAAAGGGCCACTGGTATGCGCTGCAACTTACTATAGTTCAAATAAGTCCTGATGGGCTTTGGGGAGAGTGCAAATCTAGTCTCTCCCTTTCTCCTTGCCCAGTGGAATCCTTAAGGAGGGACAAATTGCTCTTGCCAAATGTTTGAGCTTAATGCTTGCAGAGGGCTTTTGAAATAGACCAAAGGGCGCATGTAGCTCTAGGGCCACAGACCTCACACCCCTGCAATAAAATATTATTATTCTATTTGGTACAAGAAACATATTCATTATCCCTCTTAACAGTTTCATAAGCCAGATTTTGTGGGGGTTTTTTGCTTGAGGTCTTTGATTTGCCCTCTGCTGAATCAGCACTGCTTTTAGCACATTCATTTTAAACCTCCAACTGGGAGTAGGCAATTCTAATAAACTTTGGTGAAATGAAGCATTCTTTTTCATGAAAAAAATGAAGTGTTTAGGGACTGAATCCAGGTTAATAGATTTTTCCCAAGTCAGACTTTCCCAACTTTGTGCCCTCCAGATGTTTCGGAATTCAGTTTTCAGGAGCCCCCGCCAGCATGCTCAAGCTTGGGAAGGATACAGATTTTTTTAAAAAATCCTGGTAGTGCCAAGAGCTCTGTTCTTTACCCGTCTTACAAACTGTGGCTTTCACCTAGCAGGCCTGATTTGTGTTATTTGCAAGCAAAAATGCATAACTTCTTTCCTCACCTAGCTCCGTGAGTGCCAGCCTCCCACTGACACCCCTGCCCCACTTTGCACCCCCCCCCTTCTGTCTTCTACTTCTTGAGAAGCGCCACCATTGGCTCCTCCATTGGGACTGGTGCACCTGTGGTTTCCAAAAAACTATGCCACACATGCTCTTCTTGCTGTCCAGTTTTATGTGGGCACCCACATTATTTTCATGCTGCATAAACCCATGAAGGGATATCATTAAGAGGTTAAGCGTTTATTTCAGGGTGGAGAAGGAAATGTAGCAAAAGTAAGAATAACCCATTATTACAGGGTGATCCCATCTCTCCACTGCTGCCCCAACTGTGACTACCAGAATTAGTTCCCTTTTTGGTTGTTGCTATCTTCTCCACAGGCATCCTTGCTTCTTCCATTGTATCAATATTTTCCTCAAAACCCATTTCAGCAGTTTGTTCCTACAATGTACTGCATTATCCAGACTCTAACTGCTATTTGCTCCATCAGGAAAAAGCTGCAGCTGCATGCCAGGGCTTCTTTACATGGGTGTGCTTTGGTGAGTGTGGGAGGGTTAACCTGCTGCTTTACTGAGGCTTCATCTCCCATTTTCATTGCAAGAGGAAAAATGCACTCTTTACATGGTCTCCTGCACTCTTTACAGGGTCTCCTACAGTGGTTTGTATTTCGATATAGCCTTTCTATAGAGTCAGTTAACCCATCACAAAGTGCACTCTGGTATAGCCACTTTTCACAACTTGGCTTTTGTTGCAGGCTTTCCTTGCTGTTAAAAACAAAACAAAACCCTGGCTGGAATGCATGGGGGAGGCCCGGAGGACAATGAAGTTATGGAAAGGTCCTGCAACCTCCTGTGAGGAGTGAGGGATCACGAAGGCACAGAGAAGGCCTTGTTCAGAGGATCCCTTCCCTGATGGGGGGTGAGCAGTGCCTTAAGGGGGATGGGAATGGGGAGGATATTCCCTGGAAAAATGCTCCCTCTCTCCATCTCTCTGTGGGAGAGGAGGGTAAGGGTTAACTCCCTGTCCCAGTTCAACCACTCCCTACACCCCCTTAGTTGCTTAACAAAATAGGTTTGTTGAAGAAATGGGAGATTTGATCATGGTAGCTCATCAAGCCAAAGCTGCTCTTCCACATAACAATTGCCAGTTAAGGGTGTGATTTCTGACTGCGGAGCAAAGAGAGAATATCCCTCTTCCGGCTGCCACTGCCACCACCTTGACTTGGCTTGGTCTCCCCTATTTATTTGAATAGGGCTATCGAAGTTGTCTAACCATGGAGGCCACGTAGTATAATCAGAGGCAGGCTGTCTCTGAATCACAGTAGGAGAACGCGCTTTGACCCATGTCCTGATTGTGGGCCTGCCAGGGACCTCTGGTTGGCCACTGTGGGAAACAGGCTATTGGGCTAGCTTGGCCTTTGGTCTGATGCCACACGGGTCATCTTAACTTCTATCCTCCTCTTCCTCCTCCTCATTTCCATACTGCCCCATGGCTGATGCTTCTGGGCAGTTTACAAAAGATGGGATTAGGATGTTGTTGCAGAACTTTGCTACTTACTGAGTTTGGACACTTGAGTTTCAGCCTGTCATGTGTGAAGTTGTTGTATGACTGCTTATGTCCAACTGGCTCCAGCTGCAAGCAAGAGAAGCAAATGTTTTACCACTGACACTTAATTCTATAATCTTCATGTGACTTCATCTGCCAGAACACACAGTCCCATCGCATGACGCTGCTCTATATTGCAGCACTCCATGATTATACCTACTATATTATTGTAGCACTCTATTTATAGACTACTATATTTATATAATCATGGCTTGGAAAACGCTGCTTCCTTTTACAGATACAGATTTTATTTAAAGGTCATGAAAAGCAGGCTATGAAAAGCCTGCAGGAATGAAATTCACATCTTATCTTCCAAGGCCCCAAACCAACACAGGGCCAGAATATATGGCAGTTGACTTGGTCATTTTCTCTGTGACTGGAGAAGAAACTTATGCAGGTGGAGCCTGGGGAAGAAATTAGGCACATGCAACTTGATCCATGTTTCGCTTGGATTTACTTCCAAGTAAACATGCCTAGAAATGCAGGGTTAGTACTAGCTTCCCGGAGCTAGCCAGAATCACAGAAATGGGCTGGCTGCGATCCAGACAGTGATTCAGCATCACCCCTTGGCCTGTGTGCAAGTTATGAGGTTTGGAGGACAGCCCCTTCTCTAAAACAGGGGAACAGTGTAAAGGAGGAATTAAAGCAACTGTGCCAGCTGGCAGTACTGCCAGTTTTGTTAACCCTTATTATAGGATGCAGGTCTAGCTGCCTGAGTGCAGCCCCTGAAAGAAAACAACCAGTACTTTAGGCACATGGGGAGCACAAGTAGCAGCGCCCATAGAGAGGCTGCCTGCAGGAGGTAGTTCTCAGAAGGCACCCACTGAGGATGGGGTGCCCAAAGGCTCTTGAAAAGCCAGACCTGGCACCTATTAAAGCCGAATGCGCCAGGCCTCTGCTTGGACGGGGCTGTGAGAAGCTCTATGGTAAAGTCATGTTTCGCCCTTCCTCCTCCATGTTGGTCTACCTAGTCAACCCCTCATGTGAGGTAGCTGGAAGCCCCTGTTTTGGCCTGTTAGACATGGGGAGGTGGAAGAGGAAATGTGCCCTCCTTCATAAAGCAAACATTCCTACCTCTGATTTAGGCAACATCGTATTCTTAATTTGGATTTTATTTGGTCAGGTTGCTAAGAAGTTCAGTTACTATTCTTGTTAATTTTAATTATTCTTGTTATTTCATTTGTGATTGTACACACACACACACACACACACGAATGAAGTTTTGCTGGGACTTTAAAACTTAGGAGTGGGCTATTAAATAGATGCAGAAACATCATTTACATTGTTGATACAGAACTTCACAAGCGGTCCACACAATAACATCTTGCATTTGTCATCCTTTTTACTGGTTAAATAAAAGATGCTACAGAGCAGATGCCTGCACCCATAGCTTTTGCATAGCACTAGGATCCATGTCTGGAAGGAGCCTTAGCGCTTGCTTTCAAAAAGAAAAAACCCCTCTTGATTTCAAATGCCCACCAGTCTTCAAGTTTTGCTTGAAGACTGCATATGTCATGACCTGCTCATGAGAAAGAAGTTATCACCTTCTCTACCTGACATGTATAAACTGACACGGCCATTTCTGTTTTCTTTGCAGGAGAATTAGAGCATTCACAAAAGTGCTTTTGCTTTTTGCCCAGGAGGTTTCCTCTGTTTTGCTCTATGTTCCCATATGTTCAGAAACTCCACACAAGGTGGTGCTGGGCTATAGAGCGGAATGATGAAAGAGCAATAGCTTTCTGAAGTTAATAATGGTGCCATCTAGGAAAATACCAGACTTTCCTTTCTCTCTAAAACAACAAAAAAGGGCTGGAAAATGGTAGAAAAACCTGGGAGAGGCTCCAATGGATGGCAATGTTGTGAAAAGGCCCCTCAAACTTCCAAGAGTGAAGGATCATAAGCTCACAATACGTGCCTTGGATAAAGAAGTGTAATATGTTCAACTACACAGAACTGAGGCCAAGTCAGTTGACTTACACATTCTCTTAGCCTTCTTTTTCTTACTCTCGCCCTATTCTTTGGAGCTCCCTCCCCCTCCCTCCCCGGAGCACCTGCCGCGCTGTGCCGCCACCGCTGCCGCCGGACCTGAGGCGCACTGCCGGGCCGGGGGCCAGCCGACGCTGCTTCCGCGGCCACCCCTGGGCCACCCCGGGCACGGAGGATGCCAGGGCCGCCGTTGACGACAGTGCGGAGGAGGGCACCACCATCTCACCGTCGGATGGGTTTCTGCGCCCCTCTCTGCTCCCCCCCTGCCAGCGTCGGTGAGAGCAACACCGGATTGGGGCGGGGCGTGCGGGCGGGTGCCGGCTTAACCTGCCGGACGTGACCTGGGGCTGGCGGTGCCGCCATTTGTGGCCGTTCGTGGCCGTGCGGGGCTGGGCTGGTGGGGGGCTAGGTCGGTGGGTGGAATTTTGTATTGGGGGGGTAGATGGGGAGTTTTTTTACTGTTTTAAAGTTTTATTGTATTTTAATTTGTTTTTATGGAGTCGTTCCTGGCCATGTCGATGGTTGAGTTTCCTGGGGAGCACATGGGCGCTGCCATTGGGGTGGTGGGGGTTTAACATGTCTGCGTAGAAGAAGGAAGGACAGATGGCTGACACCTGTCCCTCCTTCTGATTCTGCCCCCAGCCAGAAGGTTCCAGGTAGTCTTGTCAACCGTCCCTCGGGCCTGACGGTGCTGCTGCTTAATGCCAGGTCGGTCCACAATAAATCTTCCCTCATCCATGACTTGATTGTGGTTGAGGGGGCCGACCTGGCTTGCATAACGGAGACCTGGGCGGGAGAGGGGGGGATGTCGCCCTCTCTCAAATGTGCCCGCCCAGGTATCTGGTTCAGCACTGTCCACGCCCGGAGAGGAGGGGAGGGGGGTTGCTTTGGTTTACTGAGCCTCCACCTCCCTCACGGGTCTTCCAGTCCCTTCGAGACCAGGGCTGGAGTGCCTCTACTTGGTGTTGGGCGATCGAGACAGATTGGGGATTCTGTTGGTGTACCGTGCACCCTTCTGCCCAACAGTCTCCCTGCCTGAGCTGACGGAGATAGTCTCGGACCTGGTGTTGAGGACCCCCAGGATGTTGGTCCTGGGAGACTTCAATCTCCATGCCGAGACTGGTCTGACCGGGGCGGCTCAGGACTTCATGGCCTCCATGACAGCCATGGGGCTGTCTCAACATGTCACAGGCCCGACCCATGAACATGGACACACTCTGGACCTGGTTTTCTCGACGGGGCAGGAAGAGGTGGTCTGAGGGTGAGGAATTTATGTCTGACACCCTTGTCATGGTCAGATCACTTCCTCGTGAGGTTTGTGCTTGAGAGCAGCTTCTCCCTCTGTAAGGGTGCAGACCCGATTGTGTGGGTCCGCCCACGGAGCCGGATGGATCCGGACAGATTCCTGAAGGCCCTGGGGGAGTTTCCGGCTGACAAGACTGGTGCTCCTGTCGAGGCTCTGGTCGAACTATGGAACAGGGAGATGACTAGGGCTGATGACACAATCGCTCCTAAGCATCCTCTCCCGCCAGGCAGAGCCCACTCTTCCCCTTGGTATACATCTGAATTGCGGGCGATGAAGCAGGCCGGGAGACGTCTAGAGCGTAGGTGGAGGAGATCACGGGATGAATCTGACCGAACACACTTAAGAGCCCATTATTGAGCCTATGCTGTGGCAGTGAGGGCGGCGAAAAAGAAATTCATTTCCGTTCCCATTGCCTCCTCAAAATGCCATCAGGCGGAGCTTTTTTGAGTGGTACAAGGCCTGGTCGGCCCTGGCCCTAAGAAAGATCTGGTTCCACCCTCAAAGGCCCGATGTGATGACTTTGCCAAGCATTTCAGGGAGAAAATTGCTCAGATTCATCATGAGCTAGACTCTACTAGTGATTCAGAGGCTTCTGGGGAGATACCAATGTCGCCGTCTGGTCCAAAATTAATGGATGAGTTTCACTCACTGCGGCCTGATGATGTGGACAAGGTGCTTGGACAAGTACGTCTCACCACTTGCCTATTGGACCCTTGCCCGTCTGGGTTAATAAACAACGCCAAGCACGGGATTGGGACCTGGATCTTGGAAGTGGTTAACACTTCTCTGAGGGAGGGTTGGGTACCTGCCCCTTTAAAGGAGGTAGTAGTCCGAGCGGTCCTGAAGAAAGCGTCACTGGATCCAGAGATGGCCACTAATTATAGACCAGTGGCCAACATCCCGTTTCTGGGCAAGGTGTTGGAGCGGGTGGTGGCGGGACAACTCCAAGCTCTCTTGGATGAAACTGATTATCTGGACCCATTTCAGTCCGGCTTCAGACCCAGGTACGGTACTGAATCTGCCTTGGTCACCCTGTACGATGACCTGTGCAGGGAGAAGGACAGGGGGAGTGCGTCCCTGTTGGTTCTTCTGGACCTCTCAGCGGCTTGCGATACCATTGACCATGGTATCCTTCTGGATAGGCTAGCGGGATTGGGGGTCAGAAGCACTGCTTTGCAGTGGTTCCGCTATCTCAATGGCCGATTCCAGAAGGTGGTGCTGGGGGACTATGGCTCTGCACCGTGGCAGTTATGCCAGGGAGTTCTGCAGGGGTCCATTTTGTCCCCCTTGCTATTCAACATCTACATGAAACCTCTGGGAGAGGTCATCAGGAGGTGTGGGCTGTGGAATCATCAGTACGCTGATGATACCCAGCTCTACCTCTCGTTTTCCACCAATCCAGGTGAGGCAGTGGCTGTACTGAACCGGTGCCTGGCCAAGGTAATGGGCTGGATGAGGGCCAATAAACTGAAGCTCAATCCAGACAAGATGGAGGTCCTGTTGGTTGGCGGATCGGGCTTCAGGGAGGGGGAATTGAACCTAGTCCTGAATGGGGTTGCACTCCCTCTTAGGGACAAGGTCCGCAGCTTGGGAGTGCTCCTCGACCCAGAGCTTTCACTGGAAGCTCAGGTGATAGCGGTGGCGAGGAGCGCTTTCTTTCAGCTTCGGCTGATCCATCAGCTGCGCCCCTACCTGGAGTACGACTGCCTCGTGACAGTGACACACACGTTGGTGACTTTCCAACTTGACTTCTGTAACGCGCTCTACGTGGGGCTACCCTTGAAGATGGTCCAGATACTTCAATTGGTGCAAAATAGAGCTGCCAGGCTGCTGACGGGGACTGGGCGTTATGTTCACATGACTCCAGTCCTCCATCAGCTTCACTGGCTTCCCATTGAAGTCCAGGCCCAATTCAAGGTGTTTGTGATGACCTATAAAGCCCTAAACGGCTTGGGTCCTGGTTACCTGAAGGAGCGCTTATGTCCATCTATGGAATGCGCTCCCCAGAAAGGTCCGCCTGGCGCTGTCGTTATTTGTTTTTCGGCGCCAGGCGAAGACTTTTCATTCAAATGTCATTTTAATTGTTAATAGTATTTATTCATTTTATTCTTTGGCCAGAGCAACTTAATGTATACTGTTAATTTATATTATTCTATGGAAGTTTATTTATGGATGTGAGCCGCCCCGAGGCTTCGGTGAATGGGGTGGCATAGAAGTCTCTTAAATAAATATTCCGTCATTCCTCTTGTAATGATGACAGACCACGAGTCGAGGCACATCAACGAGCCCAAGACTAGTTGATGCTTTCTTCAGTAACCTGGGATTTAAGTTCCAGAGTGCAACAGAAGTGTCTCAGTTCCCAGTGTCCCCATCTAGGCCTGGGAAAGACTCCTTTCTGAAATACTGGAAAATCTTTTCCAGTCACAGTAGAGACAAAACAGAGCAAGATGACATCATACTGGTCTAACTTAGCATGGGACAACTTCCTAAACTTGACTTCCTGGTATCATACTAGTTCTCATCTTTATGCAGAACATAGCCAAACAAGACAAGTTGGCATGCACCTTGTGTTTCTGACTCAGAGGATTTCCGCACACACAAGCGTCCCAGGAGGGAAGACGTGATATGTCGACAGGGAACAGAACAACTTGAAAAATCCTGGGAAGGCCAGAAAAGTGGCTGGCTAGAGCAGCTGAGAATGCGCTGAATTGGCATACTCCCCCTGCAACTTTTGCTGGCAGAGGGATGGCAAGAACTCCTCCGGAGACTTCAGCATTGCCTGACCCTGAAAAACCTTGGGAGAGAGGGCAGAAAAGAACAAAACAAAAAACAAAAAAAAACCTCCCACTGCTCTCATTCCTTTACTCCAGCAAGAAGAAATTCCCCACTTGTCTAGGAAAAGGCTGCTTGAATCCACTAGTAAGAAAGAGATAAAAAGGACTCCAAAACAGGCAGAAATCAGCACAACTTTTCTGACCCACAAACATAATTGTGGGAGCTTGCTAGCTGCAAGACAATTGAAAACTATGGGTTTGTAATTCTCACATTTGATTGGAAAACACATTCAATTTATGGTATCATGACTTCCTCAAAAAGCAAATAAAATAATCTCTGATTCACAGATGGGTCATAGTTCCTTGCATTTTAAAAACCATTGTTTTGTCCTCCCTATTCCCCACCCTTCAATGGTGAATCCTTCTGCAAAATATTGACATATTAAACTATTCTTAAGGGGAGGACTACAAACCTGTGCCCTGAATCTTAGTAATATCCTTGTTCATTACCAATGCATTTTGGCTGCAGTCCTAAACTCTCTTACTGTGTTGTGAATTACATTGAATTAAATACGACTTACTTCTGAGTAGACATATCTGGGATTGTGCAGTTCCTTTTCATTTATTATATAACATGGCATGCTGCCTTTGAAATGTAAATGAAGGCATCTTACACAGTAAGGAAAACTACAGTATCAAAAATGTAGAGGTAACATATGCCATCAAATAATTGCTTCCAAAGATTCATATCACAAACTCCTAACAACTACATTAGGCAAAATGTCTTTGATGATCCTACTCAAAATCCTGCTAGAAATGATTTAATGCACTTCTTTTAGGATGGGGCCAAATACAGGAAGCCTAAATCCACTCTGGTTGTTCCGATGGTGTGACAGCAACTGAAACAGGGCCTTCTCATAAGATCTTGGAGGGCAGAAGGGGTCCAATGAGGGACACATTCCTTAAGACATAGGTCAGTAATTAAATTGGCTGATGCCTGTAGAGGGCCTTCCATCCTATTTTATAGAAGCCAGTCCTCTGTTCTGAAGGTGCCCTCTGTTTGGAAGTGCTCCTTATTGCATGTCAGGTTGAAAGATAAAAAAACCATCTGCAGGAAGAGTTAGGCCTCAGAATGACCACTAACAGAAGACTGAACAATGCAAACAGGTCACCTAGTTACAGTCTTCCACACTATTGTGTATTTTAATAAGTATTTTAATTCTCATTCCTAAATTTGCATCTCTATATAAAATTAATGCACACATATTTCATGTAAATTGGTGCCATCTTCTGTTTTCCTTTTTTCCTAGTCCCTTAGCTGTTGGACCAGTCAAATTCCAAGCATAGGTTAAGAAAGCCACTTATTTAGCCTCCCACAATACAGATCTAAAGCTGAACTCATCCCAGCAGGAATGCCATGCCTTTACTCTGATATTGTCATTATGACCATCACCTGCTGATCTGCTCCCTAATTTAAAATGATAGCAGTGTACTAACCATTCTAAATTAAAACCAGAGGGTACCGTTTGCCAGCTGGCAGCTAGGTGTTAGCTCTGCTCTAAGATGCTTCTGTTCTAAGGCATCACTGGAAGACACCACCTTTATGGCATCTCTAACGGCCCTCCAGCCACTGCATTTTGCAGCCCAGGAGCAGGTAAGGAGAAAGGGTGCCCCTTTGGAAACCTGACTCATCTACATAACTCCACCTCCTAATAAGTGCAGTTATTTTGGAGAATTGGGGAGGGACACCAGAGGGATATTCTCTGACATGTAGCAGCTTTGCATTACTGGCAGCTGTTGCAGAATTCCAAAAATAACTGCCATGAAAACCTCCCAAGAAAGGAGCTGGACTAGGAACAGGACAGAGCACAGTGGCAATCGCAAAGTTGTGATAATAAGTTGCACGATTTCTATGCATTTATTACTTTGTTTTGTCTTGTTTTGTTGTTGTACAAAACATTAGGCTTCTGATGTTGCTATAGATCAGCCTTCCCCAGCCTAGTTCTCTCCAGATGCTTCAGACACTCAGGGTTCATTCATTCCATTGGCCATGTAGCTGCCCTTCCCCCATAGCTTGGGTGTTGGGCATCTTTTACTGCTACAGGACATTTTGGAGGGCTTTCATTCATGGGGTGGCTGTTAAGTTGGAGAGGACTTGATGGCACTCAACAACAAGAAATTAGTGCTACCCATAGGATTCTTCAAGGAGCCAGTGTGGTATACTGAATTTATCTTTTAAAGGTTCAAAATGGAATAGTCTTGGTCTTGTTTCACCTCCACTGTGGTACGGTCCCACTGGACATGGCTTGGGGCTGGACCAAGGCAGCTCGCGACCCCATACGAAGGGTATGGCACTTCCTTTGCCCCACTGGTCCACATACAGAAGCCAAATAAACCAGCAGTGGTGGTTCTGGTGCTGTTCTGCCTTTCTGGGTGTATCTTGGAGCACATGGAGATCTGCACAAGCTACTATGACTTGTTTCCCGAAAAGAATATGGTTATGTATTGTTCCCAATAAAAAGAAAGCTGTTTTATCATCCTATTTGCTGAGTGCTAACCTGAAAGAAAAACCTATTGAAGCATTGGAGCTTAAGTGAGAGTTCCAATATTGCTGGAACCCACAGGTAAATCCAAAATGGCCTAGCTTGGAAAATATAGGGACGTGGTCTAAGCAAATTATGGCTTTATTACATAAGCTTTAGAATATAAGAAGTACTTATACTACCAAACTATTTCATGCTTTCTCACCAACTAGAGTCCAAATATAGATAGCTGGAACTGTTCTAGATTATAGCTGGCTAGGAAATCACAGAGCAGGCTCCTAAATTTCTGTAATCTACTTAGAGAGTCCTTGGACTAGTTTAATGAAGAATATAAGTTGAATGAATGAATGACTGCTATACTACCTCAATCAACTAATGCCTTCCTGCCAGAAATTTCAGCCTTCCAAGGCACCTGTGAACATTATACTGCAAGGTTTGTGTGACGCCTTGTAACAAATTATATAGGAAGTTGGCCCTTCTTGTTGTCACATTATATATGTGAAGTGTTTCATCTAAGCCAAACATTAGAACTGAGACTCTTTTCAAATAGAAGAGTTCTTGAACTTTTAAACTGATTATTGTTGTTCAGGCCATCTTTGGGAAAGTCAGTTAATGGGGGCCTGTAGAAGCTATGGAGTGGAATGGTGGAAAAGTTTTGATCAAGAGGAAGTCTGACTGACAGCCAGTGTGATATGGAGTGTACAGTGTCAGACTCTAACTTAGGAGACCTGGGTTCTAGTCCCCTTTCTGAAGCTTACTAGGGTGACTTTGGGCAGTCACTAATGCTTAATCCAACCTACCTCACCAAGTTGTTGTGAGGATAAAATGTAGAGCAAGAGGACTCTGCAAACTGTTTCAGCCTTCTTATGAGAGGGAAGCAGGAGAGATAAGAAATGCAATTTAATAAATCTTTCTAACGTATTGAACTTGAAAAGCCTTTGGACACTTCTGGTTATACTTTCCGGCTTACCAGCTCAAAGTAAGAACTTCATTTTCAATTATAGTACATGACTGCCTCCAAGAATGTACAGAGTGCTTCGCATCACCACATGCTAACTATAGCGATTTGCCAACATGCAAGGCTTTTGGCTAGAAGGTATGGTTTCCAGGTAGGCTTAAGCTCAGGCTCACTCACTCTCACTCTCACCATATTATTCCAGAGTGCCATGGCCATCTCAGCATGGCCTCTGTCCGAGAAATGGAAACAATCCACAGCAAAGAAGCTCAGGTCTGGTTTCCCATCCTGTGATTAAATGCAAAATACAATGATTAGATGTCAGAAAACTTCTATCCCTTGTTAGCAAAGCTCTGTCTTTTCTCATGTGTTGTTTGGCTCCTTGTCTCTTGGTGCTAAGCCAGCCACCAGTCAAATCCCTTCTCCCAAGACTCATTACATCATTATTCTACACCAAAGCAATTTCTGCAGTAGCTACCAGTTGGCTAGAGTCTTTTTACATAATGTAAAACATCATAGTCAAAGATCAGTAGAGCTGATGATGCATTATTTGTTGAGCTTAAATGCTGTTAGAGTGTGAGGATGGTATAAGCAGTAGTCTTTTCCAGTTTGTATTTATGACAAGTGGCTCCTTTTGTTGCTCGCAGAAAGCAGCAATCAGTGCAGTGTCTCCTCTTGGATCCTTTCCGTACACTGATGCACCAGCCTGGCAATCTAAGGAGGACACGGTGATTCTGATGCAGTGATTGTCCCGCTTGGAAAGAAGCTGCTGCTTTCAGTCTCAGGAGAGGGCAAAGAGGGAACCCTGCACATGCAGTGTGAAGAGCTGTGGTTTACACAGAGCTCTGGGCAGTGCAGTGTTTTGGCTGATAAAGTAACTCTGGGATCCTAATGAATTGGTATTTTGAGATAATGTAGACACTAGAATTTCAGAGGGTGCTTCAGGTGTTTATGTACCTGGTCCATAATGTGTGTGTCTTAAGTAGTGCCCTAACATCATTTCAGTGTGGCAGGTCAAAGATGTAGGTGGCTGGGTCCATGGCTGGATTACCAGGACCAGGGATAAGGGAGGTAGATGGAATGCAGGTGGAAACACAAGAGGGCCAAAGGTGAAACCGGGAACAAGCAAAGATCAGGTATTGTCAAGGCATGGCCAGAGGTGAGGGCAGGGTCAGGAATAAGTGAGGGTCAGATACCAAGACTTAGCAAGACCAGAAGCAAAGGCAGAGACAGGAACAGGCAGGGGTCAGACACTGCTAACACTGGAAGCAGGATCGGGGCACAGGGCAACCGCCACAAAGACCCAAGTCGCTGTGGCCAAGCTGAAGAGAGCAGGCTCCTCCCATTGAGCCTTCCAGTGCTGCCAGTTGCACTGCCTGATCACACAGACTCAATCCTTGCGAGTAGCTACAGGTCTGATCCTGGTCCCACAGGCGGTTGCATGGTGAGCACGGTGCTTTTCACAAACATGTCACCAGAGGGAGATGTGTCACTCTTGCGGTACAAAATACCAGTACAGGTGTGAAGCACAGGTCCCTTCACCCTTAAAGTCCCTGCCTCGTCTTGATGTGCTGTAGGATGGATTGGTGCCTTTAGTTCCCTTTGTTTCAGCTTCTAACATTTCTTGCTCCCGTTTGTTCTTATAACCAGACACAGCCAGTATAAGATGTACATACATTAATTACACTTGAGTGGCAAATGCCCTTTAGATACTCCTTCTGTTATTAGTATCTAGAGTCAGTTTCTCTGTATATTCTGGAGACCATAGGCTCAAATCATTTATTCATACATATTCTGTGGTCTGTACTCCTATCAGCAGCACTGGTTCCCAAAGTCTCTGAGGACAGGGCAAAGAGTTGGAATGCTGGCAGAACTGATTAGTCCATCTGTCCGCCCATCTGTCTGTCCATCCACCTGTCCTGTCTGTCTGTCTGTCTGTTTTGCAACATCCCTTGCGTAGGCTAGGCAATGCACCCAGCAGAAGGATGCTCTAATCCACGCCCCGCGTCTCTTGCCAGCTCAAGCAAATCCTGGCACACTGATCTGAATGCTGCAGGTAACAAGCAGTGACTCACACTGTCTAGTGGCATGATGGTGTTCCGGAAAAATGGCTGCACAACGACTGCAAAATCCTCCCGCTGGGCATAGCGACCGCTGTTGATCAACATTGCACTTCTATCCTGTGGAGTTCAAGTTGACAAGGTCAATGGCAGTGTGGGGCCTCTCTCCAAGTTTACAAGCAGTAACTCAGACCAGATGGACTGAAGCATAAGAGTGACATCAGCAGGGAGATGCCTCAGGAGGAGGTGGAAAGAGTGTGACAGGACTTGCTTCAAGGGACTGTTGTAAGGATGAAGCTGAGAAGGAGAAGGAGAAAGTTTATTCTTTCTTAAAACACATATGGCAAGCCTATAAACATAATTTATAATCATTATGATTACCACTAGCAATTATCATCTTCAGAATTAGTCTTACATTTCTGTACCACTTTCCAGCAAGGCTCCCAAAGCAGTTTACCATTCAATCAACAAAACATGATAAAAATGCAAAGCCACAGTACCTTCTGTGAGCAAAGCAATCGATAAAAATAAGTTAAAAAGCTGCAAAACAATTTCAGAATGCCTGGTAGCAATTACCTCCAGCTACAGTGAGTACACAGGATGCCTTCCAGAAAGCAGCTCTCCTAGCGAGGGAAGGGAGGTGGCTTTGGAGCTTCTTGGGTAACTGGGGCACCAGCGTCAAGAAGGCATCACTGCTTCCCACTGTACTTTTGGCCAGAGAGGCACACTTGGCAGTTAAACACAAAATATTCTTGCATATGTGATGATGATGATGAAGAAATAAGGATAAAAATGCCACAAAGCTTCAGCTATGATGTGAAACACAACAGCGAATTTATGTGCGAGCAACTATGACTTCCCCAACACAAGCTAAAGCAAGACATCCACCCTAGCCACTCTTACTCTGATGACAACCACCATCTCATTAAGGCATACAAGTGTGAGACATGCAACAAAACGCTGCCGGGTTCATTCAGGGCATTAACCAGCCAGCCATGCCCTTTTCCAGAATACTCCATTCCATCCAATTTTTCATCTCCCATTCTCACTCCATCAGTCACTCAGTTTTTCTTGGCTGCTGAATGTGCTCAGTCTTCACTTGAGTGTTTTACTTCTTAGGATTTTTCTCCCACTAAAAATATTTTTGTAATTCTGTAAACTTGGCCTATAAATGAATAGTGTCATTTTGACTGCATAAGGATCCACTGTTGGATAAGGAAATTACTATTATTACTGTCTGACTTCTATAGGAAGGGTGCAGAGATCTTGAAATTACCAATAAAGGGTTACTTTACCTGATAATCTCTGTTAAGTCTTTCAATTTCTTGCAGTTCAGGGGAGTTTTCCTGAGAGTTTAGAACACATGGGCAAAGGCTCCTGAAAGAAAGCAATACTAAAATCAACACTGATCCAAGATACTTTAATTCCTAACAGCACAGAAAAAAATCAAAATGCTGGGTGATGATCTGTATTCTTTCCCATGCAGTTTCTATGCTTGCGTGACATTTGTGTTATCAAGGGATATCCAAGGCTGTGTGTTTCCATTTGTGTTATCAAGGGATATCTTGGGGTGTTTTTTTTTAAAAAAATAACCAGGTCTAATTTTTTTAATGGCCTAATAACTGACACATCAGAAGAATGTTTTTAGGCTTAAGGTGCTCTATTTTCCCGGGCTCTGTGCAGGTTGCACACAGCCAAATGAAACTAGAACTTTATTAGATGTCAGTAGGAGTAGGTGAGTACACTAAGAACGGGAGGCTTAAGACACAATGCTGTGAATGCTTGGACAGCAGAAAAGCCCTACAGTTCCTAGCATTCCCCACCCAGCACTCCTTCGATAAGCATGCATAGGACTGCACCCTTAGCTTCTAGTCCTACTGCTGCCTGATCAGATTTTTGCCTGACTTGTCAGTCAAGGGCAAAAATCCCAATCTGATAACCTCTTGATGTGTTGGGCAGTACCTCCCACTATCCTTTTCCAGCATCTAGAAAGCACCAGGCTGGGGAAGGCTAGACCAGTGGTGGTATAACTCCCATTTTGATTCTAAGAGATTGTGGGTTCAAATCCCAGACAAGCCATTTCATGGATGGCTGCAACTTCAGGTCTTGGAGTTCTAGCTGTCCTTATTTTTGGCTCTAGACACTAAACTTGCCAACACCGAGAAGACACTCACATGGAACAGGATAAGCATGTTGTTTATGTAAGTTTCAAAGAAATAGGCAATTCCTTAGCTAGGATCCTGGGACTGCGATCAATGTGGTTCTCAGATGAGCTAGCACAAGACATCCAGCAACATTCTGAATTTGTGGGTTTGCACTCTACTTTGTTATTTATATCTGGGCAGAAAACAAGGAGCCCAAAGCGACTTGCTCTTAAATGGCTGCAACTCTAATGGAAATCAATGAAGGCTGTTCCCATGTGAGTAAAGGAAAAACTGAAGCCAATATCCTCATTACGATTAGAGCATCTGCTGCCTCACAGCTCCCAGGTCCAATAACATCTGACAGGGCACAGGTTTTGTAAGCCCTTTGTGGTTGCTTTCTGAATAACAAAGCTATAGATTAGCCCTAAAAATAGCATTCAGTACAGACCGCTGTGTGATCTGCTCACTTACGCCCCTGAAAGAACGCATCCGGATGCTTCCCTTTTTATCTGACGCAGTCCAGTGAGTTCCATTATCTCCACCATGTTTACAAAGGCCCGAGGAAGCTGCAGGAATTACAGAGCCCAGGTATATTGAGGCACAAAGCATAGGACAATTGAATAACAAAGCAGAGAGATTATGCACAGATCAGTACAGAGAGCATTCAGTCTTCATTCAGCAATAAACAGGCAGGGGAATGTAGGCAAGCTAGTAGTGGCAATAAAGCAATGGACTTTGCTAGTGTGATGTCATAATACGGCACTGCAGCTCAAATGGAAAGAATGTCTTTTTAAATGTAATGCTCTTTGTTTGCTAATCATTTATTAGTAAAGGAAGATACTTAGCATTGTAGGAAGCCTCTGGAATGAACGCTTTACCAGAGGCACAGTCCTCTGCTCCGCAGCTTTGATGTGCATAAGCCACTAAACCCAGAGGTCTGTATGCATTCCTGTATTCCTGGAATGAGGCACTGCAGTGGCAATCTCCACCAGGTACCTCGCCCTGGGCATTTTCTCCAGGTGGGCATTTTCAGCCATCTAGATAAAGTGCAGGGGTGGAGGGGGGCACAACCTGGAATGCCAGTAGGAATTGGTACAAGTTCTTGACCCCCACCTCTTCCTCGCCCTGCTCCCGGCACACCCTTTTTTCCCACCCCAAGGCCCTGCTGTGACCTCAGGGAGAGAATGATGTCAGGAGGCCATAGGACTGGACCCTACAAGACTTTTGTCTATACATTTCCATGGCTAGCCCAACAATCCCAAGCAGAACTATGGGAGTGACAGTCAGACCCTCTCCCAGGATATTAGCACTTTCAGAATTCAATAGGCCCAATTTCCTTTCCTCTGTATTAGTTTCACAGCTGGCTTAGAATACTTTTTAAAAAGCCGCTGGGCTAGGTGATACCATAGGCAGGGAGGGGCTTAGGGGAGGCCACGCCCCCTTGATATCATCCAGCCCACCAGCATGTTCCAGGGAGATGGAATCTGGCCCCAGGACCACAAGTGCTTGCCTCTCCCAGCTTAAGGAGGATTTGTTTCTGGTGGGATCTGAGCTGAGCCTCTAATCTCAATTTGATCTGCTACTTGTTTCAATGAATACACTGTACAGTTTAGAGATGTGAAAGATAAGTGAAGACAGATGGGATGGGCGCAATCAGTAATACTGGAATAGACAGTTTAGCTGTCTGTTTGGCAGTAGAGTTTTCAACTTGCAACTAATTGTTTTGTGCAAGGAGCAACAAATTAGAGTAATAATTATTAGTTCACATGTCCCGGGTTGAATGAAGGCATGCTTGGCAGCTCCAAAGTTATGGCAGAACTAGCAATCTGTATTGCTTTTAGACCCCATGAACAGCTGCATGGCTGACTAGTTCAGATGCCAGTAAAAGTGAGCTCATGACTGGCTGGCACTTATGTCCAAACTGACTCAGAGTTGCCAGTGTCTGTCTTGGTTGGGGACTCTAATACCCTTACGGTACAATCCCATGGCTGCTTGGCAGTGTGAAGATAGCCACCAGCTCACCTCTAAAGTCCCAGCTCTGACATCAGAAAAGCACTGTGAGTTTGGCACTGAGAGTCCTCATTCAGAATGCTCCTTCTGCTGCTGGAGTGGTTCTTTCTGTGCAGGATGCCGTGCCAAGGCTGCAAGGAGCCCTCGGAGCTGGCAGTGACGGCATTCTAAGGGGCAGCAGGTGGGGAGGAGTGAGGCATCCCCATCCCACAAGGGAACCTGGTGGTGCCTCTGTCTCCTCTCCTCTCCTGACAGCATAAAACACTGAAGTGGCTGAAACTGGCCTTCTCAGTGTTTTGGAGGGTGGAAGGCACACTGAGGCAATCTGTCCTGCACTGTTCTCACCCTCCATCAGGAGCACATAGTTCCAAGTTCCTACAACATCCAGCATGCCTCTGTAGGACTTTTTGCTGTCCCACCTGCCTAGGATCTTGCCTTAACAGAGCAATCCTATGGGTGTCCAGCCCAAACTGTTGTTTCCTGTCATGTTACCTATCAGTTTTCCTTCTCATCGTTATCTCCATTTCTAATTTCAATAAAACTTTTCTAAATTAGGAATCTGAGGTTTGACTGCTTTTTGGGGGGCAATCCAGACCCCTTTCCAGTGTGCCTCAATCTCTTTCCATGCTGCATGCTTATTTATTTATTTTATTGCTTTGACTAGTGGCAAAGCAGGGAGGGAAGACAGACTGAACCCACTGGGCAGTGAGCTGGTGCTTACTCCTGGAGCAACCCTCGCTCAGAAGAGAGAGAAGCAGATTTAGTGGCCGCCTGGCCATGCCTCCATGAAAGCTGGGCAAATTCCACACTCTATATGTCTGTTCTACCCTTACCCCAACTGCTGCAGAAATATCCCCAAGTCAGCACAATAAAGCACTGCGAAGGCTGGAAAGTATACAGAAATCTTGCTGCCATCTGCTGTCTGCGGCAGTTCTTTCCCCTAAAGACAGCTTTAGGGGACCAGCTCTATGTTTTCCAAGATGAAGAAAAATCAGCATGTGCTGCCTCTTCCCCCGTATTAGAATCTCACTATTTCCCTGGCCATTTGTTTTCAAGGTCACTGGATTACCCTTCAAGTATGACTGTCCCAGGAATTGCTATCTGAAAGATGGGCTTGAATGAAACATGATCATGGAAACTCTGTGAGGGGTGAAATATGTGCATGCGGTTGCCAAGAACGCTGCCTTCTAGAGTGTCTTAAAATCTTACCTCCTCGTAAAGGATATCAAGAGCATCCTGGAGGTGCTTTACATATTTTTCCACTGAATAGGTCTCCTGCAGAAAAGATTATTCATTTTCAACACTACATTCAACTGTAGAGGTTGCTTCCCCCAACCGTGCCACAAAAAATACCCTATAAAGTGGGCCACAGGACAACCCGGTTTTCAGGAGATCTGTTTGAGGGCGTAATTTGCATTCTCAAAGCCTCATATGCTTGGAGGAAAATCTGAACAGACTCACAGGTTACACTCATCTCTGGATGAAATCTCTAATTTCGTCCCACCACACAGAGAAGTTCAGTTGGTGGCAACTTCTGTAGTGGTACCTTGGTCAAAGAATTCCTTCCTGAAGGAAGCTCAACCTGCCCTATCCTTGAGGATTTTTTTGGGTGACCAGTAAAAAATTTTATTTCCACCTGGCTTTCAATAATCATTAATAAAAATAATGGGCTTTTAATTTCTCTGTTCTCTTTACTTTTAATTTTTGCACTTAAAACTATGCTTAGATGTTGTTTATATTGTTCTCCATTCTAATAAACTTGTTTTCAGTGCAGCTTTCCCCAGCCTGGTGCCTTCCAGAAGTGTTGGACTACTGTTCCAATCATCCCTAGCCAGCATTGGGGTGGTGATGGTTGTACTCCAAGAGCTCTAGAAGTCAGTAGGTTAGGAAAGTCTGCTTTAGTATTTTAAACTGATTTTGGTGTTCTTTTCGGGCTGAAAAACAACTGAAATTCACTTATAAATACAACCATTCAGTAATAGGAATGTGTTACGGAACTGTTATCCAGTTATATCAAATGTATTGCTTACTCAGTGCATATAATGTTTACACATTTCCCTTAGGTTACCTTATCCATCCAGCTGAAACATAAAGCTAACCTCAACAGATTGGGACAGCCTGAGTCAGTTTAGCAGAAATAGCTGGATTTAAGTGGATCTGGACTCTTTTGTTCAAACACTGAATGAAATCTGCACAATTTGCAAAAGAAATCAAAATCTGAAAAGCAATTCAGAAACGTACAACTTTAATTCATGCTGTGAATTGCTCAGAATTCACAACACACAAAGTGGAGTTTTATTATTTGAATTCATATCAGGTTCTCCCCATAATGTAAATAAAGTAAACAATATAGGCTGTGCTTTTGTTGTGTACAATCTCTATGGCACACACAAAATGAATTTACACTTTTAAAACTTTCACATCCAAGGAGAATCTACAAGACCAAAAATTACTGGGGTGCCTGAGAACTGCAACTGTAAGTGTAGCACTCTTAACTAAAATTATAAAGGGATATTGGAACCAAGGTGCAATCATTTTTCAGAGTAGCACCACAGAAGGATTTGATTGTGTTTTTCCCCCTTTCCACTGTGCTTTCCCTAAGTTTTCACATCCCTATCTGAGCCACTATCAGTTTATGCAGATGGGTTATCCTTCAGGGAACATGCCATTCTTCTCTTAAAGAGTTAGAGGAATACTTCTGATGGCATAATACACAATAGCAAGCACATGGAGTCCCCAGTCATGGTGAAAGCACCTTAAGTGGCCTGAGCATGCAAGGATGAAGGAGTGGTACCAACTGTGACATTGACAGTGATGTTGAAAGGTGGATAGATGAACTCCACTCAGAAGAGGTCTGGTCTTTTCAGAAAATACTCAGAGAAACATTGACCTCCCCTACCGTTGGATTCTCCTCTCCCCAGCCTCTCACTTTTCCCCGAGCTTACTTTACCCTAACTAAAAACAGGTGAGAGGGACAGAGTGGGAGCGAAGGCTGGGACAGCAGAGTAATTGTTCTCACTCCATTCCAGTAAAAACAAGCAAGCTAGCAGCTGGAACCTTTACCAAATCATCTGATAAATTTATAGCCAGAACAAGTATGCTTATTCCAATGTTTTAACTTTATCAATTAAATATAAAGCAAAGCCATATATTATCACTTTTAAAACACACTAGATATACTTTCAGCATTCCTACCTTGTCTAAGCAATACTGACACAGATCATTGGATCCAATCAAAATGGTGATTAGCTTCCAATCTTTCTCAAAGTTGATGTTCTAGTGAGGAAGAAAAGAAATGGACACCTTGAGAGCAGCGTGGAGTATGAGTGATGTGGTCAAGTGGACCTTTGCCAGGGCCTCATTTCTGCTTTCAGGAACTGCAAGGATTCCCCCACTCCTCTTGAGCTGTTGCAGAATTGTCATGGACCAGGTGTAAGCAACCCAGTGCCTTCCAGGTATTTTCGATTATAACTACACAAATCCCTGGTTGTTGCCCATTCTTCCTTCAACTGCAGTCCAAAGCTGCAGTCCAAAACATCTACAGGGCACCAAGTTGCATTGTCTATCTCTGTTATAGACCAGGAGTGGGCACAAGGTAGATCTCCAGATATTTTTGACTTCAGTTCCAAGAAACCATGCCAGCATGGCCAATGCTCAGCAGCGATGGGTGCTGAAATCTAAAATGTCTGGAGATCTGTATTTTGCCCAGTTGTGTGATAGACAATGCCAGAGGTTATAAAACATCAGGCAGAAACACTTGCATGCATGAAACATCCCTATGGGAAAGAGATCACTTAAGGGTGGATCCACAAGCTCCTATTTGTCATGTTACATTTGGTGATGACAATCCAATGCCAGCTTCAGTGTCTGAAATGCTGTCATATCTTTGCTGTCTTTGCAACAACTCTCTCAATGATGTGCAAACATTGCTTGACCAAAGGAGCTTAGTTATGGAAAGCTGAGTATTTGTGTGGTAGCTGTTGCAAACCGGGCAGGTAGAAAATGCACAGCTCTGGCTGGAGCAAAGACAAATCAGAAAGTAAGGCTACAATGGACTAACCAGTTAAACTAAAGTATTTGGATTTTCTGTGATAGAAGTAACTCAGCTGAGGTCCAAATTCTTCCATTTGTGGATTTGGGGACAGTGGTGAGGGATCCTTAATGGGAAGAAACAAAAGCTAGGGTCTGATGTTTTGCTCAGCAGGGCAAATCGCTCTTCATCCACAGAGAGAAGTTGACAGCTGCTCTGTCACTTGATCATATAAGCTGTGCGACAGTGTTCTGTTACGCTGGAGGCTTCAATTCCATTCGGATGTTAGAGGTGGGTGTTGCACTGGGAAGCAAACCCCACTTTACGCCCTTGCGCAAGCAAACCGGGCCCCTGGCAAAATTATTATATGGCACACTCCTGCTAGCCCTGAGTAGCTGAAGGCATGGAGAAGTCCTGCCAACTGCGTGTAAACTGGAAATGCTGAAGAGAAAGATGGTCTAGGGGATGCCCATGGGGGTGGCTGTTTGTAGTCCTGAGAGAGGTGACTTAGCTGTCCTGGCAGCTGCTGGATCTACGTCATTGTCACCCAACAATAGGGGCTGCTGAATGCTGTAACGCAGTGGAAAACATTCTGTAACATGCAGTACAAAGACAGGAATGGACAGTAGCTATTTTTAGAGTGGCAAGTTTACATAAGCCTTGGTGAATCTGTCCTAAAGAAACCAAAGGCCTGGGAATAACTAGCAGGGTTGATTTCTCGTCTCATTAATAGGATTTGTTTCCTTGGCCTGGCCTTCAGTTCATATTTACTTCAAAGGGGCATGTGCCCAGGGTGTTCAAAGTCATTTCCTTTGGTTGTATAAGGCCAGGATTGTGGACTCCTAAATCAGCAATGAGTGTGACTTTTGCTCAAAAGTTTGTGTTTCCATTCAGTAGCTCCCAGAGAAAGGAAGGGGAGGGAGAGTCAGGAAAGTACAAAGAGGGAAATGTATTCTGTTTTTCCGTTTATCCTCACACCATTGAGGGAACCGATAAATAATCAAACACTGACAGCAAGGTCAGCTCTCAGCACCTGTTACAAGGACTGTTACAAGATACTCGATTTTAGAGAGCTCTGCTTTTTATTTCAGGGTGGCAGAAAATGAACTGTTAATTTAATAGCACTAGATCCTCTTCCTTCCCTCTTCTCCTGAAGCCAAGGGAATGAGATGGGTAACAATGAAATTAACACACCCTTCCTGTCTATTCCTTGGCATCTGAACTCAATCATCAAAAGCTAACTTCAGCTGAAAAAAGCACAAATAAAAGTCCTGCAATGCTACATTCAGGCACGTTTATAGTAAGTTCTACAAACTTTGGGCAGCTGCGGAGAACACCTATCTATCCTCACACTTCATGCACAGATGGTATTGTTGAGAAGGTGCTGTCAGTTTGATAAATGGTGAAGTGCAAATAAAATCTCTTAGGTATATTAGGAAGTAACCTTATAGAGAATTAAACTGTTGATCCAATTAGCCCAGTATTGTTGACACTGACTGGCAGCAGCTCTGCAAGGTTTCATGCAAAATTCTTTCCTAAGCCTACCTGGAGATGCTGGGGGTTGAATGTGGGACCTTCTTCATGCAAAGCAGATGTTCTCCCACTGAACAATGGCTTCTCCCCTACCCGTTAAGGTAATTACAGGTCAAAACCAATTACCAGAAGACGCTGGGGAGCAAATGCAGATGCTGAAAGCATCACTTTAATGTGTTTGCAGTGGCTCACTTTTCTTGGAAAGCAAGGCACCTTATTTTGCATGCAATGAAGATCTTGACAGTTATAAAGCAAGCATATTTCTGATCATCTCCAGCACCACACTAGATCTCTGTTTGTCTCTAATCTTTGTGTATTTCCACCCATTCTGATTATGGCTATGATTATATTTTTATACCACCCTTCCTCTACAGAGACTAAGGTGGTACTTCGGAGGAATACATTCCACTCAGGTAGGAAGGTCTTCACAAGTACCAAACTGGCCCATTGTCTTGAGCCTTCTGAAGCCATTTGCCTTTTAAAAGCTATTTGCCTTTTATCTGCAGTGTATCTGATCTCTGCATTTGGTACCACTGCAGTCTGTACTGCACACCATAACCTGTGGTGGTGAAGGATTGGCTCCAGTCCTTGGGCAGGGTATAGAGAGGCAACTATATAAAGAGTAAATTCCTTAGTAATGCTCACATTTTGTTACTTTAGGTAAACAGTGGGCTAAACTTACTCCCTTGCTAAAATACATATAACACAATAAATTGAAAAAACAACTTTGCATAATGATCCCAAGAGCTTAACCACAGCTATTACATTTAGAATTGAGCAATTTTATCCAGCTCTGTATCACACAGAGATCTTCTGTGGCCTGTTACTGTTAAATGGTTTGTTAGTCTTCTGTAATGCATACACCTACCTGGCTGCTTTTCATTAGCTTTACCAGTTCACGCGCTTGCTCTGGGAGATTCCTATTGAAATAGAAAAAAGATGAGATCTAAGTCTATATCACTTTTTCATGCTTTTACCCACAACAATTCTGTTGCCGCACTAATCTGCAATTGAAAACAATTTCTATCAAAACACACACACTTAAACGTATCATTTCTTGCAAAGAAAGTATTGGAATATATGTTTTGGCCAAATAAGTATTTGTCAAAATTGCTTGAAGGGACATATTTAAAAGGATATTTTGATGTGCTGAAATTTCAAAAACCGCATCACAACATTTGGAGAAATGTGAAGTCTGGTAAATGGCTAAATTACTATTTGTGCATTAGTTTTAGAGGTGCACATCGGTTTGTTGTGTAGGGATTCACAAAGATCAAATTCCTCAACTATCCTTAATTTAAGAATGAGCTAGAGGTGCTTTTCTCTCACTGAGGGATGGGAGCAATTAATTTCGCATATTACATTTTAATACCAACATACCTAATGCACACTTCCCAAACCAATTTGTCAACTAAAAGGCAGTTATCAATTGATGTTTACAGTTCTCCAAATTTCATGATTCAGTTCTTCAGTTTAAAAATATCCATACAAAGAAGTATGTATTAGAGGGAACTACACATGTAAATGCCTATATTGGTAAAAATAACACTCAAAATAGATTATATTGGTGGAAATTGTTGGCGAAAAGGCATACATTAAACAAAATTACATATTTTGTAATGCATACATTACAAAACAAAAAACATATATTTGAAGAAGTGTGCACAAAATGCATATGAATACCCATACCAATTTTTTAAAGCGATTATACTCTGATGAGGATCTGGGATTAAACAAATTCAAGACTGGAAAAATGAGAAACTACGAGAAACCTAAACTGGCAGACTTGTCTTTATTTTTGGCACTTCCATCTTTATTTTATGAATTGCCAGTCCAGGGATGATAAGAGCTGAACAAGGAAAGAAATTCGTTGTGAGAGGAACAAATTTAGTCTACAGTCCCTGGCACTGTGGCTGCACAGGTGACTACTGCAAGCTGCCAAACGCCCGCCCGCCAGCATGCCTGCGAAAGAGCAGAGACGCTCCTATCCATTATTTTTGTTGAAGGATTGGCTCTGACAGGCTGCATTTTAAGTTAAAGCACTGAATTCTCAAGGCTGCACTTGGAAGCTCTGCACTACTTCACAGCCAGGCTGCCTAACCTCTAACTCCCTCTGCAGTCAATTTAGCGCTTGGTGAAAGGTGATCGATTCAGGACCTCTGTGTCTTGGGCTGCCAAATGCATTCAGACAGGTACAATATTGCAAAGATTTTCAAGCAAGAGTTTATTCATAGATCCTTGGGCCAGACTTGCATCTCAGAAGGAGATAAGATGGACCCGATAATGAACCATACCAGCAAATTATCTATGGAAGTGTCAAGCAAAGCTGAATTTAACTGAGCATGAGTCACTCCTGAAAATTATGCAGCTGGGGATTTATGAGATATGGGTACATGATGCTGGGCCAGAATGAATTCTACTTATGTAGCCAGCGACAATAAAGCTAAACAAATGGTCGCTATTCCAAAATCCCCACCCTTTCCTGCTGAATATTAGGAAAGATCCTAAGACAGCTACTTTGCCACCATATCTTGAACCATAGTACAAGCTGCTTTCCTCATCGGGCATTCCTATCAGCACAGGATGCCCCCTGAAGAAATCAAAAAGTGAAGGATTGTGTAGAGCTGCCCTGTTTTTCCTGGAAAGGAAAAGAGAGAGCTTCATGATCCTTGCTGACAGTTTCTTGCTGAAGAAATTATGAGTATTGGTACTGTGGTGTCCACAGGCTGTAAAGCAGTCCATGCACTTCCCTCCTTTTCTTAACAGGCCAGTGCAGGTGATCTTTGGGGAAGGGAAAGGAGTATCTAGTCTCAGCCAAGGGAACGTTTTTCAGATCAGCTGGTGTTTTCGGATCAGCACTCAAATGCTGGCTTTCTTACTGCCCGGTATGGCAGCCGCTGGGTTGAATGGCTGCATTCCAAGCTATGGATCCTTCCAAGAGTAGTTAGAATATGACTGGGAGAGTACTAAGCTCTGTTCATGGGGACAGCCACAAGGTTGGGAATAAGGCTTTAGAATAAGAAAGCATGGCCATTCCCTCGGTGGCTTATGAGAGTTGCAGCCCAACGCTTCTGTGGGGGCATCAGGTTGGTGAAACCTGCCCTAGAGCTTTGCTTAAGCAGCCTTCCATGGGAAGATTTGATAGTTCATTTAAACATTTATATACCACCCTTTTAAAGTTACCAGGGTAATTTGAAATAACACCAGTGGTACTTGCAAGAATTACTGATAAAATCAAGCATCTGGAGATGCTAATACAACAAACAGCTAGTGCAGTTCATATTCCTGAATTCCTCTGCTTTGGGGAGCAGTTTAGTTAGATTTAACAGCAAGTTTCATCCGCTTTATGTTTCATAGCCTTAGTTTTCCAAACGTATCTTGATGACGCTGCCTTGATCCAGTTTGTCTTACCGTGCCATGGCCCCTTCTGCTGCTACGTTGAATCCTGCAGTTTCCTTCTGGGTGCCAGTGGAAAAGCCAGTGAGCTTTGGATTAAACTTTTTCAAAATGTCTGGCAAGGAAGAAGGAACTCACAGTAAGTTTCTATGCAAGGAGCAAGAACCAACCTGCGCCCCCATTCATCATTTTAAGTCAGGGCACAAGGGACCTGCTTTCTGCTGCCAAGCCCCTAAGGAACACCTCACATTTTACAAATGTGCTCATTGCCGCAGTTGGTCAATTAGTGGAAAAAATGTTGCACAAAAAAGAACAGAATCTTCCCTACCAAGTTCGTTGGTTCTATTATTGCCAGCAGAGCTGTTGATACAGTCAGAAATGTCAATCGTGAAGGGCAATCATATTTTGACTTTGAGATACTTTCCTCAAATTTAACTGATCTGAGTGAATTAGGCATGACTGTCACGAACATCCTACATTCTTCCAGGAATGCACTTCACATGTTACAATCTTTTCATCCATTATATTTTACTTCCATAGAATTGTTTTCATATGGGAACAGACGTTGTATTGTGGGAAGTGGTTTTAGCTTTACAAAATTGTATCCACCAATCAGGTAGCCACTACCTGTTTCAAGAATTTAATGGGCATACTGTCAAAAACAGAACAGTTGCACTGGATTTAAAATAGCAGAAAACACACATTTGCTTTCCTAGGGCTCCTATAGGAAGCATATGCTATGCCCAGGGACACTAAGGCCCAATTTTGTTGCTGTTTTCATCATTATATGTTGAGCAACACAACAAGAACATTTAGCATTCAGTAGCTGACTGGGAGAATACTTCCAGATGGAAGACCCCCAGCACTGCCCATCCAAACACATCATGCAACTATTCCGTCTTTTCCTCATTAGTGGGTTGTTTTCTTTCTGATGAGGAGAAAAAAGATGAAAGAAGCTGTGAGAAAACACAGCAGATTTACAAGTTAAAGACCACAATGCCTGCCCCCAACTCTGCAATATTCTCTGAATGAAGGAGGGCAACCATACAATAAAGCTCCAGTCTGGAAGCACCCTGGGCTGGGGTTCTGGGTCCTTATTTTCTTTTCTCACTAATTTAATGATCACACTCCCGTGCTCCACATTACTTAAATCAGGACTAAAACTCCCTTCACTAACTGATTAGGGCCAAAACAGACCTTACTTTCAACATGTGTCTCTTAGCTGCCTCTTTCCCCTGCCCCAACTCATTTCTACTCTGCAATCGGTGCAAGGCTCCTAATTAGGATTAAGGTCTTAGTATGTAGGGTGAGATGGCTGTTAAGAACTGGATTGGGCCCACTGGGTCTCCTGTATAACTAAAAAAGAAATGTCAGTGGCTAGACACACATTTAAAATAAGTACTGTTTGGGCCTTTACAATCTCCGTGCACTAGAAAGGCTGTGAGCAGCAAAACTGGAATGCTGCCAGGCAAGGCTTTATGGAACCATCAGGCTGCCTTATTCACTGGACTTTTGGGGAGATCCAGATAATGACACTTTCCATTCATAGCCCTCCTATGTTTTCCAATTGCTTCTTTCCCCACTTCTGACGGAAATTGCTGCATGATGGCTTCTCAATGTAGCCCTAGGAGCCTTCCATGTGGAAGCACCATTTTTCTCCAAAACATCCAACCAACCGAGGCGCACAGCAATGACATTTTCAGAGGGACGGCCTGATTTTCTTCTATAGCTGATTCAGTCTTGTTTACTATTCTCATTGCTAGCACTTGCTCCAAAGCAAACCTTGCCCACCTTGAGATTGTAAATGAATACTGTGCTTATCTGATGGACTAACTCTTGTCATGTGGGGCTTAATTTTTTTTATTTCATCTTGGAATACAACCTCCATAGCATCCAAGCTGGCAAACTGGAGCTCCCCCTTGCAAAGGAGGCCAGACCATGGATGTTTCACCCCAAAACAGTTTGGATGACATGGCAAACGAGGATTTACATCAAGGAATTAAGGGATTAAGATCAGCACTCAGGAGAAGGAGGGAAAGGAAGAGCACATGAAGCCCTTGCCTTCCCTTTCAAATCATAGTTTAGAGCAGCCTTCCCAACCTTGCCATGCTGGCTGGGGATTATGGAAGCTGTAGTCCAACACATCTAAAGGGCACCAACTTGAAGGAGGCTGGTTTGGAGGACTGTCTCAATGTGGTCACGAAATGTCCCTTTTCATGCTTTGGTATGTCTGAGGCTACTCACTAGGCAAAGTTGTGTGAGTCTCCAAGCTTCCATCACTGCCAGTGCTATAGAAAAGATCATACAGAATCAATCAATCAGTGGCACTAATTCTATTATCAAGAAGATACCATCTGTCCTGGAGGTACAACTGTATTTGCACAGGGTGGAGAGAGATGGATTTAGAACAAAAGACAAAAACACAGACATCCCTCCTGCTCAGGATAAACTGTAGATCTCATGTGAATTGATAGAAAGTATTGAACATCTCCAAATAAAATCTAGTATCTGAAAAAGCAAGCTAGTTTAAGCCACTGCAACTGGCCTCAAACTGTAACATAAAGCTTTGCTCATACAAGGTGACAAGCAAGTAGTTATCCGAACGGGATGTTTGCTCCAGACATTTGGCTAAAAATGCCCACCATCTTACTGTATTTTTGCTCCAGAGGATTGGGTAATAATGACCATTGTTTTACTGCAATGGTGTATTGTGTATTGTTGTTTTGGTAAAATAGCCATTATTACAAATGTATTGAAGTGCACATTAAAGCCGTTTTTATTCACCTTGCCAGTCAATGAATTTTGATGCCCGCCATTCTGATTTTTAGCTGATAGGTATTGTTTATGATTTGGCATCTTTTGTTTTCATATACTTATATTGTACATCTGCATTTTGTTATATTATTCCTATGCACCACCTGGAACCTAACATACAGTATGAAAATATTGTAAAATTTAAAAATCTAGTAAAGAAGAACATTTGCAACAGATATCTGAGTTTATTTAGTCACGTCCAAGGCAGACAGCATTACATCAACATACGACTGTTTAAGTAGCCTGCCTCTTCCAAGTCCAGCACGCCATGGCTAGTTGAGGGTTGATGGTTTGGGAGTAATCTTAAGCTTTGATCAATTCAGAAATTATTTGCTGAACTTCAACTTGTGATAGAAGTGCTGAAATGCAATTTGTGACCGTGAGCAATGCAATTCACACTAAAGATTTCTTGATGGCAGCACATTGCTGAGCAGGTATCAATGAGGTATGAGGATATGCTCTGAGTAAAGCATTTAAGACTCCTTACTTCAGAGATGTGCATCAGAGGTGTAAACTTCTCATACACATTGTACTCTCAGTATCATCTCTAGAATGCTCTCAAGTTCTCAAACAATCAACAAGGTGTCTAGTGGGAAGTCTGGGCCACAGTATTTCATGCCTTAATCACTGGTTGTTTAGATTTCTGTAATGGGCTCTACTGACGATGAAACTCAAATATTTTGGCCACCTAATGAGAAGGAAGGACTCACTGGAGAAGAGCCTAATGCTGGGAACAATTGACGGCAAAAGAGAAGGGGACGGCAGAGGTTGAGGTGGCTAGATGGGATCACTGGGGTGGTCGGTGTGGACTTGGGTGGACTCCAGGGGATGGTGGAGGACAGGAAGGCCTGGAGGAGTGTTGTCCATGGGGTCATGAAGGGTCGGACACAATGTCGCAACTAGCAACAATAGGCTCTACATGGAGATGCCCTGGAAAATGTTCAGGCACTACAATTAGTATAAAACTGACTACTTAGACTTTATCCTGGTGCTTGGAGATCTCATTGCACTAGTCTTCACTTACTTCCAGTACGTCTTCAGGTGCAGTTCAGGGTGCTCTAAATTACAGGAGTCCAGGCAGCGGAGGCTGCATTGTCAATGGAGCAGTGGATTCACTCTGGGTTGTAGTCTGAACTTTTAACTTTGGGATTGCTGGACCCAATCCCAAAACTAGACTTGGCACCTTGGAGAGCTCCTTAGGCTACAGCGCAGGGTCACTCCACTGCTCAACTGCAATGCAGCCTTCAATCTCCACTTGATCCAGGAAACTTCACCTTCTTGCAAAGGGTTATGGTTAAGATGCAATCAGATGTTAGGTGTAGGGTGCAATTTTATAAGTCAAATACTCAAAGAGTAGAATGTGGGAGACATTCTAGCAAAGGTTGTACCTCCAGGAAAGCCCCTTCCAAGCCGTTTTTAGATCATGCAGATCAGTGGCTTTGGCTCCAACAGCTGCCTATAAAGGGAGGGAAAGAAACAACATATTTGCATGTGATCAGGGGATGCTCAAACAATGGTGCAGGAAGGACTCTGTTGTCTTTCCTAAGAGACAGAAACCAAAGAACTGGATGATTCTTGCTGATGAAGCCATGAATAAATTAACCAAATAAATTGGCAAAGAGGCAGCTGTAAAGGAATGTGTGAGGAAACCTTTTATTTACTAAGTAATATAGACAATCCAGAGTCCCATACCTAACTCAGATGCATAGACAGTAGCATTGCACTATATGCTGATATTTTGGGACATCTAAGAAATTATTGATTTATTTGCATTTACCAAACAGATCAAATGAGCCACCTGCATGGCCTTTACAATCCTTTCTATATTTATTTATTATTATTTATTTAAAACATTTCTATGCCGCCCCATTCACAAAAAGCCTCGGGGCGGCTTAAAAAACGGACAGCAATCACAACAATTAACCTTAAAAATCTTGGAGACATTTCGGAACAATAAAAAAAACAATAAAAATCAATTAACAATTAAAATAACTTTTAAATAAAAAGGTCTTGGCCTGGCACCGAAAAACAAATAACGACATATACATACAGTTTCACACTTCCATGCATTCCCCCCTGCTCTGTTCATGGCAGGGATGCTAAGGAAAGCCATTTGGTTCCCTAACATCAACTTTTCAAACTAATATAACCAAAACTCAGTAACCCTTCACTAAATTTTGTAGTGGCATTCACCAATCAAAAAGTCTGTACAAGAATTTATATATTACAGAAAACAATATCAAAACGCATTATATCAGGATAATGGCTTGCAAAAATGTGTATATTAGTCACAGCAGTGAAGGCAAATGCACATATTAGGAGAAATGTGCACACAACTGTGAAGAAGCTCTCAGGAACATTAAAAATATTCTCCATATTTGCAATGAACTGAAGGTAAGGTTGGAAAAATCCTCAAAGCTCAGGATGGACTGAATTTAAGACTGGGAAAGTGAGAAATGGGGAGAAACTGCAACTTCCAGAGGTGTTAACTAACAATCATATTAAAGGAAGACAAATCCAAAGGTAGTCCCATTGGGAAATGGAGGAACAACTGAATAGGGCCAAACCCACTTCTGAAAATCCTTTTGATAGGAATCCTGTTGCAAGTCATCATGCTAAGCTGAATAGATGGATCCCCCCAAATAGCTTTGATTGATCTGCAAGGGATCTACACTAGAGTACTTTGCATTTATTAAGGGCTACTGTTGCGCTATTTATGCAAAACATTTACCACTGCTGGAGCAAATGCTAAGGAACACAGTGCAGTATTCACTGTGTTAAAATTGTGATGGTGTGCTTGTACCAATACAATTGTGGGAGAAGCAGGATGAGTTGGAAAGGCAACGCGTGTTTGGAAATGGCCTTTTTAAAAGTGTTGGGTCATTTTGTTTTGTTGCCAATCAGCCATGTGTAAGTATGAAGATATAAACATTTGGGGATTTTAAAAAGAATGGAAAAAAATTGACAGCTATTCCTGCTCTCTCACCAAAACAAACAAACAAACAAAAACATGGAGGAAGAAAAGGAAACGGGGCAAGAAGAGGAAGAAGCAATTCCCAAAATGACTCTCATGATGATTTCCCCAAGAGTAAGCACCAATGAAGTCGATGCAATTCACTTTTAAGTACTTGCCATTGAAGATAATGTGACTTCTAAGTAGACAAGTAAATGAGCCCCATTGAAGATAATGTGATTTACTTCTGACTAGGGTGCTTCAGCTACTTGTTGTTTACAGGAGAGGAGAGGGGGGAAGCAGCATTGCACTTGCTCTCCAGTTCACTGGGCAAGTCAGAGAGGGATTGGGGTGGAGAGAGGGAGATGGAGAAAGATTTGGAGGCAGGGAAGGCAGGAAATCAAAAGCTGGTTTGATTTATCTCCTTCCAGAACTGCTGCTATTTAGCCAAAGCCCCATAAGGCACTTTCTTTTAAAGTGCCTCTCCCTGAAGCCATTCTTCCCACACAGCAGTACCACAAGTTTAGCACACACCGTAGACATTAAAGAAAAACAGAAAAATTCTCATAAAACTGGTCTGAGCTACAGATGTTAACTTTGTATTGCTTGTTAGCTATCACCACAGTGTTCCTCAAAAGGGCAGAATTCCCCAGCATGGTGCCGGGTGTCAACCTACCATAAATGAGTCACCCAGCGCTGCCACAACTTGGAGGTCAGCTGGCTGCAGTCTGTGCACTAGAGAAGGGGGGAAAAGAAGCAAGGGAATCACTGGCATGATACACTGAACAGACTGTAAAACTGTAGAGCTGGAAGCCGAGAAAGAATTCATGCTTGTATAGTTGCAATCCTATGCACACTTACCTGTGTGTAAACCTGTCAAATACACAAACTTGGAGGACTTATTTCCACATACATATGCATAGGAGAGATTTGTACAAAAGGAAGAGAAAACGTAAAAGGCACATTTCCAATGCCAAACTTTCCAAGTGCTTGCTAAACAATAACATACATATTTCTGATAAGACAGGTTTTCCAAACCCTTCATTTTCATTGTTGCCATATTCTGGCTTGAATTATCTTTTCGGAGGAGGGGAATAATCCTGCATACCCTTTAGGGATCTTAGATTTCACAGAAGTCAGTGGGATTTAATGAGCCTACTGTGTGCAGTATCCTTGCTCTCATCTATACCCATAACAGCCCTAAAGGTACTTTGGCTGTGATAAGAGGCTCTCAGAATCCCAGTTTTCATTTTAAAACAGTTTTACAGTCTACACCAATGGAGAAAAGCATGCTTGAAAATGCAAGGCCCCCATGCTAAAAGAAAAGAAATAAAGAGAAAATGAATAAAATCACATTTATTCACTAGCACCCCCACACACACCTCCACAAAATTGTGCAGTAACACAGCACTGAGACTTTAAACAAGCAAACAAAAACTGCAATATTTTTTCTTATCATGGCTTATTTCTTACCTGATGTTGCAGCTTTTCTTGATACAGTCTCTTCGGGGCATGACAGGTCACTACCCCAGTTCTTAGATAAATGCAGTCAACATATAATTAGACATTATTTATATACTATGACATATTTTGAACTTAGAAGAAATCCAGTAACGGCTATTGTCTGAAAGGAAGCGCTGCCCCCAGCCATCTATGGTGGCACAACCCACCCTCAAATTATTGCCCTCACCTCCAGGCTTCATTGCAAAGGTAGCATAACACCAAGTGGTATGAATTTGCATTACCTATCATGTACCGTATTTTTCGCTCTATAAGACGCACCTGACCATAAGACGCACCTAGTTTTTAGAGGAGGAAAACAAGAAAAAAAATATTCTGAATCAAATGGTTGAATCTATTCTTAAAAGATAGAGCGAATATGTGTGTGCAGTAAGTCTGTTGGTGTGTGTTTTCAAATGGCAACCCATCTTTTAATGAAGCCCATGGGGAAGTGATGGGGAATGTGCCTGTGATTTGCCTGTGTTTATTAAATAGTTTAGTAAACCATTTGATTCAGATTTTTTTTTCTTGTTTACCTCCTCTAAAAACTAGGTGCGTCTTATGGTCAGGTGCATCTTATAGAGCAAAAAATATGGGATTCGCTCTATAAGACGCACAGACATTTCCCCTTACTTTTGAGGGAGGGGAAAGTGCATCTTATAGAGCGAAAAATACGGTATATCACATTTTTTTCAAAACGCAGTGAGATTTTCAATCTTTATTTTGTTTGCTGTTCATCAGCCCAAGGGGAAACATTCTATCCTTTCCTTTATGCAGAAAGAACCAGAAACAAAAATAGCTGCATGTTATTCTCCTGACACAGAACCAGCTCTCTGCCTCCTACAAACAGATTGTTCTGTGCCAGACTCATTGTGACTTTAGAGTGAACAATATAACTCCTAACCCTTCCTATGTGCTATACATGGAGATTCGCTTATTCATAGCAACACAAACATCCGCAGTGGGCTTCTGCCTGCTACTCAATAAAAACACCCAACCTGTCCCTCCATGCCTGCTCCCCAAGCCTCACTGCACAAGGGGTCCCTTCCATATTGCACCTGCCTTTACTCTTCAATATACTCTAGAGGAGGAACCTGAGTCAACTGGATGCTATATGGCAGGTCAGCTTAACTGTCATCTCAGGAGTGAAATTCTGAAATTCCATGCCTCTCAGAATCACTTCTGCTGCCATAATGAGACCACTTTCTTTGGAAAGTCACTGGAATACAGATACTTTTCATGCCACCAGTTGCAACCTAAACTATCCATTACATCAGTGTTTAACTGCTGCCTTTGCTAGAGAGAGAACTCACCAAACGTATCTAAAAGGCTCACAATAATGGATAATGGCCCCTCACCACTTCAAATGAAATGCTCAAACCCTAAATTTTGGAAGATGAAAAAATGCATATTCTGAAATTACTGTGTACATTGTTTGAGGTCCAAGCTAGATGCGTGGATCTCCTGAGGTTAAACAAAAATGAATAGCAGCCATTTGGAATTCCTCCCTTCCTAGGTAATCCTGTTTTTGCCACCAGGTAAAGACTTTTTTATTTAATACTTGTTTTTAGAAAATTGGTTTTATCGTGTTATTGGTGCTGGTTTAATTGTTTTACTGTTCTTATTTATTGTTGTTCATCTGTTTCCCTAGTTTATACTTTATGTATTATTGGATTCTAAGAGGTTTTAGATGTCATAGTTTTACTCTGACCGTGGTTTTATGTTGTTGTTCCGTCTCTTATGACAGTGGAACCAGCTGCCTAGAGAGGTCATGGGCTTTCCCACACTGGAGACATTCAGAAAGAAATTGGACAGCCATCTGAGCGGGATGTGTAACTTGGTGTCCTGCAACAGCAGGGAGTTGGACCCGATGGCCTTCATGGCCCCTTCCAACTCTTCTATTCTATGATTCTTTGTGAGCTGCCTAGAGAGCCCTCAGACTATGGAGTGGCATACAGATGCCATCAATAAATACATATATAAATATGGTTCTTCCTTCAAGTTGTGCCCTACATGGTAAATAACAGCTTGCTGCACTGAGGGTATTGATGGTATTTTCATTCAGAAAACAGTCCAGACAAGGAGGGATAACTCTCTGCTCAAGCGGCATGATCTCAGTAAGTATCCACCCCACAGCTACTACTCAAACCTTCACAAATATCCTATAATAATTTCTAATTTGCACCCTGTAGATCTTTCTGGAACCATTAGGAAGCTAGGAAGAAAGAGGGCAGTAATAGTCGCAAATATATACCATGTTTCCATGTATAACATGCAAGGAATGGAAAAGGAATCACCTGGTTTGTGTTGTTGCTGTTCCTGTATGTTCCAAGGAAGGGTTTGTGCTAATGGAAAAGGAAAATAAGCATCAACTCCAAAGATCACACACTGTAGCAAAGGAAGAGGTATTGTAGAATTCATTTCCACAGAGTGATCAACCTCACACAGAATACTGTTGTACCTACACAGGACACTGGTCTAGTTCAAAGAGAATAAGAACCCATGATTTGTTGCCATGAGAAGAATTCTGCAAAAGTCTTGGGCTTGAACAACCCGCCCGCCCCCTTTCTTCATGTGAGGAGATTTCACTTTTAGTTTAGAATTAACCACAGTTCCCTATTATATCTGAACCTTTCATTCTCCTCTCTCATACTTTTTCTGTGTGTTAGATAAAGAAAGAGGAGATTGAAAATGTTTGCTTTAAAGCAAGCTAAATCACCTCATTATGTCCAGACTTGGAGAACTGTGATTTGTTCTAACTGTGTCTGGTAAAAATAAATCATGATACATTGTGGTTTTATATCCTGGCTAATTAACTAGTCAGAGTTAGAAAAGCCACAGTTCCCCCACATTTGGACCTAATGGGGAAATGTCGTTCTTCTTTGTAAGCTAATTTGTACGATGGCATATCAACTACAGCTTCATAACTTCAGATCAAACAGCTGAAATATGGCCATAAATGAAAGGTTGAGCTAAATGGAAACAGCAGCTTGTATTAATGAGATCCATTCTGCAGTGCTGTGCAATCTTACAGAGCAGTCAGTTCCATTGACCACAGTAGGATTTACTTCTGGGTAAACATGCTCAGGATTGGGCTGCTAATTCATATAATTACACCACTGTATGGCTGAGTACTGGATTTCCCACAGTGCTTTGCACTGGGAGAACTGAAGGGCACAAACACCTGGGAGGTGTTGATGAGTAGCAAGATCCCATACTTGTTCATTCAGACACAGTCCCCATTGAGATCAGTCGGACCTATTGCAGGTAAGTGTAGATAGGATTGCTAGCTAAACATTGCAAAATGGGTGGAAGATTCCCCTCTTTGAGCAGAAAGCTTATTAGGGGATTTGTATGGGGCTCAATCCTCTAAAAGAGAGAGGGAAATTAGTAAAAAGGAAAAAAAAAAAAGCTTGACTCCACACAGTATATAATAATTTAGGAATCATACATCTAATCAATTATCAGTTGTTAAATTGTTGTTACTCATATTTTCAGGACTCATAACCTTTACTTATATACCCAAACTGTGCACTCCTAGAAAACTTCTCATTGGAAGATAGTTTACCAGAGATGGACAACTCAAGGTTATATTATCCATAAAGCTGAAGGAAACGGCTTTCTTTCCTAAAGGCTGAAGCTGGGAAACAAACAAACAAGAATTATTTTGTAATATCTGTTATTTTAATCTTTGTTGTTCATGCTTATAATTAATGAATGTATTGCTACGTGCTGTCAAGTTGTCGCTCACTTTCGGTGACTCCAAAATGTCCTGACCTTGACAGCCCTGCTCAGCTCATGCAAACTCAAGGCTGTGGCTTCCTTTATGGAATGGATCCATCTTATAGTCTGTCTTCTCTCTTCTCATTTGCCATTTTTTCTCCCAAGGAAAGTTCTGGCTTGATTTGATCCAGGGCCCATTTATTTGTCTTTCTGTTGCTCAGGGTTTTGCAAAGCTCTCTTCCACCTCCATGGTTTGAATGGATCAATTTTCTTCTATTCATTATTTCTCTTAGTCTATTTATTCTATTTAATAAATAGTATGGTGTAATCATAGCACTATTTGATTCCCAAGGCATCCGGCAAAACTATTGCTTTCCTCTACCCAATATAACCCCTTTCCATTGCAGTTTACTGAAAATCCTATATGAGTAATGCAGTAACTACCTAACAGGATAAATTATGGAGCAGTAAGATTATATTTGAGAATACAAAACAAATCTTTCCCTAACACAATGTAATCATAAAATCTGGACCAATTTTCCCCAGGGTCTTTCCAGATAGATGCTCCCACACTACTGATCAAGGTATATCGTGCAGCTATTCTGTCTCTCCCTCCTTAACAGATTTATCATAGAAAGAAAAAGACAGAAGAAACAGAGGAGGGCTACACATGGAAAGCAACATCCTTTGGACCCCTTGTAACATTCTGTGAAAATAGTGGCACAACTGCACAGTAAAATGATATTGTGGCCCAGCTCTGCAAGTAGCTTTAAAAATTAAGAGAGCTGAAAGTTGTGGTGAAAGGAAAGTTGTATTGCTTTGGTGTAACCATTGCGTTGCACTTCCCCAGCCTTTGTCATTGCTGAGATTGTCGATCCATCTTTCTACTTTCAGACATGAAAGGGTCTTTGCAATGAAGGATAACATACACTGTATTAAAAAGCTTGTAGCAAAATTCTTACACTGCAGAAGCCTGTGCCCTACCATATTGTTCCAGAGGGCCCGAGAGAGCTGGGCATGTGCTTTTTGACTCAGGTGCAAACAATCAGGTGCAAAGAAGGAGACATCTGGACGCCCATCCTGAAAATTGAGAAAGCCTTAGCTGCTTAGTTAAAACAACAACAGGCAAAAATCTTGGGGATGCTTTCATAGAATTCATATTTATTATTCAGAAAGAGCTGCATTTTGACATAAAGCAGGTAATCCTATCCATCATTCTCATAATTCCAGATCTAAACAGTGAGAGGTTCAAGACAGCAAAGAGATTAATTTCTTCACACAGTGCCCAACTGAACTATGGAATTTTTCTTCCTCATGGTTTAGTGGTAGCTACCAACTTATGTGGCTTTAAAAGGGGGGTTGGACAAAATTATAGAAGAGAAGACTGTCGATGGCCACTAGTCCTGATGGTAGTAGACCACCTGCAGGAGAAGAGGCAGTGAGCTCTCAGTACCAGTTACCAATGTTACCATCGCACTCATGTCCTGCTTATGGACTTCACATGGGCCTCTGGCTGGCCTGTGTGGGAACAGAATGCTAAACCAGACAAGCCTTAGGTCTGATCCAGCATGGCTCTTCCTATGCTCACCTTCAGATATATTTTTCCTGTCCTCAGTCCATTCAAAATTGTTGTTGACTTGAAGGGAAGGAAGGTCATACAACAAAGAATATGCTGCATCCAGTGGACGTGAATAGTCCATTAAACCCAGAGGAAATGTTTGGTGGTTTTTCGTATCTGTCCTGAGCCTGTGGCAGTCTGCCTGAGTGGCTGCCTTCCCTAATGTTTACTGTGAGTCCATTCAAGTCAATGGGTGGTGAGGGTGCCAGTGCTTATAGGACTCCGTAAGATTTAATGTGAGCTCTTTCAGGTCAATCTGACTTTTTGCATTGCCTGAAAAGATGTTCGAGCTTTTCTTGATGCATTGCTTTCAAGCCTCAAAGAATTATGAAACATGATATAAAAGATGTACGACACAATACTAAATACTGAGTCGCATGTATTAATTGCATAGCAGAAAATTATGTAAGCTGATAATTTCTTACATAAGGCAATCTGTGTAAGAGAACAAAGCTAGATGTTGTGTGAGAAGTCAAAGGTCAGTCTGGATTCGCAGCTCCAAGGCTGGAGATGGTGCTTAAGTCTCGAGGCTGGAAATCGGCACTCTGACCCCTTGCCTCACATCCACGCAACCCATGTGGAAAGAACTGCACTGGTGCTCTTCAAGGTCAGGAAGGTGCTCTCAGAGAGGCATAGAAGGGTCATGGGGAAGAGGAGACCAGGATGCAAAGGAGTGGGAGATAAGCTTGCCTCCTTACTCCTTGCACGGTGCACTGGATGAACATGAGTCTCTGTCTTCAGAGACTTACACCCATCTCCCTGGGATTGTGCCTTGGATGGTTAAAGTCACCCAGGCCTATACAGCCTTGCTGGCACTGCTTTAAGAGTAAAAATGAAGCAGCTGTCAATCAAGATGAACTCTGAGCTTTCATTCACTGTTTTAACAAGCTTTGATCACATCAGCCCCGATTTCTTACAAAGCAGAACAGATTCTGAATCTCCAGACCCTTTCAAAACATGTCAGGGTTTGGTTCCTGCTGATTTGCTTATGCTAGCAATGCCTTTTGCTTTAAATCTTGCCATATATGTTTCCAATTCCAAAAGAAATCATGCAATAGAGGTACAGATCTAAATTAAGCGATACTGGCAATTTACACTGAGAATATCTGTTTACAAACATTGTAAAAGAGGAGGACAAATTTGTTCTGTATTTTAGCTATTCGTTTATTTGTGTGTGCTGTTGTGTAGGGTGTACCAGGCCTCTGAGTAATCTGTGAGCTCACATCACATTGGTGACTGATGTGCACGAAGACCTCTTACTTAGCCAGTCATTTTTATAAGTGGCTCTCAGTTATTAAGGAATAAACCATCAGGTCAAGGATGTATCCGAGTCTGGGACTCAGTCAAGTCGCCTGGCAATAGTCTTACATACAAAGCTTCATAGAAAGTCCTGAAAACATTGAGGTCCTTCCTTCTCAGGAGAAAAGCAGGGGAAGCATACATGTTACATCGAAGACTTACCTGTAGAAGGGGTAATGCAACCGTGTGGAGGAAAGGCTGTAATACCACTGTAAAATCTTCTTTAGTGTCATACCTGCCAGTTTCCACTAGTTTGTGTAGGCTAATCTGTGAAAGCAACATAAAGTACTATTCTTCAATGCCTCAGCTTATTCTGGAGCACTAAGAAGATCTTTGTTTTGCACATTAGCTGGCAACAGGAAGCGTGCAACTTGATTCTTGATCCCAAATACCCAGTGATGCAAAATTAGGAATGAGAATATCTGACAACTCACATTTTCCCAAGCGTAAGCATGGCTTGTTTCTGAAAAACTTCTGCATGAACACTATTTTGTGTTCATTTCTACTAATATACACAATTTTTATAGACTGCTTCTAGCATGCACACTTTTTGCAAGCAATTTTACTTGATTATACTAATTTTTCCATACATTTCCCTAATATATAATATTTATTTCTGTGCACATTCTTCCTTAATATGAACACTTTCTGTCTATCCTGGTTAGTGTATATCAGGACTGCCCAACCATTTTTAGTCCAAGAGGTCTAAATTCCATTTCAGATAATCTCTCAGGAGTTTTAATTCTATGGGTGGCTGAGACAGAAGATAAAAGGGGCAGGGCAATACCAAAACTCCGAATACAAGACCTACAATTTTACACCAGATTTATGAAAATTAGGTTTCATTTGTTTCTTTTTAGCTAAGCATACACATATCAGACTCATCACAAACTCATGCAAAATTGCAAAATGACAATATAGATTCTTTTCAGGTCTACCTGATAGTCTTTAACTGCTTCTTTCATCATCACCAGCTCAGATGAATTTTCTTGAACAGAGAAGATACAGCTACAATGATTTCTGCATGTGAAATAAGAGGTGGAAAGGCCATATAAAGGACTGTTGGAATGCCAAAGAGGCACATACACAGTTCCCCTAACTAGAGGCACACACAGATACTTATTTCCCGTCTTCTTCACATACAGATATGCAAAGTTTTGCTAGTGCTGGAAGCTCAGTAATGAACATAGATGAAGTGTTTTGTTAGAATTGTGTGATGTTCCATTCCTACCAGTTTTTTTATTAATATTTTGTTAAATAAAAGTTTCAATGCAGCCAACATTCTCCTGCAAGGCATGTTAATGGATATGTTGATTCAGTTTGGTAGACACTAACTCATGGAGATCTGGAGATGGAAATCATCCCCCTGCAGCTGAGTTGCTATATTTAATATACTGTTTGAACCAATTACATACTGCCCATCACAATGCAGGAGAGTCTGGAAAGAAAATACAGTGGTACCTTGGCTCATGAACTTAATCCATTCCAGGACTCTGGTCATGACCCAAACTGGTCATGAGCCAAGTCAAATTTCCCCATGAGGGTCAATGTAAATAAGGTTAATCCATTCTGTAACCATTTTTTTTAATCACAAAAATGTGGAGCAAAGTGACAAAGAACAACAAGGATCGCTGCCATCTCCCTCACCCCAGCACAACTGTGATGGCGCCTGTGTTCCCTGCGCGAGCGCAACCGCGATTGCAGCCATAGATGGGAGTGATTGCGGGAGTGCTCGGGGAGTGGGGAGACAGGTGCGATCATGGGCGCGCTCGCGGGTGGGAGATGGGCGTGATCGCAATCATCCCCTGATGCAGAGTTTGTGACCTAAGGCAAATTTTTTCAGAAATTTCTGTTCGCGACCTGAATTGGTCACGAACGAGGTGTTTGTGAGCCAAGGTACCACTGTAGTAGACATTTTGGTTGGTCAAGACATTGAGAAAGAGATTAGAAAATATAATTCCTTCCATGTTCAGTATCCAGGTTGTGAGTAGCAGTACTTATTTAGCTACAATGGCACCATCCATGTATAACAGAGCAACATTAGCCTACTTACAGAATTCCACCTCCCCCGCACTGAAAAGAAAAAAAGTCTATAAAAAAGAACTTTTTGGAATCCCCAACAACTCAGTGATGAGTTGAACATGATCAGTGGCCACAGATCAGTGATGAGTTGAACATGATTAGTGGCCACAGTGGTCATGTGGAATGGGAGATGTTGGGAGAGACTAATATGGATAAGGGGGAATTAAATAATGAGGCTGGAGTTCCGAAGAGCTGCACTCCAATGTGAGAGCCAGTGTGGCATAGTGGTTAAGAGCATGGGACTGGGACTCAGGCGATCCGGGTTCGAGTCCCCGCTCGGCCATGGAGCCAATTGGGTGACTTTGGGCCAGTCACAGACGCTCAGCCCAACCTACCTCACAGGGTTGTTGTTATGGGGATAAGATGGAGGAGGAGAATGATGTAAGCTGCCTTGAGCCCTTTGTAGGAAAAAGGCAGGATATAAATCGGAAAAAAAATGTGATGGTCCAACATCTTGTAAATCAGGAATCAGAATGAGACAAGTGCCTGCTGTACATTGTGTTGGCTCCAAGAAGGTTTAAGCCACATCCATCAGAGCAAACTAAGAGCAATTCATATGATTCACTTCAGGTGCAATCCAGTTGAGATGCCTGTAAGCCTCCAAATTTGGAAGATCCTATACAGTATGGGAGTGATCTTTACTTCTGCCCTCCTACTCTCCTGAAAGTCAGCTAGATGGCAAATTTCAGCCATCTAACTGCAGGGCTTTGGAAGGGAGGGAAGGAGGCTGGAATGCTGTCAGGATTCACCATATCTTGGTGGCTCTGGACTCTTCTTCTCTCCAGCCTCCCAAAATACTACCTTTACTCCTTCTCCATGGTTCCTCTTACGGCCTCAGAGAAACAGCCAGCATGGTTCTTTCCACACTGGCTACACTGTCTGGGGGCCACAGGATTGCTCTGCCCTTCTATTTCTTTCAAAACCACCCAGAGAGCCTTCTGGGCTACTAGGGTGGTATATAAATGCAAATAATAAATAAATAATAAAAAAATATTTCTGTGATTTGAATTGATAAGGAATTCACTAAATTATTACTTGGTAGAGAAATGCAATCTGCAACATTGGATTTTATGGAACTTTAATACACCTACATACAATGCTTGGTCGTGTTATATTACTTGTAGATGTTGTGGTTTGTAAGCTGCTTTGGACAAATGTTTTATTTCTGAAATGTGACATGGACATCCCTAAGAAATAAGGATATTTTTTAAATTAAAAAATAACTTATTGTAGCCACCACATGTAGATTGTTGCAATACATCCTGCTGGCTTGTAATTAGCTTTCTGAAAAGGTCTAAAACAAAGCTTTTCAGAAAATCGAATTTCACATGTTTCTGCTCTAAGAGGTGTTTGGCTCCTTCTGGCCAACTGGGGGCTTGTAGCCTGCTAGGTTTTCTACCCAACGTCCTTTCCTTATGTAGGAATAAAGTCACCATCAGACAGTATATAGTTTTCATATAACAGAACAGCATGTTTACAAGACTAGATCAAAGTTGCCTTACTCAACTAGATGTGTGGGGCAGGGCAGTCTGCTGTCCAGAAACAGCTTCCTGAAGGGAAGAAGGTCCATTACCTCCATCAGATTAACCAAAGCTTTAGGCACCTAATTTGAGGCAAAAAGCACAAGTCTTGTCACTTTTCTATCTCATTGTGGAAAAAGTAATCCAAGCTGAGTCATTATTTATGTATTTACTTACTACAGTTCAATATATTTCTCATCTTGTGTCACCCGATTCTTTCCCTACACCTACTCCTCCATAGGGGAGCTTTCACACCTCCCCAGAAAGCCTGGACTGTAGTTATTAATGTTGCTGCGAGTGTGTCATGCTCATCCACTGGGTATTATGAGTGATGCAGGGCTACAACTCCTACTTCCACCCTATCACATTACTCAGTCAAGCCTCTGGATTCCCACAGCATTGTATCCGTTAGCTGATTGCAGGGTGTTGGTCTCTACTGAAAAACATCCTTCTGAGATTTTCATACCACACAGAATGGCTTTTCCTCAGTCAAGCAAAAAGCCAACAAAAAACAAGGCGAAATCGCAGTGTCAGCCAATAACCAATATCCGATCCATCACAGAAGAGGAACCAGAAAAGAATCATGCCTTCAAATCAGGGCAGCAGGAGTGGGGAGATGTTTGTGACACGCCACTATAAAATAGGCCTTGGAGACACCCGTGCAGCTGGATTCTGTGCAGCAAGACCAGGTTCATGGATGAACGACTGGCACTGTCCTTGCAATGGGATGGGGAAAGATCTGAATTTCCCCCGCAACCAAAGAATCTTCAGTAATGCAGTTTAAGTGCTGCAAAAATGCTATATGTGATGAAATGAGTCCTCCAAAGAAGCCGGGCAGATATTACACGATAAATGATGTGCTCTGGTTGTGCTGTCACATGTGGGTTTGGAAATGTCTTAAAATACGACTGCATTGTGTTTTGAGGAATTGTGCAGCAAGATTTTGAAAAAAAGTGAAAAGATGCTCTCTGAGCAGCCACCACTAACCTCTGCATGAAGAAGGTCAAGGGCTTCTTGAACATAACGTGAAAAGTTTCCAGCTGAATAGTGATGCTAATAAAAATAAAAGATACAAGAGAGGGTCACTGGTCTTGGAAGAGGATACTATACTGGTAAATATTACTGATCCTAGAAGAGTAACAGTGATCAGAACAGCTATGCTTGCTAGCTTTGCTTCTTGAGCCACTCCTTTATTGGAAAACCTAATATTGCTTGTGGGGCTCTGGGACTTCTGTAACATTAAGTAGTCCAAAATAACCGCATACAGTGAAGGGCACATCCCTGCCCCTGTCACAAAGCCCATGGGTTTTCACAAAACACTCTCAAAACAAAACCAGAAGAGTGGGGAGAAGAGCAGATCTCCCTCCAGCCCCACCTAAACCTTTGCCCTTACACCAAAATAATGCTTTTGCTCTGGTACTGAAAGCTCCACATAAAAATAGCCAGGACTGCTAGGAAAGCCATTTAAACAGCACTATGGAAGTGTCTTCTGCAGTCACAAAGGGAACTGCTTAATGATTCTCTACCTACCACAGTTTTGACTTTCAATCAATATAATAGAGCTTCTAAAGGATTCCCATAACTCACAACATCTTTGCAATAGTTGCACAAATCATGCACTCCAATGAATACAGTTATGATCTTCCAGTCGGTGTCAAATTTGATTCTCTATTTAAAGAAAAGGGAAAAAAGTCATTGGTTAACCACACAGGTCTGTCACTCTTCAACTAACTTAATAACAACTAAGCAAGTTTCCTGAGCATTGCAAACCTACCACGTCAGTCTTCATTAATTTCACAAGATGCTTCACTTGATCTGCTAAGTTCCTAGAAAAGAACAAAACAGAAAGCAGTGAATCAGGGTAATATGATATGGTTGATGCCTGAACACTTCTGTAGATTAATTCTTTTTTTAAAAATTCTGTACAGTTAAGAAATGGATATTCCCGTTTCACTAACACAGGACTGGGATCCCAAATAGGGTGCATCATTTGTCCAGTCTAACTTTGCAATTATTGGCAATGAACTTAAACATAAAATAGTTAGACTCAGAGGAATGTTTAATAGAGGATCGACTAAACTATGTTGCCTTTGTGTATAACTTGATCAGGAAAAAAGTGACAAGGAAAAAATTACATTCGTCAGTGAAAGTGTTGGATGACTCATTGCTAACAGCAAGGGAGTCCATGAAACTAGCACACCTGATCAGGCCCAGTAGAAATCCACACTGTGAAAATTTGAGCAAGCCTTTAAGGTAAAGATAAGGTCTCTCCCATCTTATGCTCAAAGTTGCTGTTGCTTTGAAAGAAGTAGTTGTAGTAGTAGAGTTGAGAGTTTCTGCTGGAGCAGTTTAATGAAAATGAAAGCAGAAAAGACAGACAGACATTGTCTGAACTTTCTTCCTAAAACCTTGATGAAAGCCAGCAATAAACCCACAATGGCAGCATCAAGAATTCATACTAAAGCTGTCCATACAGCTCCCATGAGTTGCTTTTTTCCACCCCCAGTTTGGCACTATAGTTGCTTACTGAAGCAACTGCATGGAAATGGTCTAACAGCCATGAAAAACAGAAGAGGAACAGAAACTGTGTTTTCTTAAGGAAACTCCAGAGTTCAGAGTAAACTGAAACTCTGTCCCTTTATTTGGTGTATTTTATAGCTTCCCCAATAGCAGGGATGGTATAAGAAATGTTCTCTGCATTATTTACATCTTTAAAAACTGGCTTTCTAACAGCAGGGTGACATAGTCAGGAAATCACTCCTTTGCATATTTAGACAGGGAAAAAATCTACAATTCCCAGGTGAGATTATTCCTTGCTTCCTTGGATTGTTGCATGGTAATCCAGAATGCATATCAAGTTTACTTTATTTCTCTTCTAGGGAAGGCTGTAAATAAACAGTGGTAGAAAGGACTTCGAATATGTGTGTGTCTCTGCAAGCTCAGGGACATCACTATAGCTGTCAAAATACATTAGTTAAGATTCTGTAGAACTGATTGTTCTCAGAACTTTCCCATTTGTGATTGTAACGACAATCAAACTAGACAAAAAAACCTTGCCAGATTTTTGCCATTTATGAGGCGCATGAACACATGCACACATGCAGAAACAGAGAAAGAGACAGACAGACAGACAGACACACAGACACAGCGAGAGAGAGAGAGCACCTGCTAACTGTATCTCTGCTTCTGTTGTAGACTTAAAGAAAAAAAGATTTGAATACTTATCACAAGAAAGAAGATCTTGAATAATTTTGGACAGCCTGTCTAAGGGGCTTTGCATATAAACCAGTTTGTGAATGTGCAGTGAATGCACATCAATGCTATCCTTGCATGGTACAGAACTGTCATTTTCCTTGTGCTCAAGTTGCCAGGCGTATTGCCAGAATTGCCATTCGTTCCTCCACCAAGCTTTGGGGTGTCCCTTGCAAAGGCCAGCGTGCTGCAATATGACTCCATAAGTGTCCTAAGTCGCTACTCGCCAGTGCGAGTAACTCACGAGTGACGCCAGACATAACCCACCAGGCCTTTGCAGAAACCTTGAATTTAAAGAAGAAAAAGTGTATTTTTTTCTTTATACCCTTGCTGTCTGTGAGCACCAGCTGGCATGTTGTATTACTCTGTGTTAATTTTCAAATAGATTCTAAAATCTGAGATGCCACCCACACACCCCACATTGACATGCTGCATCATAAATGTGCTAGATTTTCTTGAAATGCCTTTATTGTATGTGCCCTCAGCAACACCTCCTACCTGCTAAACATAGTCAGCACTCGGGTGCTCGTTAAGCCCTCTTACCAGAAATACCCCCACACGGGAGGCTCTCCTATGTCCACTACGTGGGAGTCGGATAGGTAATTGCTGAGGGGAGTCTGCGCATACATTATGAGGACTCACTGTGGTTGTTTGGAAAGGCCCATTACTGTGCCCTCTTGTTCCCTCTCAGTTCTGACATTTATTAGATTCATATCCCTCTTCAACCCAATGAACTTAAAGCAGCCTACATCATTCTCTCCCTCCTGCTCTCAATCTTCTCCTCACAACAACAACCCTGCAAGGTAGTTTGGGCTGTGAGTCTGTGACTGGCCGAAAGTCCCTCAGTTGGCTTCATGGCTGACCAGGGACTAGAACCCAGGTCGCCTGAGTCCCAGTCCCACCTGCTTAACCACTACACCACCCTTGCATTCCTGACCCTGTAAATGGATGGCACTAACTGTCCTGAACGCTTGGTGGAAGGACAAGACATAAATGCTCATAATAAATAAACAAACAAACAAGTTTTTCTACACAGCCATTTTATTGTTCATGACTTGGGGTTGTTTATGGGCTCTTTAGTGGATGGTGTGGTCCTCTAACTATGCTTCTTTTTTCTGGAGCACTTTCTGGTTTTGATTTTTGTATTGGAGGAAAACGGTATTGTATTAAAACCAGGGAAATGGCACTATTTTGCCTGTATTTACTGCACAGCACCACCTAGAGGTTACATAGCAGAAAAGCAGGAAAAGTAGAGTTCTTTGTGTAGAACTCAGATCTACAGGTTGGGACAAAACTGAAAGCAGATAGTAGAATTAATAACCTCATGCTGAAATGACCTAGAACACCATTATATCCTACTGAGGTGGTGTAACCTGAATTAGGTCCCTTATAAGTAGAAGAAAAGTGGAGTATAAATGTAATGCAGTAATCATCATCATCATCATATATGTGAAGGAAAGACATACTCAGCCTTTGCTCCTGGAACTGCCTGATTGAGAAAAGCACCAGGCTCCTGAAAGCCACCTGTGGCTGTTGAGTAGCCTGTGAGATGAGCATTGAACTCACGAAGGATATCTGAAAGAAAAGGAAAACCATGTGAAGAAATAAAAGGATCTGCGGAAAAGGAAGATTATTGCCCAGTTATCAGGTGAAATACAGGTGACTTCTGCATTCTTCACAAGCTTTGCTGTATCTTTTACTAGTAGCATCCTAATCCAAGTAGTGAGCGAGAGAGTGACATAACTCACTAGGAAAGCTGCTGACCTCTGCTGGGGCCCTCTGCGTGTCCCCAGAGTAGCATCAGGCTTGTCAGGAGTGCCATATCAGCACTGTACCATTTCTTCAGCAGCTCCACTAGAGCTTTGTTGGAACATCTGATACTGACACGGTGATGGACCATTGATCCATTTCGTCTGGTTGACTGCAGCTCCACAGAGCGTCTGACAGGGTCTTTCCCAGCCCTACCTGGAAATGCCGGTGATCAGACCTGGAACTTTTGCAGGCCAAAGCTCCCACTGAACACACTCGCCTGGCAGTAAGCCCTGCTCCATTCAAATGTACAACTGCGCTGTTAGAGTTATCTCCACAGCACCTCATTTTGGTGTGAGAAGACTTTTTCTGTGTTTGCATCCCAGCTGTAGCATTCTTTTCCTGCGGAAGCTACATTTAGCTCCCCTCACTTTTGGCTTCTGCTGCCAAGAAACACTTTTGCTATGGTGGGCCTTTCATCAACTTTGGAGTTTTTCAGCTGATTTGGCTGCTTTAATTATCTGCTGAACCGTTTGCATCTTTTCTAGTTTTCAGGTATTTCACTTGTTCAGTGATTGTATTTTTGTAATCTTGTTAGGCATCTTTCATTTTACTCTAGTTAGTGGAATGGTGGGGTACAAATTATTATAATAAATATAAAAGTTAATGAAAATATGTGAAAGGAGCATGAAGTGAAGGGAGTGGGAGAGCTGTACGACCTTGGCTGGCTGAAGTGCTGGGAGTGAGAAAGATGGCTGCTTTGGGTGCAAGCACACTCTCCAGGGCTGTTAGGTGGTCTCCAGAAGAATCAGAATCAGGAGGAGGAGGAGGAGGTTTGCAGCACAGGTCCGGGGAATGTGGGCCAATTCCAGATGTTGAGATGGGAGAAGCAGAGATGCTTATCTCAGGGCCAGACTCCCCAAGTAGGCAGGCAGTCTCTGGGAATAACCAAGATGTGCAGTTGGTGGCGGGGGGCGGGGACTTGGGGCAGGAGAGTTTCTCAGATGAACAGGGCACAGCTCTTGAGCCCATAATGTGTTCTCAGCAGAGGAGGGTGGCCCAAGTAGAGGATGGACATGCCGTGGGGAGGCGTGCCCATCTTCTGAAGGCTCCTCCCAAAGGGATGGGGGCCAGGCATGCTCATGCCCTGGAAGGAAATACTAGAGTGGTTTCAACAAACTACTTTGTACATGCTCAGAGATGCCTTCTGGGTGTTTGTGAATCTGGTAAATGCATTGATCAATACAGAAGGTTTTGCAAGAAGGGCCAGTGGCTTTGAATGTGCAAAGGAACGAGCCCCAGCTCATGACATGAAGCACACTACAGTGACAAAGCAGGGAAATGCTGAAGCAGGCAAGGTGTTCATTTTAAGTTGTTAAACGGGTGATCCAGTGCATGTTTGGGGTGCGGGGGGGGGGGGAGACCTACAACTTCCAGCATGCCCCAGCCAAAACAGGTATACAAAGGATTGTCCCTTAAATATACACCCTGCCTTATTCTTGACAGAGCCAGGGGATTTTGAGAGTTCACTATAGCTTGGTAAAACAAAAGTTGTTCTGTACTCAGTCCTGGCTCCTTAAGTAGTGCTCTTTTGGTTTCGTCAACAAACAATAGCTAATTCTGTGAAGTACTGTGATAGACTTTTCCATCCACTCTGGTCTGGTAGCAACTGCATAAGAGCATTTCTGTACACATTCAGTCATAAGTGCTGTTAGAATTCCAGCCCTTCTTGACTCATTATTCTCTACTGAAATACACACAGAGAGAACCTGTTTTAGTTAAACTCTGTGATGGCAGGAGCCAAGCTTTTACTTACTAGGCAAAGTTGTTACACTCCTTAATGATGCATCTCCTCCAATGCTGCAGTAAGAAAACAAACAATAAATTCCAAGCTGTTTTTAGTTAAACTTAGCCAAAATGGTGACAAGCACCAAAAGACAGATCTCATGTTTTCCAAGGAAAATATGATGGATATAGTATGATATAGTATGACAGTTAGGACCTCGAGGGTATGGAATGGGCTTCCCCAGGAGGTGGTTGAGGCCCCATCAGTGAGGATGTTCAAAGATAGGCTGGGCATGCACATGGTGGGCATGTTGTGAATGGAGCTGGCTGGGTCAGACTAGATGGCCCAGGAGACCCCTTCTGACTCACTCTGTTTCTATACCTTTGAATTTAGAGATAGTGGAGGAGAAAGTGGGCAATCAAAGCAAGAATACAAATGATTAACATGCTGTAAAGTTTCATGACAGGGGTTTTGCTCCAGCCCCTTCATCATTTTGTGGCATCCTCCATCCAGGATGCCAGTAATGCTTCACGCACTGAGGATTGCTAGCATTCTATGTCGGGTGGAAGGAGTTCAGAGGAACCTCCGTGTGCCTCCTTCCTTGCAAAACATGGATTTGGGCCACAGAAGTTGCACAGAAATGAGGCTGAGGCACTGCCAGGATGCTTGATGTTGTGCCAGTGCCTGTCTGCTCTCCCCTTCGCCTTCCTGGCCGTCCACTCAGCCCCATCTCTGGAGTTGCTTTTGTGACCTAGAAGTCGCAGGCAGTGCTGTTCTTTCCTGCATGCAGAGGAGTGTTTTGAGCTTGGGGGCCCAGCTACAAGGTCAGAGAGCTTTGGGTCTCCATTACCCCTTTCTGCTCTTTTTCCAGTTCCACAATATCCTTTTGTGGCTGTTAGAACCAGAACTGTAAACAGTATGCTAAGTCTGGTTGCCCTGCAGATTTGTATAAGGGGCATGTGATAATTGCAGTTTTATGTTTACTTCCTTTCCTAGGTATGCCTGCCTTTTGCCTTTTTCCACAGTAGTCACACACACTAGATTGATGCTGCCTACCACATCCCTGATTCTTGGTCAGTCACTGCTTGCTCAGATCCTATCAACATGTGTGTGAAGTTGGGATTTTTATTACCCCAATGTGCATCACTTGATGCTTGCTTAACACTGAATTGCATTTGCCATTTCAAAGACCATTCCCCCAGTTCGAAGAGATCCTTCTGGGGAGCCTCACAATAACTTTTCCTTTTAATCACTCTAATAGTTTGGTGTTCATAGCAAACTTGGTCACTTCACTGTTCACTCCCAATTCCAGAACTTTTATGAACAAATTGAGAAGCATCATTGGGGTAGATTGGGACCCTACTGTTTATGTCCATCCATGGGAAAATTGACCACTTATTCCCGCATTCTTTTCCTGCTCTTTAACTAATTACTGATCCATAAGGGGACCTCTTCTCTTATTGCATGATTACTGAGACGATCCAGAGCCTTTGGTGTGGAACTCTGTCAAAAGCTTTCTGGAAATCCAAGCAAACTTGTGTCCTGGATCAGCCTGTCCACATGTTCACTGACACTCTCAAAGAATGGGGAATGGTGGGAATTGCAGTCCGACAAATGGAGGGCCACCCATTCTCCTTCCCTGATTTACAGTACCGACAGGGCCAAGAACATTTGCAACTGCAACTTGAGCAGGGCAAATTTAAGGAGCTGGCTTCCCTTGCTGTGAAGACACGTGTCATTCCTTTTCGTGTATCCCGTCCCACTTTTCAGTGAAAGGGGGAAATACCTATTTGCCCACTCATTGACTTGGTTGCTATACGCAGCACAAGGATATCCACCTACCTCCATGCCAGACCCCGGTACTGTGTATTCATATCCCACATATCATTTGGTTTGGAAGCAATGCCATTGCCAGCCTACCTCAGAAAGGCAAAAGAGAGAGATGACTTTAGCTATTGATATATTTTGCTTTTGCTCATAATGAAACCATCCTTTAAAAGCTTTGACTCTTGGAACATGGGAAAAAGACCTTTTAGTCAAAGAATTTTAAAAAAGCACCTCTGTATGACATTTTGAAAATTCTGAAATAGTTGCTGTGTACACAGTGTTCTTTCAATAAGACTTATGGCTTCATGAAGCCGCTTTTAAAAATATTATCAGCTGGGCAATACATTGAGAAATTCATTGAGAAATACCACACAATTAGACCAGAGAATTCATACTATGCTGTCCTATATATTTGCTCTTCTGTGCAGTGGAATAAGGAGAATACAAAATGAGGCTGGACCAGAGGGCAAACTGGTACCTTCTAGAATGGGGCAAAGTGGAGGAAAGTGCTGGCTAGCAGAGCACCCGGCCTCTCAGGGTCCTCAGCGCCTGAAAGGTGCTGAGTCTTGTCCCCTGGAAGAATTCCCTCTGAAGGCATCCCTTGCTTACACGTGGAACAGTGGCTGCTCTCTCCAAGCACTGGCAAATTCCCTTCTCCCGTCGTTTGCTCTGCCTGCTTCTTGCAAGCCAGTGGGGGTCCTGCAGTGACCGAGGAATCAGAGAAGCAAAGGGCACTCACAGGCTTCAACTCCACATCCTCGCCTCCTTCCCTTGGAGGAGGGAGGCAGGGGGAATGAAAAGGGGTAGAGCTGAGCTACTGGGGTAGAGCTGAGCTCCTCCTCATTGGAGGAGCAACCAGGGCTAGCATTCCTGCTTGTAGGAACTCCCTCGCTAAGAAAGCCACATGCAACAAAGCCCAGTCCAGTGCTGGACAGAAAATCACCCCAGTGCTCAGCCAGGGAGCAAAGTAGGTCATGTGGGCATTCGGCCCACCTGATGGCATCCAGCCCAGAGACAGCTGGGTTGGCATCATCCACACCCCAAAAGTATCTCCCACTTCTCAGCTCTGGAGATGATAGGAAGAGAGACAGGGGAGTTCGGATATGGACACAAATCCCCAAACTACCTTACATAGGGGCCTTTTAAGGGACACCCTCTGCCTGTCTGTAAAACTGTGGTTTCTGGATGCCACAGGTAGGTCAGGTGAACCATTTCTCATAAGTAGGAAGCTGACAAAGGCAGAAAGCAAACAATGCAAGTGTAACATGAGGGACAGGAGAGCTATATGCACCGGTTCAAAGGCAAGGCTGTAGAACCTCAGGCCTTGGGACCAAATCTGCCCCCTAGCCAGACTCCTGGAAGGCCATGCCCCTTCCTGGTCCCACCCCTTTCCCCAGACCTCACCTGGGGAAAGGCTGAAATGCTGATTCCAGGGCTTAATGACCAACAGTGAGGGCTGAGATTTGCTGATGTCTTTTTCTATCTTGGCCCTGCACTGAAAGGGGGTCCCCAAAGTGGAATTCAGCCCTCAGCTGAAAGGTGCTCCGTGCCCCTCTTCTAAGGCAAGTCTTCCTGTGGGCCAAGTCATATTTGGGGCATTGCTGCAGTCAGCTCTGAAGCCCTGAAATGTTCTGGACTGAGCAACAGCTTGGCTGGCAAAGCAGGAACATTCTAACCCTTCACACTTGCCTTTGCAAAAGTGTGGCCCTCGGTACCGCTTTTCTAGCCAGCATCATTTTCTAGCCAGCATCATCTTAGCTTACAATGACAGGCCCTGTCCTGCTCAGGTCAACCCTGCTTTGGCCCAAGGGAGAGAAGGGCTTCATGGGATCATCATATTTCTCCACAGGACCAGTGCAGCTTTCTCCACTGCCAAGTTCAATTGTTCTAAGTGGTTAAGGTTGTGACAGGCTGGGTCAGCTTCTAGTGTGGGAGTGCTTAACGTACGCTCAACATTTTCTCTCTAAGCAAGAAAATTCTGATTCAGTTCCCTCGGGGAAAAAACGGCAAAAGATCAATGCCTCTTACAGTCAAGGAATCCCCCAGGGCAGCTACTACTTGCACATCAGCTGGTTTCAGGCCATGTACTGTAGGGCAAAAGAGAGATACAGTCAAGCTTGTAACAAGAAGGAGCTCCGTGCCTTTTCCATATATGATATAGTGATTTTTATGCTCCACTAATGAGAGCTAATGAACTCATTGTAATGCAAGCTTCATTATACTAGTAATTTTCTAAAAATTGAGTCAAGTATAGTCATGTAAATGAGGCTTGAAGATGCAGCTAATTATTTACAACACTTCAGTCCACAAATTTCCTGAAAGGATGATTCCCCCCGCCCCCCGGCCTTTAACTAGCTGAGCAAGCATATTGATGAACTAGCTGAGCAAGTGTTGCATCATCATATTTCAGCAAAAATATGCAAACTAATTCCAGAAAGTAAGCAGATGTTCTCAAACACTGCAAGAAAGGAAAAAGTAGGGAAAGCTGTTGTAGTTAAGGAATACCCTATTTCACTGGTGCATGAATGTAAGAAGTAGGGTTTCCTTTCAACAGTGTTCTTACACTGCAGTCTTATATGCGCTCATCAGGAAATAAGTCCTATTGAGCTCAGTGAAAGTTACTTTGGAGACATCATACTTAGAACTGAGCTGAATCTTTTAAGCATTGTTTAAGGTGCAGTATCATTCATTCATTCATTTATTAAAAGCTTTTCTGGGCCATCCACTACAAGTGTCTTGAGATGGCTTACAAGAAAAAGAAAAGAAAACCCTCAGATACCCTCCTGATTTCCTTCAAGGAGGGCTCCCGGAGAAGGACCTTCACCTCAGGTCTCAAGGAGAGTGCAGACACATAGGGAAGAAGGTGCTCCTTCAGGTATCCAGAACCCAAGCTGTTTAGGGCTTTAAATTGACCCGGACTTCAATTGGCAGCCAGTGTAAAAGGTATAGGACCAGTGTTATATGAGAGTACCTGTCAGTCCCAGTTAATATCCTGGCAGCTCTATTCTGAACCAATAAGCATCTGGACCTTCTTCAAGGGCAGCCCTACATACAGTGCCACTTTGACTTTTCTGTAAACCAAACATTGTTCATGGCCTTAAAAATTAGAGTCAATGCATCTAGCCCAATACAGTCTGCCATGATGGACAGCAGCTCACTCGGATCTTACCAGATTTTCCTAAAGCTGCTACCAGTGGCCTCCGCCACAGATCTAACCTGCAACCTGGGCATGCTAAAGTCTGTGGGCTGCTGTTGGGACCCAATTCATGCATTCCCAATTCCCAGATTGACCTGAAAGATCTGGATGGAAATGAGCTTTACAGGCAGGGTGGGAGAGAGAGAGAAGATGACATGAGTGGTAGGTGAAGCTGCATCAGTGTCCCACTAGGGGGTAGAACCGCACCCTATTTAAGGCCGGTGCACCCTGTATGCTGCATAGGAATTGTATTTATTTGTTTATTGGCTGTCCTGCTTTGGACAAATCATGAGAAGCAAGACTCACTTGAAAAGAGAAATCATGTTAGGGAAAGTTGCAGGCAGAAGAAGAAGGGTAAAACCAAATATTAGATGGATTGATTCCAAGGAAGCCACAGCCTTGAGTTTGCCACAACTGAGCAGGGCTGTCAAGGATGGGACACTTCAGAAGACATTCATTCATAGGGTTGCCATAAGTTGGAGATGACCTGACAGCATGTAACACCTATTTATTTATTTTCACAATGGACAAAGATCCCTGGGCAGTCCACAAGCATTTAAAAACAATGTAAAACATAAAATCCAGTATAAACATTTAAATGGTTGAGACTACATTATAAAACAAAAGTGAAAACTAGAGTAAAACCTAATAGCAGCACCACGATTTCAGCTACAGTGAAAATTTGAAACAGTCTGAAACTAAAATTCCTGGGAGAATTCCTGAAACTAGAATTCCTGAGGAAGAATGGGTTCACTTGGCACCAGAAAAAGTGGGAAGTTCATTCTTTAGTTGGGGTCCAACAAAGGAAAAGGCCCTCTTCCCAGGAGCCCCCCACCAGACTTCCCTTGGCAGGGTGTCCCTCAAAAGGACCACTGAGGATGATGATAGTGGGGAGATCACCCTTCAGGTAAATTAGCCCCAAACTGTTTAGAGATCAGTCACTCCTTCTCTTGCTGATCAACCAAGCAGGTGGAGGTTTGTTCATCCAAATTAGCTAGTTTATGTGTTTTCATGTACTCTGTGCAAGGTTGCCTTGTCTGGAAAGATTAGCTGTTGGTCTGCTTGGCAGGATAATCTGGTCACATGTGGCCAATTCTGCAGCTTGTGCTAGAACAGGACACCTTCAGTTGAAGACCATAGGACACCTTTATGATGACAGGCCTTTCCATCCTGCCTTTCAGGGCTGTGGGACCCATGGATGGGGCTCAGATGGCCTTTGGCGCTCATCTGTAGCATCCACACAGAGTTGTGAGGTCCTGGGAGGAAGCCAGGTTGGAAGGCCTCTCACCATACATGGATGGGTCTGGTCCTGCGCAAGGGCTGGGAAATTATGCCCTACCCTTTACTCCTGGAGGGGTTATGGCTCTTCTGATTAGACATCAGGCTAGCTGCCTGCAGTAATTACCTTAAATGCCCGTCTAGTTTAAACTCATTTGCAGCATAAACAAATGTGGTCTGTTGGTTCAAGCCCTGTTGTGTCTCTCATCTCCTATTTCTCTCATTGTCTCTCATTTTTCCAAAGAGAATTCATTTTCATGCAGTGGCATATATTGTGCCATTGTTGAAAGTGCAGCAATGCTCTTATTTTAGTGACATACATGGCTCGGAAAGTTAATATATACATTCTTTCTGTGCATAGAGGAGCGGGAGAAAAGAAACACCAGAGTCTGGAGCGACGGCCCTTCCTTTACTGACTTTGATGTCAAGCACCCTAGATTACCTGAAGTTGGGGGGCTGATTGACGGAGCTCTGTTCGTGCACAGCATCTGGCTTCCATAACTGGAGGCGGTCCCATTGGGGTAGGTATGATTGCTGTTTCTGAATGTCATTAAATATGGCTGGGCCTGCAGCATAGCAATATGCAAATCAAAGCAAAGAAGTGGTCTCAAAGAGGCCTCTAGAGGCAACTGCATCTTGCAAATAACAAATATAATCATCTGCATTTGTGTCTGTTGAGCTTCAGTCCCCTCATGTTATTTTTCCCAACCTACATTGCCTCCAGAGCAGTGTGGCTGCTCCTCTTCATGGTCACGGCAGCTTGTTGGCAAAGGGGACACCCTCCTCCCCCAGGCAAGCTGGGATGCTCCCCAATGCCAGCCCCCCACTTGGTGGCAGCCTCCCAGCAGGGCCTGCCCAGGACATTCTGCTGCTTGGGGCAAAGGATGTGATGACCCCCCTCTTCCCCCAGACCCTCCTCCATGGAGGTCAATCTACCAAAGTGGCAGCCAATTCCTACTTATCACTAGTAATGGGACAGGGCAGCATCCTGCACTACATACACCACAGGGCAGTGGACTCAAGTTGGAGACCTGAGGCACAGAGGACAGGACACGTGGCAAATGCTGGGTTCCAGCGCAGGCGTTCAGCGCCCCGCACTGCTCCACACCCCACCCCGCCACCCACTCCCTGAAGCGGCTGCCCCCTTGTCTAGTGGCAGGGACAGCACTGCCTCTGCTCCGTGGGGACTCGGCCACTGCTGCATGCCTTCCACCTAACGGACCAATAGGGAAGCCCCCACCCGTTTGGGGGGATTTCCACAAGGCCTCAGAAACAGGGTGGTGGTGAGATTCCTTTCCAAAGGGAGAAGCAAAGAAGGAAGGGCCAGAAAATAGGCCTCTCTATGCATGATGGCCATCTGCTAAGGGATAATGAGAAACCTGTGCCGTACATTCCTAAGAAGAGTCACCTTACCTGATTGGGACATTTGAGGGCAATCACGGTGTTAAGGTTTTGCAATGCAGTCTTTTCCCCGAGGGGCTCCAGCTGTGCCAGAGAATAACAAGAATGTTCTGAGACCGGAGGGACCGCTGCAAGTGCACTGTTGCCAACCATGCCAAGGTGTCCCACCACCCCGCACCTGTTGGATTGCACACGAGAGATGCAGGGCTTTGGTGGGAATGGCGGCTCAGACTCGGAGGAGGGGGAGTGGACAGGTGACCCAGCCAGGGCTCACTCTGATATTGGAGTTGTTGGGACTAGTGAGGCCCCGGCTGCCCAAACTTTCCCAGTGAGCCAGCCCTGGATCGAAGCACTTCAAGGACAGCCACTGAGCCCCCTCCCACTCCTGATTGTGGGGAAGATACCAGCAGGGCACAGGCTGGGGAGGGGTTTTAGGGAGAACTTGGAACCCCAGGAGACATGGACACAAGGACCCATCGACGCACCTGCCGGCTAGACCAATTAGAGGCTCAATGGGAAGCCCATAGGTGGGCTCGCTTCCAGAGGCGTTTCCCCCTCCAGAGATGGCCCCGAAGATTTCATCACCAAAGCTTTGGGGGAGGGGCAGAGCAAGGGGTCAGCATTCCACCTGAAGTGCGTATTTGGGGCTTGTGAACGGAATGAATGCTCTTCTAATCATTGCTGAAGTGCTTGTCTCATTTGGGAGGGGATGCCCAGCTCATGACACCCGCCTTATTTACTGGGAACACAGGTGCACAGGGACAGCAGGCTTCACCCTTTCCTCTCCAGCTGCAACCTCCATGCAAACAACCCTCCCATGTTGCAATTAGCAATTAGAAAAAGCCTTTCATTGACACCAACAAAATCAGTCACGCTTCCCAGAACAATCCAAATGCATTTGGATGAAGGGTGAGATGGCCATCTGCATCCAAGAAGCAGCTTCCCAGATATAAATTAACTACAAGACCACACAAGTTTGTTGTAAGAACATCTCCACAGCTAGACACAGGTTTACCTCCAAGGCAGACATGGCCTGTTAGGTCTTCTGTTGTGGATATTTTATGTTTCAATGCTATTAAATTGCCACAGATGTTCTTCTACCCTCTATGTTTAATTTCATTAGCTTTCGTGCCAAAGAATGAGCCTAAAACTAAACAGGCTCTGTGGATGTGTATCAGGAGTTCACTGAATAGTTTTATTCCAATATTCCCCTGACCCCCAACTTACCTTGAAAATATATGTAGTATAATGAAAGATACCCCTGCTTCCAGATTATACCACAGAAAACAATTCAGTTATCAGGAATATGCCAAGAGGTCTGGACTGGACGTTTACTGAACTTCAGCAAATGGGTGCAGTTCTTTGGTTGCTATGTTGGTATAAACCCCATTTGTGAATTCAAGAGGTTCTGAGATGGATCTGCTCAGCGGTGTCTTACCATGTTGTTCCACAGAGCCCGGGCAGCCTGGGAATGCGCCTTCTGGTGAAAATGGAAGCAGTCTGGGGCAAAATAGGATGAATCGGGCAACCCTTCCTAAGGAAAGAGACACACAGATTTAGACCCAGAAGGATAGCCATAGAAATGGATTATTACCGTTACATTACATTTATATCCTGCCTTTTTTTCTCTTGCAAGGAATCCAAGCTGGCTTACAAAGTTCTCCTCCACTCCGTTTTATCCATTCCGTTTTACCACAACAACCCTATGAAGTAGGTTAGGCCGAGGTCAATGACTAGCACAAAGTCACCCAGTGTGGCCAAGCAGACTAGAGTTTGCACCTTCTTAGGTCCCCAGCCCAACACTGTAACCACCATGCCTGCTCTTTTCATTAAAGAGTGGCATGAAGGCATTAAGAGTCTGGTGAAGCCCTGAGGACTGTTTTGCTGTAGTCTATGGCTTGGGACTAGAACCCATCTGTGACTAAAAGGGGTCTGTACTTGCAGTGAGGTAGAAAGGACTGCCAGGCTTCCCTTGTCTGCATTTGCAGTTCATGGTAGAACCAGTGATATTTCTCTGCACAAATTGACATTTAGGATGAATACAAGCGAAGAGGAAATGTTTAGAGCCCACAAGCTGAGATTGTGCAGCTTCCATGATTTGAAGCCATTTCTACTTAAAATGGACTTAAAACTATCTCAGGAATATGGCCAGTAACCAAAGCACTTGGAGCAAATGTAGGTGAACTCTATGTATGTTAACAAAGACTTGAGTGGAAGTTTGGCATGTTTTTAAAACTTCAGTTTTGTACTTTACCGGAGTTTCAGGCATGCGCGCTTTTTCCAAAAGTGGCTGGACAACTACTGTGAAATCTTCCCTTGTGTCATATCTTCCACTCTCCACTAAGTGGTGAGTTTGCTCCTAATAAAGCAAAAAATGTTTATTGCACCTCTCGTGTGTACCATGGCATGATCTTTGATCCTGAAATAACATTAAAGGTACAACCCTCAGCAAATTTAGACAGGAAAAAAAGCCTGCAAACCCCAGCCAGCTACGTAGCTGATGTCTCAAAGAATATATGCTGATTAGAGAACAGATTAGTTTTTTACAAAAGATACCTTGGTTCACACTGGGGGCTGTGAATGAGCCTCTTTGTGGTGTGAAGTCTTTGGATGACTGCAGCAGCTAACATCCTAACAGCTGCTCAAGACCTCCTGTGCAGAGTCCCCTTCTAGCTCTCTCTCAGCATTGCTTATTCGCTTAGTCTCCCCGAAGTGTGCCTGACTTCCTTCTGGATTCAAAGCAACTAGCAGGGCACCTGGAGGCTTTTGGAGGCTTCTGGATAAGTGGGGGGGGGGGGGTAATTCACTGACCTTTCTAAGAACCAAGGCACTTTTTTTCAAACAACAAACCACACAGGGTGGTCTAATAAGGACTGAGGATGCTCAGCAGACACAATGCTGACTGATCGTTGGTGGCAAGGCTAAATGAATGGCGTATCCTGACAGAGACGTGGCTGGCAGGAACTCTGAACAGGAGCATTGTAGACTGCAACATTTTGTTGCAAATTTCCATTACTTTAGTTTTTCTGTAGAAGTCTTGTGATCAGCTGTTAATCTGCCATGTTAACTTTTACTTTCGTCTCAGGATTGAGATTGAAGTGCTTGTGAGGAGTGTTGCCTTTCCTGCATTTCTGTTACATAACCTGTAGGTGGTGCTGTGGTCTAGCAGATTAGTGCAAATACACAAGAGGAAATTGCGCTTCCTTTCATGTTCATAATTCAACCCACATTTTCGCTGCTCTAAAATGTCAGAAGTGCTGCTTAGACACAGAATGGTCCAAACTGGAGGACCATGTTGTCTTAAGAACCTGTTACCACCCATGCATAGGAAATGATGAGAGCACAATGCATGCCTCACCTAGAAAATAAAAGCCCATTATCCCTATACTGGAGATGGGCGAACCTGAGCTGACACCCACATGGTCCAGTCTACAACCACTGAATGAGTTCATGGCTGAGATGAGAGCTGAACCCAAGAATGCATTGCAGGGATCACCTGGACAGGGCTGCTCTGCAAAATATATCGACAGCCTTGGAGAGAAGCGACTGATTTTTTGGAGCTTCTAGTCAGTCCAGAGCTTTACTCGGATGGGTCTGTCGCATCATATCTTTCAGGAATGGCAGCTGTGTTGTTCTGGGGTCAGCATTCTGGTTATGATGCTGGCTACAAGGGCAAGTCAGATAGATTTCCATCCTGGGGAAGCCCATGCAAGCAGAGGAGAGAGCACCAAATACCAGCTGCTGTGGGATAAGCAGCAGGGATAAACAGCTGCCTTCATACCCAGAGAAATGTCATCAGCCACTGTGAGAAACAGGATTTGGATCTAATCCATCAGGGTTCTGATGTTCATATTTAATATTTAATCCTTCCTTCACTGATTTACTGATAACAACCCCCCTTTATTTCCTCCCCCACAGTAGTTGGAAGCTGTTTTGATTGGACAAATGTGGCCTGGGGCATGCAGGGAGAAAGTGGCATGTAATAATTATTAGCACATGTGTGCGCATGCACACGCACACACAGAGTACTGTTCTGGAAAAAGCATGGCAGACCCTCATAGCTGTCCTTTATTTTAAAAAAACGCTGCGTACAATTTGGCCCTCAGGCTCAGAGTCTTCATTGCTAAGCTGTAGTCGCTCACACTGGTGCTATGAGAGTCCTTACACTGGATTTCTCCAGTCACCTTTTCCTTAATTGCATCTTCAAGACAATAGTTGTTTTTTCAGGCTGTTCCAATCCTGTTTACACTTTAGTGCAAGCTTTCTCGATCCTGCTTTTGTCTGCTGTCCTACTGGACTACATTTCAAAGCCCAAATAAAAGTGTCCTACCTGAATCCCGAGCTTAATTCTAATTTTCTCAAACCAGGTCACCTAATAATTAGCAAGCACACAGCAGCTCTCTGCTGTATTTCAAAGTCTATTTATGTTCTCAACCAGTATTCAGTAGAGAAGCTGCTGCATGCATAATTCTTTTTCATACTCATACTCATGCCAGTAATTGCATGTTTGGTTAGCAGGTTTCAAAGACAAGGAAATGTGTGGCCCTCCATATGTTATTGGACTGGAAGTCCTATCATCCCTCACTACTGGCTGTGCTAACTAGCACTGCTGGGTGGTGTAGTCCGAAACACTGGGAGGGCTACACATGCCCAACACATTCTAAGGGATTTATAGGCACTCTAAAACTGTTTTGCTTCATATAAACAAGCAGTCTGCTATATCTAACCCTAAGCCTGGATAGGATCAGCCTTTGGTCCCAATCTTACCAAATGAAGTTGTAAGAAAAGGCTGTTTGCCTGTAAGGCAGGGTGTAGAATGCCAGGTCCATAGGCCAAATTCTGTCCATCTGGAAGTTAAATTTGGCCCTCTGGGATTCTCCCCTGACCCTTTCTCCCAACCAGCTATTGTTGATTATTTTCTGGCTTTTCTGTGGCCATTTTCTCATTTGAAAGGTTGAAATTCCTCCCTTAAGGCTTATTTATATGAGACTTAAGCTAAAATATTGTGCTATTTTTCACCTTCTCGTTTTGCGTTTGGCCCACACACCACTGGAAAGCAGCTCCCCAAAGCTTCTCTGCAATGGCTTGAGATTTAGGGCTTATGAGGATCCAAGGCAAGGCACAGGGTATGGTGATGACTGTCTTGTTGCTTCTGCATCTCACACTCTGAATTTATCTTAGATGCCCATTTTCAGCCATCTAGATTTCAGGCTGGGAAGAGAGAGGGATGGAGGCTGGGGCACCAGTGGGAATTAGTGCAGCTCTGCAGCCCAGTCTCTTCCCCTTCCCTACCCCCCTCTGGGGCTCTGTTGCAGCCTCAGGTGGAGGGCAGCTGGCATGCTCAGACTCTGAAAATTCCTTTGGTCTCCCAGAAGATGGCAAGAAATCATAGGATCTCACCCATATTGTCTGGGGTTTGTATGCAATGTTCAGCCTATTTACAGTAGGTCTATGGAGATGAATGTGACTTCTGAGTACAACCCTGAGATTTGTCCTTAATTTTACAGCTATGTGTTGGTCTCCTAAATAAGGTACTAAATAAGATCTCCTTGAAGGGAGCAGTTACTTGTGATGCTGGAGAGAGAAATAAAATAATGCTTCCTTAAAGTGTAAAAAAAATCAGTGTGCAGAGGCTTACAGGCTCAAATTTTATATTTTATTTAAGAAGTTGTTAAACTGGTGTGACTGATGATTTGGGTTTCCATGTATCAGAGCAAGTGGAGGGAAATATCCAAGTCAGTAGTGGAAAAACTCCACAGAAGGGGAAAAGTCTTTGGTTTGGAACCCAGTGACACAGACCTTTCCATAATTGTGAGTATAGGCCCAAAGTTTAGACCATGAGTACAGAACCTCCAGCCCAGGGTGCAAATCTGGCCCTCTCTGCTTCCAATAGGACCCATTAAACCATATCTACTCACCAATTCACCATTTCCACTCCATTTACAGTGCATCTTCCTTACCTGATACATTCTGTTAAAAGATTCAAGCATCTCTATTTCAGCAGAATTATCATCAGGGTTCAAAACACAAGAACATAAAGATCTAGGAAAAATGGAAGAAAGGACATTAAGTTGGCCATGTGGTCTTTTCCTTTCTTCAGGCGTAAGAATAGCTGAGAACCCTGCCACAGTTGCATTTAAACAGCAATTGCATCTCTCCACCAGCTTTATTTTCTGTGTAGGAGTAAATGTCTCTGATTTTCTGCCAGCTATAATGGCTTCTTTACAGGATAAATCAGATGCCACATCTCATTGCAAATTGAATTATTGTGGGGGGAAATACAAATATAAATTATCATCAGTGGAGGATACTGGAGTCAATGGAAAGGAAGAGTTACCCCACAACAATAAGGAAGGAGCCCATGCAATTCTAGTTTCTTCAGCTATAGAAGAGGGTAGTCCAAGCTTTATGTCTGCCCACAACACCAAATGATGGAGAAATAATGTTTGTCTCCTCTTAGAACTAGGCAGCAGCTGGATTGCTGTTTTCCCACATGAACCTGCCCAAACACTAAGATCAACATGAGAAATCCTGTTCCATGTTGCTCCACCAGTTGAGCTTGTGGAAAAGGGCATAATGAGTAGTGCCTTCTTTGCCGTGGTATCTGAACTCTAGAATGCACTCTGGAGAAGACCACTGTAGTGAAGGAAGCTTTATTTTCAGGGGCCTTTGGGTTCTCTCAAAATAATTAACCACTTGGCTGGATTATTTTGTTTAGTGGTAACTGACTGGTGGTATATTCCATTGTCACTGTTTTATTATAAACTTCTGCAAGCTGTTCACATGATCTTGCAGACAGAAGAGCACAGCAAACATGTTTTTGAATAAACAAATCTGGAAGAGAAAGGATAGTGCATATTCCCACTTGCATATATCTTTGACAGAATGTAACCCTGAGTCCTCTGCTGTGGTTGAATCTATAGCTTTTTTTCAGTGCAAGTCTGAGTTCTGGAATAGGTGAAGCAGATAGATACTACTGATGGTGTGACCATCTAACCACCAAGTAGCCACAGGTAATCTCCATGTGTTTGGTATTCGCAGTAAAGATTTTCAAGTCAGATTTCCAAGTCAGAAAGCCTGACTAGAAGAAAATGGAGCCCTACAATCTCCCATTTTATAATAAATTGCTGAACTTGAAGACTACCAAAATATCTATATCCCTTTTTATTGAAGGTGTGAAGGGGGTCATGCTTGTGTCCTGTTCTCCAAGCATTAGATGGCTGTGCATGGATCAACAAGACTCTGGGGACCCACCCGCTTCCTTCAGACCATGTGGTTTCTGACTGAGTGAAACAGGCTCATGCCTTCTTTAGTAAATCAGAAGATGGGTACTCCTTTGTCTCTGATCATACCTCAATACATAATGGTCACCTTTGTCTCTCTTGCACAATTTCTACTGCATAATAAGCATTCCTGTTTTGATGAACCCAGAGACTTTCCTCGGTGCAGAAAGACTGGATGTGACTGGTGTGTGCAACCCTTCTGTGCTTCTTTGCAGTTTCTCTTTAACTGCAAGTACAGGTTTATCAGAAGATCCTAATCACTAGGCAAGGTCTGGGATAGAGCCTCAGAGATTAGATTTCTTAGGGAAATGATTATCTCAGGATATCTGTGACCTTTTTTATCCTCCTCAAATGCCCTGATTCATTATCTGCAAGAATATAGAGGTTCCAAGATAATATGATGTGTTCACGTTCACTTTTTGTGCACGTCTTGTTTCAATAGGTAAGCCCAGCAACAAAGCAGACATGCCTGGGGAGGTATGGTGGATGGATCTTGCCCCCTCACCCCATGTAGACTCTAAACCGGGGCAACGTGATAAAAGTGTGCAAAATTATGCATGCTGTGAGTAAAATGGGTAGGGAGACATTTTTCCCTCTCTCATAATGCTAGAGTCTGGGGTCATCCCATGAAGGTGATTGGTGGGAGATTAAGAACAGATAAAAGGAAGGAGTCCTTTATATGCTTAAACTGTGGAATCCAGGGACTCAGCCACAGGAGATATAGTGATGGCCACAGTTTGATGGCTTTAAAATGGGATTGGGAAAATTCTTGCAGGAGTATCGGTGCTTATCAGTCCTGATGGCTATGTGCTACCTCAAATATCAAAGATAGTATCCATCTGTACACCAATTGCTGGAGAACATGGACAGGAGAGTGCTTGCACGTATCCTGTTTGTGGATTTCCTACTGCATGAACAAAATGGTGAATGAGATGACCCATGGTCAGATCCAGCATGTTCTTAACCAGTCTTCCCAAACTGTCACCCTTCAGGTAGGGTGGAATGCAACTCTCATCTCCAGCTACCTTGGCCATTGCTGCTCTTCTCCAGTACTTCTGCATGGTGCCAGACTGGGCAAGGGCTAATTTATAGTTACATTTTTGTGTGAACCAGCCTTAATTCTTTGATTTTTAAAGAAAGGCAAATTTATTCTCATTAGAGCAAACTTGTGCACACAGAATATAAAGTATTCAGTACATTACTCTCTAGATGCCACTCTATAAATTTTTCAACTACCTACATTTTCCATGCAGACTAACGGCTTACCTTATGTTTTGGGTGTCATTTCCTAAGGCATCCTTAGAAACAGCAAAACCACTCAATGAAAGATTCACTTTAAAGGAACTGTTGTAGTTCCGTGGGGCAGCGTGTGTTTTCCATAACCTTATGGCTCTCCACATAAGGTTAGGAAAGATCCTTGCCTGAAAACCTGGAGAGCTGCTGCCAGTCAGTGCTGACAATATGGAGCTGGATGAACCAATGTTCTGACTCAGTATAAAGCTGATTCTTCTGCTCCCAGAATTGGCACTTCTAACACTGAACTGACATCGTTTTTGTGTAACAGCAGATGTTTAGACCTTTGTTCCTGTGTATATTTAAACAGACAGCATGTATAGATTTATATAATGTAACGATCAAAAATTACTAAAGTCAGTTGGTCAACTTTCAGATGGAGCACAAATTATCAGAGATGTCACAGCAAAACCCATCTCAATTAGCGCCAAACCTCATGATCAGTCTTGGGCAGGTAACTTTCTTCTCCTGATACAATTTCCTCAGAGATGTTATATTTAGGATTGTCACCAGGTTCACAAAGGCTCGGGGCACCTGTGAAGAGGCAAATATAAATGGACTATGGGTATAACAGCTTCTCGGTGCTTGTGGACCAGCTGTAAATGCAGCTCATAGGATTATCTGCTCTCTCATTCTATATACTACATGCCAAATTGCTGAAATTACTGGCAGGGGATCCATCTGACATCCTTTACAGGGAATTGCAAATTGCAGGCAATCCTCACTCTCTGCTTTATCTCTGTGGATGATAAATATTCTAAGTTTATTGTTTCCCAAGTCGCCTGCTAGGCCATATTCTGGTATCCCCTAATTCAGGCTTAAGAGCTTTTCCTTAATACACAGTTCTGGCAATTTTAAGTGCCACTGAATACATAGGAAGGAATTATATTGAAGCTGCAACTTTCTTTGCCATGGAAGAGGCTATTCATAGCTAAGATATTCCTGCAATTTCTAGCTATGAAAGAGAAGGGCTTCTTTTCAGGAAGCTGGTATTACTCTGCCTACCAAAATGAACAAGGCAGCTAGATGCGTGATACGGTGTTCCATGCACAGGACAAATCGTGCACCAAACTACACTTGCTATGGAAGAACTGCCTTAAACCATGTGCTCACCATGGGGAAATGCCCACATTGAATCACATAGTGTCACATCAGACATGGTTAACAAATCACCCAAAATCCACAGTCTCCTGTAGGATTGCTGTTGTGAGCAGCCAGTTGTAGGTGAAGGTATTAGGGAGATCAACTGGCAGATTCAAGGTAGGTTAACCTCCATTGATAATGTAAGAACTAGGTCATTATCAAGTTTCCCACAGGCTGCAGGGTGTATGGCTACATTAGGACACGTGAGGTCAAAAGATGTGCAAACAAATCCTCTCCAGGCCCCGTTTAAAGTGCTGGTTTTGATCTTTAAAGTCCTTCTTGGCATGGGACCAGGACTGCCAGATGTCCTCCTCCAGATACCTTCACTGACTGAGGTTTCTGAGTAGTTACTTAGGAAACTACCTTTTCAAGTATGGCACTCCAAATCTGGAATGCTCTCCTAAGCTGGCCTACCTGGAACCTTGCTTGATGCAAGTTCATCTCCAGATGAAGACTTTTCAAGCTTTCCTGGCCATTTAAATCTACTCTGTTTTATCTCTGTTACTGTATTTACATTTGGATGTTTCACTTTTAGTATATTATTGCATGTTTCATTTGTTTCCCCCCTGATATTTCTGACTGTCTGTAAGCCATCCCCTGTTTGAAGAATGAGTTAGAATCTCCATCATAAATAAATCAAATACATAAATATTTTAGAGAATTCTGAAGTGCTAGTATTTCAGCAACTCATTATTTCTTATCCCACTGGCTTTGATGGCATAGTTTACTTTAATACCTCTTTATGGAGTAAGTCCAAAGCTGTCTGTATATTGCTTGTGAAATTTTCTGGGGAATAGTGTACCTATGAAAGAAAGGGATAATGGTGAATTCTGTGTAAAATGGTTTGGTTGTCATAGTCAGAGCTTGTTCATTTCCAGTCACTTCACTATTCATGTATATTTGGAAGGGGAAGACAGCAGAACATACACATTTGTGTCCTTTCTAACTGACATACTAAGCATGCATATTGTACTCAGGAATGAGAACTTGAGCACAAACATGTTGTGAGACGTGGCTCCAGGATTTAGTGAGCCAGGAAACTGAGCACCAGTCTGTTTGTGCAGACCTACCAATACACCAACACAAAAGATGACATTACATTTAAGTTGTATTGCAAACAGTTAAGACACACAGTTGGGGTCATAGAATATTCATGACATTTTTTCTCCTTGCAATCCTGAAGGCAAATAGTAAGGGATAGTGGTGCATAAAACGCATGAATACCAAGGATGCTTCCAGACAGAGGGTTCCTAACACTACCAAGCAACAAGCATTCCACATCTTTTTCACCTTTTCCTAACTGCTTTTGTTTTGTTTTTTCCTGGTTAAAAATAGATGGAAGAGATGGCTAGAAAACACAGGAAGATATCTGGAACTCTCCCCCATAAAACTGTGTGTATGAGGCAAGGAAATTACAGGTTAAAAAGCTTGTCTGGAAGCATCCAGAACCAGAGATTCATCTGTACATCGAGCTCGTAAGTGCTAGTGCTGCCATTGACTTCTTCAGCTTTGCATGTGCAATGCAAGATGTATATGGAGTTGCCCCAGGTAGTTATATGAATGATAAAACTCCAGACATGCAGGTATCAGGTGTGTACAGAGATTGTATACACATAGAAGCTCTCTCATGTGCAAACATTCTTGAAATAACATTTTAAAAGTAATAATTCAAAGTAGCATACTGATCCCACCAAACACTCCATTATAATCCAAATCAGCAAAAGCCAATCCAAATACAAATGTTTAACAACATTTCTGAAGGCTTTTGAATATAAAGTAGAAGACATTGTTAGATAACATTTCTTTAAATGTGCTTGATCTGCTAACCTGATTATCTGATGTTTGTTGAACCAAAAAATTACAGTGGGGGAAATATAAATGATGAGGCAGAGTTTTAGGTCCAGACTTGCTGGATCTGAATAGTAATGACATGGAAACTGTACAGGGCTTGTTAATTCATGATCTAGGTATTTGTCTTTATCAACAGACAGGTATCTTTAAAATGAAGCAGCAACAATAAAAAAATCAAAAGGAGTTCCCTAAGATAGTATTTCATGTGATAACAGCCTCAAGGTGAATGACCTTTACGTCTATGTAAAGACATGAATGAATGCCAGAACCTCTCAGATGCTGACCCAGCTCTATAGACCCTCAGGCCTTATGTGGAATATTCATACTGACTGACATGGAAGAACAGCTGCTCCCAGCCTCAGACTGGTGGCTTCAAGGGGCCAGTTATGGGCGTGGTGGGTCATGTGCCATTATCAGACACATGTCGTTAGCACTATCTACCAAAGAGGTTTCAGAGCCAGTTCCAACATGAACCTTTGCGGTTTCATTCACCAAAGGCTACAGCATCACTGCTTTGCATGAATATAGATTTTCCAGGGCACATTTATCTATCTATCTATCTATCTATCTATCTATCTATCTATCTATCTATTTATTTGAGCTATAGCCTGCCTTTTTTCTTACACTCAGCGTAGCTTGACATCATTCTCCTCCTGCTGCTCTCAGTCTTATCCCCACACAACAACCCTGTGAGGTAGGTTGGGCTGAGTGTCTGTGACTGGTCCAATGTCACCCATGGCTGAGCAGGAACTAGAAGGCACCTGAGCCTCAGTCCTGCACACTTAACCACTGCACCACACTGAGTGCTTGGGGAAAAGGTCGTGCACCTTCCTGTTAGCACACTTACTCCTACAAGCCGTCACCAGGCTGGATGTGAACACTGCTCAACGGGACTGAGACGGCATGGAGTCATTTCCACATTAACCAAAATAACAAAATAGACAGTTCCTGTTCTTACAGTTCCCTGTGCATATCCTGGAGGCATCTTCGCAATTAGAAAATATGTATAGATGAGCATTCAGGTGCACAGAAAAGCTTTTTATTGAGGGTGAGGGGAGAAGTAACATGGCATTAAGTCAGAAATGGCTTTAAATCCTTTGGAAACTTACAGGATCCTTACAAAAACTGCACAAGTCATTTCCTCCTATGAAAAGTGTCACAAGCTTCCAGTCTTCTTGGAAATTTATATTCTGTATTCCAAAGACAGACAGACAGACAGACAGAATGAAAAGCAAAAAGTAAAAATACTTGAGCTGACAGCCTATAAAGGAATCATTCAGTTTTTCTTTCAAGGGCACAGCTGGCTTGCTCCTTTGCACTGTTACAAAACTTAGGAAATCATGGCAGCAACCCTAAATGAAGACTTCATGTGCCATCCAGTTATGTAAAGTGAGAAATCAAAGGGTCTGATTGCCATCGCCTGATCCAAAACCTACCGCACTGCAGCATTGGTGCTGCTAAGAGCATCAACGACATGTTTCAGTGTATACTGTCACCCTGCAAACTGGGCTCTGGATCTCCTGCTTTTTAATAAGCAGGCCCAATTCACTTGCACATATTTGGGTATGCCCAAGGGCCATGTCCCACCTCTACTGAGAGCCGAAGCTGTGAACTAGGGGATCTGTTTTGTACTCATAAACCCTTAGACAAAATCCCCAGCAGTGCCTCTTAAAGCATTACAGTTTGTAAGGCTTCTGTCTGAGTCATTTCCAACAGTCAAGATGAAAAGAGTCACTCACACCCCGGCATCTTATATTGCTGAGACATAGCCGTGGAGAAGAAGCAGAAGGCTGTCAGCCAAATGCTTCTGCAGTATTTGAGACATGGGTATTAAGATGCAATTGATTTAATGCAGCCTGAGAAGTGTCCCCAGTCATTTGCCTTGTTAGGTTCGAGAGAGGTCCACAGGTGCAGTAACCCTTCCCTTGTGTGCTGCTAGCTAGTTACGGGAATGATTTGCAGGAGTGTAGCAGGCAGCTTGTAAGCTGGTTATCACACAAGCCATATCTATGCAATTGGCTTGGCAGTCACTCCCTTTTCTTGGGAACTCTTAAGTTCTTGAATTCCCAGGTTCCTAACAAACAAGTTCCCAGGATGCTTTGGGTAAAGCTGCACCAGAGAAATTGATGCTTGATGGATACCTGTTTGCGGTATAGCTATCCTTGGTAGCTACTTAAACTATTAGGTGTTGAAAAATATGCCATGGACATAACTCCGGCATTCCATCTTTTTTACATAGGTGACTTACCCAGATACTTTTTCACAATGTGTTCCACTGGGCTATTCATAGCTGTGCTATAGTAGTCTAAAGCCAGCTAATACATATTCAGAAACACATTCCCAAACCGATTCCGAGGTCCGGACATCCCTGCTGCTCCCAACAGTTGCCTGCTTCAGAGCCCTTTCCCAACTTCCTTGCTGCCTGCTGGTGCAGACATTTGTCACTTGTAGTGATATTTTGCCCATGCAAAAAGGTCTGTTCAGGAAACATCGCAGTGCTGCTCCAATGCATTAAGCCATAAATTATAACATACCTACTTCATTCTCAACTTGCCCATGCCACCGCAGGATCCATTTTCAAGAGGCATTCCATCTTATATGATGGCCTCTTCTTGGAAGCTAACTAGGAGCTGCTCTGTTGCTAAGTATTTATTTTATATTTATATTGACACACTAAAATCATTAATTTTTTGAAAAATCTGTCCAATTAATTAGACACATTTTATCCAATTAACTGATGGGCTTATTAAAGTTTGCAGCCTTTAATTCTACCCAGAACTTCCTCTTTCCACCCCTTGTGTACAGCCCTATAAGACACAGTAACCTATTTTTTAAAAAATACTTATTTCAGCAGGAAACTCACAGAATCAGTCTTCATCAGGTCTATTAGTCTTCTAGCTTGAGATGGAACATCTCTAAATATAAAACGCAAGAACATAAGAAAGGGCATCAAAATTTTATAACAACATAACAATTTAGGATGTCATTCCAAGGAATATGGCAGCAGCAGAAGTTTAATGCAAATAACACAGGGAACAATTCACAGATAGATTTTGGGAGCAATATGGAAATCTGGGATGTCATGCCAATAAATGAAGATGCTCATAAGAATACTAATACGCAAGTGCTCAGTCCATGGATGAGACCAGAAAAAGTCACTTCGTTCAGCTAGAAGGACACTCAAAATTAAAATCTGCTTTAATATTCAAAGAACAGATTAGGAAGACAGAAAGGCAATTACTGCTTTGCTTGTTTCAGCATCTGGAACACCTTGCATAAGCAGGACTACGTCTACAAATCTCTCTCAATCTCTACAGTGCTAACTGTGCAGTCTGCACAACAAATCCTCCTGCACATGATTCCACATGGAGAGTCTTTTCTGTCTGAGGGATCACATGAAGAACCTGTGCTTATCATGGCATAAGGTGAGGCAAAGATGGAACAGCAATTTCATGCATGGAATTTCTCTGCACATGCGAAGGCTGCAAAGTGGAGCAGAGTCTGCCAGGGTTTCAAAGTCTTTGAGGGAGGCCCTCCTCTTGATCCTGCTACATGAGAGACATGATTCAAGGGTCTTTGAACGGGAGGCCTTTCCTACATTTCCCAGGCTCTGGAACTCTTGCTGAGAAAGGCTGGGCTGCCCCCCTCTCTTTTGTCCTGATGGCAAACAAAGGCCTTTTTATTGAGGCATGACTTTGGCTTGCACTCTTTTCTGAAGCAGAATGGGATTTAACTGGCTGATGCTCTCTATTTCTTCTGTTATGTTTTTAACTGGCCAATGCTCTCTATTTCTTCTTTGTTATGTTTTAACTGTGTTTTCAGGAATCTGTTTTATGTTATGTTTTAATTAACATAATAGTTTTCATGCTGTATTATTTCTGGCCAACTTGATCTTCATTTTTGGCAGAAAATTTGAGTATCAGTTAAATGAATAAAATATGTGGTTACATGCCAGCAGCTCTTAGGCATGAAATATGGTATCCAGTCGTCATAATCTAGCAGGACTGGGAGAAATGACAATAATCCAGACTCCTTCAATGGTAAGAATTCTCCAGTCTTAAAGCATCTCTGACAGATATTTATCCTTTCTCCTTTTAAAGGCATGCCAGAGGAGAACAGTCCCATTCCTGTTAGGATCTTGTCCCCGATACCCTGACTAGGACTTCAGTCCTACAGTATACAAACAGACACAGAAGTAACTCCCATTGACCTTACTGGGGCATGCTTCAGAATACATCTGTAATGTGTTGAACTGCACTATAAAACTACTCTGCAGCTACCTGAGTCTGTTGTTTCTTGTTCCTGTCTGGTGGAAAGAGATTTACAAAAAATTGCTGCCACATCTCTTTAATTCATTACTTGATGCCAAATATGTCCAGTTATTTCAGGCTTTTTCTCATATTTCCTACATTCCCTATTCTTTATCTACGTCACTTCTTTGAATGCACTATGAAATGGACAGCATATACCATCTGAGACCTAATCTCTGCCAGATAAAACATATTACATCCTGCTTCTTGCACATGGCACATCTGCTCATGGTATTATGCTACACCGTTGTTCAGGGTAGATTTTTGCAGCTGCTACTGGTGGTATCTTCTTGCCTACAGTACTTGACATGGATCAACATTTTTGCATACCACTCCAAGCAGAGATTCTCTGGCACTCACAAAAGCATGCAAAGAGTAAGTGTGAGCAAGCATGGTATTATAGGCTAGATACGGTCATCAGGATTGGCCTTTGCCCACCCCACAGTTCAATCTAACCTCACAAAGTGTGGTGCCATGGCCCAACCCTTCCCACTAAATCTACACCCATTCTGCATTTATGTCCTCAGGGGTTCCCACCCCCGCAACCTTTTCACTAAAAAGTTAAATCTCATGTATAGCTCTACAAACTGATGCTCCAGTTCGGCAAGGTCATTTTGATTTTCCATCATGTCCCTGTGGTATTTGGAGTCCCAGTTTTGTATAATCTGCTGATCTGATAAGCATTATGTCAGCTCCTTCTCTCAAGTAATTAGTGGAATCCTTGAGCAGCAACCAGACTTGTGGTACACTGTGCTACATCTCTCTTACCAACAGTAGTAGCAACACAGAGAAAACTTCTACTTCAGGGAGACAGACTGTCATGGAACACTGTTCCTCCCCTGCTAGTGCTTGCAATTAAGAGTGGCTTTCCAACAAATTGGATGCCCATCATATAACCTGTTTTTCTCATATTTACCTGAGCATATACCATTTGTAAAACAACATCGGTAGTATTAAAACTGTATATACGAAATTACTACACCAGAGTAGGAAACTGCTAGCATAGCATGACATATTCTTTACAATCTTATGGCTACTTCTCCTAGATGCTTACAAACATTGTTTTCAGATTTGTTCTTTCTAATACCTTCCCATGGGCAATATTTAAATGAATGGAGCTATAATTTTGACAGGATGGACAGTCTGCTAGAACCTTTCTTTCCTCCAAAAATGATCTTGGACAGCATTACCACTCGATTAAACAAGTCTTAGTCAATTTATTGTATATATTTGAATTAATCAGCTCACTATAACTGCATCAACAAATATAAAAGAAGCATTCTGAAAAAAGAACATACTTGCTTTTGTTTGTGGATATCATATTGACCTAGTTCAGATAAATTAGGAGATTAGGGGGTTCTGCTATAGGAAAGAACTGTGGCAAGCTTTAGGCTTATGTGATCCCCACCTCCCCCTGACTCCTTCTTTGTGTAGCAAGGGCTAAGATTAGAAGCATCTGCCCTTATTAAACTTACGGAACTATGCTTTGTTTAAATTGTGGTTCATGAAAACCAGTCACAACAAACTGAGGTTTCAGATCCTGGTTTCTTCTCACTAACCACAGTTTAAACAAAATTCAGTTTCCTCAGTTCAGACTAGCTTGCTAATCTACTTTTCTAGCAAGTAGGAGGAAGTAATGTGTAAATCTGAGGCTCACCAAGGCCTGTTCTTATAGGAGGAAATACTTGCATTCCCATTATGTCTGAATTGGGCCTATTCTAGGGTAAAAATTTAAAGTAATGTCTGGTTTGGCCCTAAGGGTCTCCTCCCACCATCAGTGTGTGTATGTTTTTTTAAGGCAAGAAAAAACAAATGTAGAAAACAGACAGGTAAAAATGAAAAAGCAATCCAGCAAAAAATGTTAGCTCTCTTCAAACTCATTTAAGATCTTAATGGTACTTCCTCAGGGAATTCTAAAATCAATATGTAGACAGCCAAGACAGACAAACAAACAGAATTATAGTTCATACATGAGTACCAAAATAATGCCATATATAAACTTGTGATTTGACATTTTGTTCATCTTTCTTTAGAAGCAGACATTGTTGGTGTGAAATAAAGAATATATTTTATAACAGAATATGAGGACTATCTTTCAATTTGATTGATTAGTCAGATTGCTGAAAACATTTTTATTACTTGTCAGTGTTGGAGTCCTAATACTTCAATTAGTTCTTTAATTTGTGAATGATATTTGGTGTCTGCAAATCTGATCCATGAAAAGGTGACTCAGTATTCCCAACCAAGACAGAACTTGGCCTGGAAACAAACATGACAAAACTGAGGCTGTCATACTTCACACATATCAAGAGAAGGCAAGACTCACTGGAGAAGACAATAATGTTAGGGAAAGTTGGATGCAGAAGAAGAAAAAGGAGACTGAATATGAGGGGGACTGAATCCATTAAGGAAGCCACAGCCTTTTGCTTACAAGAGCTGAGCAGGGCTGTGAAGAAGATGACTTTTTGAAGGGGGTTCATTCATACGGTCACCATAAATTTGTGATCACTTCCTGGCATGCAACTACAATAAATTTTCTCCAACTTTATCCTGAGCTGTACCTTTTCTTCATAATGCAGAATAGTGCACAATGTAACCAGGTCAGTATAAGAACTATTATACCACTTTAAGAATTGCTGTCATAGTTTGTTTTCTTCTTACCCCCTTGCTCTTTTTTTTCCTTTGGGTCATGTATTTTAGATTGTAAGCCTGTGGACAAGGGGTTCTGTATTTTTTTCTAAAAAATTATCTTATATAAGCAGTACCAGGAGACATTTTGGCTAAAGAGAGGCATAAAAAAGCTTTAACTAAATGTATTACAATGACCAGATGCATCTGCCATTTTTGAAAGGTATACTTTCAATATCGTATCACTGTGGCTGCATTACATGATGCCCTGTCCTTAGCAAGGATGTGGAATATGGACACTGGAACATCAGGATGCTTTCCTCAGGACCTGTATCCAGGGTAGGCATGGTTGGACTAATGCTGAGGCCCCACTCCCAGCAGGGGCCCACTGATAAGAGCTTCTTGGACTAGCTCCCCCTTGCTAACTCGTCAATCTGCCTTTCATTCTGGTCCAGACAACAGGCATGGGGAAAAGGGTGAGGAGCATATGTCACTGCCTACTTTCTCATTGGTTCTTTACCTGTCAAGCAAGCAAGCAGTACCAATTGTGTTGTGAGCTGCCCAGAGGTGCTGTGCCACAATTGGGCGGCCTACATTTTTTTAAAATAAATACAGTGGTACCTCGGCTCATGAACGTCTCAGTTCATGACCAAATCAGGCCGCAAACAGAAATTTCATAAACATTTTGCTGCAGGTCACAAACTCTGCATTGGGTGACGATTTTGAGAGCGCCCACCCACCCTGCACGGGTGCGATCGCGGTTGTGCTGGTGGGGGAGAGGGCCGTGTTTATGCTGGGAGTGGGGAGATGGCCACGATTGCACCCATGTTCTCTGCCCAAGCATGGCCGCGCCCGCCTCCCTCCCCACGCACCCGCCATCGCACCCGTCTCCCCACACCCCTTCATACAATTGCTGGGGGCAGGGGAGGGGGAGATGGCCACGATCTTTCTTGTTCTTTGTCACTTTGCTTCACATTTTTGTGAATAAAAAAATAGCTGCAGAATGGATTAACCTTATTTACATTGACCCTCATGGGGAAATATGACTTGGCTCATGGCCAATTTGGGTCACAACCAGAGTCCTGGAACAGATTAAGTTCATGAGCCAAGGTACCACTGTACATAAACTATGAGAGAGAGAAGGGAAAATAATACCAGGGCTGGTGGGGATGGCAGTGGGAAGGGAGCCTCACTGAAGGAGGAAGACCTTTAAGGGGTCTTGCCCAAGGGCCTTCAAAAACTTGGAGCTGGCTCTGCTTTCCTAGCTGTCACTCCATGTGACAGACAGGGCTTGGTAGCTAATGGGGTTAGCAGGGTTGGTCAGCTACCAAGTCCCCAACTTCTGGTCTCCCATTGCTCAGGGGAAGTCCCCTCCATCTGTCCTCTCCTGCGGCAGTGAGGACTGTTGTCCTCCAACAGGCTTCTTCATCTGCTCTGTTCACTTGCAGCAGCACCTACCTGGGCATCTTGCTGGGCAACACCCTACAAAAAGCCTGCCAAAACCTGGTGCCAGCCAGCCCTGACTCTGGAGTGGTAGGTGGAGAACTCTGTGCCAGGACACCAATTTACAGCCCTGTTTCTCTGTCCTGAAGGCTTGCGATGAAACAGGCCTCAGGAAGGGAATGTGCACCTTCAGCTATGCTCAGCTTGTTCAGGATGAACACATTTGTTATTTAATAACCTACCTTCAGGGAGAGGTGTGGGGAAGAAACCTTGATGCATAAACGTTATTGCATGCCAATGAACAGATAACGGCAAAGTCTCAGCCAGCAGAGATAACGACTTTCAAAAAGCAATGATGCTGATGATAACCACCAAAGCGATCATCCCTGCACTCTGTTATTGTCTGTTATCAACCCAGTAAAAATTACTGTTATTATGTGGTATCAATGTGTATAGTACAGATGGTGACTGACATGTGAGAGATCACTGTTCTTCAAAAAGGAAAAATAAACCCTCAGATGTTTTGAGGAGGAAAGTACCAGAGAGGTGGTAAGTACCTTTTCCACCTTTTTAAAAAAGTAAACTCAACAGCAAAGCCATAGAGGAATACATACCCTTAAAAAGACTTTGTACAGACCAATCTTGGGTCAGTTCAGTTGTTGCCACTCCTGGAGTCTTGGGGTGGGGAACATTTAGCCTCACAGATAATGTTGGACTGCCTGTCCTATCATTCCTCACCATTATCATGCTGGCTGGGACCAATGGCAGTGGGAGGCAAACAACATCTAAAGGGCCACAGAGTCCCCTTTGCCCCACCTTGAACAACCCAGTTGGAAAGAATGTAGCAAAAAAAAAAAAAATGCAGGGGAATTCCACCTGAAAGTAGGGATATTTTTTTAAAAAAATCCTTGTCACTATATATTTCACCAAATGCATGAAGAATTTCATTCTGCCCAGGGAGGCTTGCCTCATGCAGGACTGGCCCAAGATGTTTTGCTGCCTGAAGAGAAGTAAGGAATGGTAATTCCTATTCTGTCCCGATCCAAGTCCCCATATACGCACTTCCCAAGGACGGCTACATTATTTTGGCACCTGAGGCAGAAGACTGCACAAACACCTCTCCTTTTTCCTGGCAGTGAAAGGACAACAACAGCAACAACTTCGATAACTAGCAAATCTGCTATCCTTTCTGAACAACAAAACCCAGCTGCCTGAGGAAGCTACCTTGCTCTGCTTAGTGCCAGGCTGGGCCTAAAGCTTTTCTTTTAGGAAAGCCTTCTGTTTAGCTCCATTTCCCCTGAGTTTACCTGTTGTTCCTTTTAATTTATCTGCCAGACCTCTGCTGCTTGTTCTTTTTTAAATAATGGTGTTTTAGTGTTTAGATCCTTTTAAAAATATTTTTGTACCTTTCCTTGTATTTTTATTTTATTCCTTGTACTTTTATTTTGTTAGCTGCCTTGAACATTTTGGAAAAGACAGGATAAGCCTTGTTTTTAATAGGAAAATATATAAAGCAATTGAGGAGGTCTACTCTTTACACCAAAAGGGATGCCTGGAGGAGTGGAAATATGTTCTCCTCCTTGCTTACCTAGAGGTTTTAACCATTGGCTGAGCAGGGGGAAATGCTTAAAGCTGCAGTGTGCAATAGTGTGTCACAGAAAGGAGGGTAGGCCTTGTTTCCTTTCCCCTAATGTTCCTTTCTGGATAAAGAACAGGCTTCACCACCTCCTCCTTTAGAGATGAACAGCAAACCCCACTGTCCGCAGGAGGATGTCTGCAACAGGCCCGCACACACATGCAAGCACACACTCTTAACATGGGTTCCTACCTGGCACGTGCTCCTGCCACAGCCTGGTTCAAGTAGGCATTTTTTGTTTGCTCTGATCCTTTGCCAGTGGAAAAGCCTAACAGAGAAGGGTTGAACTCACGAAGAATATCTGCAAAAGAAGGAAATGCAGGTTCATATGTTGGTTTACCCTCCGGGTTTGAACCACAATGTCACAATGTACAATTCAGTGTAAAGAATTATTAAGTGGCTACCCAACTAAACCCACGTCTGCGTTCTCTGTGCTGCCTGTGGTTTGTTGCCCATGGGTTGCCACTTTGAGTTCCTAAGCAACTTTCCTTTTGATCCACAACTAAGCAGCAGGGCCGGCAAAAACTTTGCTTAGTATTCATTCTAAACTGATAATGCTATTTTTAAAAATGCTGCTGAGAATGTGGAACCAACCAAGATCCTGGGAGGTTACAAAACACACTGGTAAGTCATATACAACAGACTGCAACGTCAGTTGTGAGGAAGCTTCCCTCGTGAGCCATTCCCCTACCCACGTCTCCATCACTTCTGGATGCAAAGTGCTTTTGTCTGCCATCCTGCTGGACCTTTCCCCAAGCCTACTGCATAAATTATGAAAGATCTTCACAAGCATGCCTACCACAGCGACACAAACACTTACTCGCTAATGTTGTGACTCTGCTAAGGTTTTCATTTCCTCCAACACTGCAGAACAGGTGCGGGGGTGGCATGGGGGAGAGAAGGGAAAAAGCAAACAGAGTTAGACAGCGTTTGCTTGGAGCAAGCCACAGAGTGCCCTCTGGTGATGATTCAATCTTCAACAATTCTCCTTATTTTAACTTCTGGGACAGCTGTAGGAGATGGAGAGACAGATGGATGGACCGACGGACAGACAGCTAGAATTTCCTGGTCTTTCTTGTATGAGGCTCTTGTGGTCCAGGAAATTTCATGCTGCGAGCTCAGCTACTTCCACCCCTTCCCTGAATTCTGGATGTGACTATATTTATTTACTCACTGCATTTTTTAACCACCCGATAAGCAAAGTTATCTGCATGGCATATACAATACATTAAATTCATAAATCAGAAGCATGCAGACAAAGAATATGAAATGTGCAGAATAAAGCCAGATAAGACAAGCATTAAGAGTGAATCCATTACAACATTATAAAAGCAATTTTAAACCAGCAACAAAATAAAGTTATAAAAGCCATTTTTGAAGCCTTAGGTTGCCTGGGAGAATAAAAAGGTCTTCACCCAGCACCAAAAAGACCACAAATGGGGAGCTGACACTTAAAAGTTCCCTTTCTTTAGAGCCACACACCTCTTCCTTTGCCAGCATTACCTGGAGAAAGCCTTAGATAATGATAATAATGTCCAGGAATGCACATATGGAAGGGGATGATCCATCTAACCAGACACTGGTAGCCTTCCTGTGTTATCTGCCTGCCTGCCTGCCTGCCTGGGAACACAAAGCAAAGGGAATTGTCAAAGTACCTGGCAGATAACAGTTTGTGCCTGGTGAGCTGGTCAGACTGGCCAACTATTCATGTGCATCCCTACAGTATGTTATGTTTATCTTGCTCTTGAAAGCTCTCCAGAGTAAGTTCATTTAAGTGCATGCAAAATGATCGAGAACTTTTAAAATGTCATGATGCTGAGTCAGACGACCATGATGTCAAAGACAGACGTGTGCACTGTCAGAATGAAATGAGCACAACTGTCCCCAGGTGGTCATCTTTAACTTTTGAAAACTATGATATATATGAACATGTCACAAATTCTACTGATTTACTTATCAAGTATCCTTCTAATTCATCCCAAGGGTAGATTATGATAGATCTTCACACTGGGTTGCCACCTTCAAAATCAGTCCGTCCCCTCTGCCCGGTATCAGCCTTTAAAGTCAGAGAAGGGAAACTGGAATGAGCAAGGAAGAACTTCAGTGGTCCAAAGGAGAAGGGTTACACAACTCCGTTTCCCTCTCTCTGCCATTTCTCCCCTGACTTTTGACCTCAGAAGCTACAGTCAACCTTACTTTTTGTACACACATTTGCACTGCAAATAATATGCAAGCAGTTCAGGGGACACCCCCACCAGCTGTTTTGGTTTTGCTGTATGCTATCCAGTGTCCTTTGGTCCTTAGGTTCAAAAGTGGAGCAGCCAGAGATTCTCCCTTGAATGACAGAAGTCATCCCATGAAGCTGATTGGTGGGAGAGTTGGGACAGGTAAAAGGAAGGACTTCAAAAAATGGAATTCATGTGCACATCTTGTGATGACCAGTTTGGAGGACTTTAAATGGGACTGGGACTCTTGGAGGAGAAGGCTGTCAATGGTGACTAGTACCTCCAGTATCAGAGGCAGTACACCTATGTACACCAGATGCTGGGGAGCATGGGTGGGAGGGTGCTGTGCACTCCTGTCCTGCCTGTGGATTTCCCTTGGGCAGCTGGCTGGCCCCTGTGGGAACAGAATGCTGAACTCAGTGGGCCCTGGTCTCATCCCACATGGTTCTTCTAATTCCCTTTTTTCTGATCATCACAGTGAATGGGATATAAAAAGGAAACACAGAACATTTGCAGAAAAGGTTAGTTTTGTTTATTAGCAAAGCAAAGCAAAGTGGGATGGAGTGAGAAAGAGAAAGATGGGGATTTGAAAAAGGAAAAGGCCATGGAAAAAAGAGAGGCTGGCTGCAATCTGTCAGTAGACATGTACTGAGATGCCATGGATAGTGCCAGCTGGCATTCCACTGGCACCCAATGGCACTGCCTTAGTGGAAACCAACCCTGCACGATGGGAAGAAAAGGGCAAGTGGGCAGCCATTCCAGGGGGCCAACACCATTGAGAGGTTCTCAGAGTGAAATATCAGGCTGCCCATTCTCTTAGGGTAAGAGTCTGTCCATCCCACATGCCTCCTTTCGGGGAGTCTTTCCTTAATATGAGGCATACTGGGTGAGGTGGTCTCGGCAATCACACGTGCTGCCACTGTCCCACTGTACCCCAAGAGCACCTCCCAGGCAAGGCTTCATTTGTGGAAGCACCCCCAGAGCACGGCACTGAAGGGGAGCCATTTGGCGGAGGAGGAGGAGGAGGAGGAGGAGGAAGGCAATCTTGTGCATGCATTAATTTCTGCTAGTGCAGAAAACCAGTCACTACAGAAGCCTAAAGGTCAAGTCTACTCAAGCCCTGTGCCCTGTGTGAATCCTAAGCATTCTAAGATGGAGATTGCTCAGAGCGAGGTGCAAATGCACTGCTGACCAGGAGGAGACAGGAACCGATTTCCAGTTAAAAAAAAGAGAAAGAGAGGAGGGAAGTATAATAAAAAGATTGCAGGTCTCTGATTCTCCAATAATAGCACTCACCTCCAAGAGAGGCCTCGATACTGTGTCAGAACATCTACAATGTTAAGTGGAGATGATCCTGCGCCATTTCCTGCCTGAGAATTATGCAAAAAGACCATGGTCAGAGAATGTGACTTAACATGATTGAGAAGCAAAAGGGCAATTCTCTGGGGTGCCCCCAGCCTTTGCTCCCAAGAAGCCTGGGCCATGTTCACAACACAGCTGTCACGTCCACTTCATAAGGGGTGTGTGTGTTGGGGGGGAGGGGGTGGGATCAGAAAGGGAAATAAACTTTGGAAGAAAAATTCAAATACTTGATTAATAAAAATAAAAGTTAAACTTAAAATTAGGAATGTGGTGGCCCCAGTTCAATAATACTAGATTGTCCCTTTTTATCATTGCAAGAATATTGATTAGTACAGAAGCATATTTAACTTGGTAAAAGCATATTGTATCAAAGGCAGAATTAATTACTGCAAGGGGAAATGCAATTATGCTTTTTTAAAAAAGCACAAGAGGATGAGGTTGAGGATCAGGATTTGCATGATTATGAGGCCTACTTATGGGTTACCTTGGCATTAAAGGCTTGAAAAACTAAAGGCTGACTAAGAACTAGCCAGCCTAGATTCTGAACAGCAGGGTACCATGGTAAATCTCTTTTGACTTTGGAAGAGCTAGGGGAATTTGGTTTCTTGCCACCATGCAGTTTAGAAACAGTTACAAACATGTGTATCGTATATATTTATACATCTGTGTGACAATGTATAAATATAAACTACAGTACAGCGTGTGTTCATCAAAGAGCACAGAAATGCAGAACCATTGAAAGCTGTGTGCAACATCTTTAAAAAGTCCCCATCTCTGCAAAAACTTCAAGCAGCTGCTCTAGCATTTTAACAGTTCCTACTGTATGTGCTAAGCAGAGAGCCAGAGCTCAAGAAGGAAGAAGAAAAGGAACTGAGGTGTTTGGTTTCAGCTTAGGGTGGCCTGAACTATTTCAGTTGGAAAGCTGTGGAATGGAGGGGTGTGGATGGGGTTGCTGAAAAGAGGGGTAGCTTTCCACCTCATCCCATCCCACTTTGATCAATGCCTCCTCCACCCTGGGACCCTCCAGATGTGCTGCACTACAACTTCCATCATTCCCAGCCAGTCAATGTTCATGCTGCCTGGGAAGTGTAGGAGTCTCTGCCTAGCATATCTAGAAGGCACTGGGTTGGAGAAGACTGCCAGACCATGAGCAGGAGGCCCAAAGTGCAAATCCCAACTCAGCTTGGGTCATTCACATTCACAGCTTATCCTACCCTGCAGGGTTGTTGTGAGGATAAACTAGATGGGGAGTCATCTTCCCTGCTGTCCTGAGATTCCAACATAAGGCTGAAATAGGAAAGATAATAATGTGTTCAACACTGACATACTGACATTATTATCTTGAGTTACGTATTGCCAGCATGTAAGAATATCAAGGTAGGATTTTTAACAAAATCAGCATGAAGTTGTCACAGGGCAGGACTTTTCAGCAATGCTGCATATCAGAAGTGACACATTTAAAGCAGCCATCAGTTGAATTCTCTGCAAAGAAATTCCCATTCAGAAACTCTGTACAGAGTTTGCCCTTTGCTCTTTTAAAGTGATCCTTTAGCATGTGGTCAGACTATTTCTGTTTCTTTGCTATAAAAATGTTTGAAATGCACCTCTACATGTGCCTTATCTAACATACGCAAATAGGCCACAGCCAGAAGAGATGGCATTAGTAGCCTGAAGGAGATTAATAACCCAGCAGGCTGTAAGCAGAGCAGAAGAAAGTGTGGAAAATTCATTTGCCTGTGAAGATCTTTGCTCCTCCTTTCTCGAATTAGAATTCAGAAATGTCTTTTAGATCATTCAGTTTAATATAGCACATTTGGTGATCTGCACTTACGGTTAACGAGTCTCCAAGGGCACCTATAACTTTAATGTCTGCTGGCCTCAAGTGATGAACTATAAAACAGAAGAAGGAAAGAATGATAGGATTTTCAGACGCTCCTTGGCATTAGGAATAGAGTTCTTAGAGGAAAGTTTTACAAACTTGAGATGCTATTTAAAATTCATGTTCAACCAAATTACCTAAACTGTGTTAGTCCCAGTGGCAAGTATTTGATGCTTATTAGAATATAGTATTCCCTTGTACTCTTCCCCCCAAAAGTTAAACACACATTATTGCCTGTATCTTCCCCAACAATTTGCCCTTTTCATTTGTTACCAGACATGTTAAATTGTATTTTGAAGTTCCAGTAATGGATTGTGTATCTGACAGTCTTCAGTCTAATGAGAATCAAATGTTTTGGGGCTCTTTCACCTGGGGATCAGGATGTCCCCTAAAAGACTGGCATTCCTTGCTACATCTCATATTCTGTAATTCTCTTAAACTGCACCAGTACTCTTAGCTATATTCTTTCCTCTTGCTACAAAAGGCCTTGCTGATTATGTAAAACAACCATAGGAAAAACTAAATTCTGGCACTTAGCCTGTAGCGCTTACAGGCCTAGAAAGTGGCAGCTAACTAGATGGAAGAAATCCATGTAAATCCTATGGTTCTTTACTGGAAAATGTTAGCTTCGCAGAGCCTGTATTTCTTACACATTTTATGCCTGCCTTATATGAGCAGGATGTAGTGGCGCTTCAATGAACTCGATCATTTTCCTTGCAAATTTCAAGTACCTGCAAAGCAACTTGCACTAGGTTACTATCATCTCATTCTCAACATCCCTGTGCTCCTGTAACATAGGGGTAATTTGATGAATAATATTGTCCTACATTGCAAGGTTGTTGTGATTAGGATATTAATTAATCATAGGCCTTTATATGCCACCCTATAATCAAACTTTCACAGTATTCTGTGCGAAGTGCTTTGAACTCTTAGGTTGTTTGAAGTGCTAATTATTTTTATTTTTTGGTGCAATTTCTGAAAGGTTGCCAAGGTCTACTTTCTTGAAATGGAAAAGTGCCTCGAAGCCTTTATGTTAGAATAAGTGAGCACTTTTGCAAGATGCAGACTGGGTACCTTTGAAAAACTGACATTTATGTAAATTGGCAGTGGTGAGGAGAGCACTCTCTCAATATCAGGACAATAATTCACACCATGACTTTGTCCAAGAAGGTCTTGCGATTAAGTCTTCTGACTTTATTGCTTCTATGCACAGTAAGCTCATATTGACCTTGCTATGCTAGATAGTATCCTATAATTACATTTTGTACACTATTTCCCCCTTCCTTGATATATTTGACTGTACTATTTAATTATTAGGCATATGGCTACACAAACTTGCTCTCATAAGAATGATCAGATTCTTGAGGTCAGTTTTTCTATTATTCTATTATTTAATTTACAATGATAGAGGAAAAAATTCTTGAGAATTCTGATGCAGAAGGAATGAAGAGTACCATTCTGGTGACACTAGAAAAACCACGGGGCAGTTTTCAGATTACTCAGAGGTCTACAGATTCTATAATTGCCATGGATTATCTCCAGATGGGGCTTTAACCAAAGTTCTTTGGGGAAAGAGCTATACATAGCTCAGTGGCAGAGCACGTGTTTTGCATGCAATAGGTCCCAGGTCCACTTCCCAGCAACTCCAGGTGGAGCTGGGAAAGATCTTTACCTGAGACCATGACATGCGAACACACCACAGGTGAGCACCCATGCTGCGTTGCCAGGGCATCAGAAGCTAGAACAGTTTCTGCAGGGTGGTGTGTTTTTCAAGAACAAGCCAGCCTGAGAACCTGTGGCTTGGTATTTGGGTGGCTTTTCCAGGATGGCTTCTCAAGGCATATGGACCTACTTTGCTGTGGCTTGTTGGAAGGTCTACGGAGGCACTCAGCTTGGTGAAGATGCCTGCTGTTCCTTGCAAACCTGTGAGTGCTGACATCATCCTCCCTCATCCCTTTTCAGTGTTCCGCACCCAATTCATCAAGAAGAAATGATCCTAGAATGTATCTTGAATGTGTTCAGCACTTTTAAAAAATATTGGCCTGGCAGTGTACAGAAGCAAAAGTCTGCAGCGATTGGAATTTTCAGTTTTCCCCTCAGCTTTATTACTATGCCATTAAATTTGTGTATTTTTAACCAAAAGCAGCCAGTGGTTACGTGAGAAGGAGCTTTTGGGCTGGGTGTAATTACTGTGGGAGTACATGAAAGGGCGTCTGCTAGTAAGGGTAGTATGAAAACTGAGAATCAGCAAGGGGAGAGACAAGCCATAGCAAGCCACAGAAGGGTTGATCATCTGTCAAGTAACCAACCCATAGTGGCTTATTTTCAGGCTGATTTAGGCTGATGTGCGAACTCACCCATGTCAGTCAATACAAATATTAAGCAAAGGGTGTGATCCTATGCATGTTTATCTACAAACAGGAAGTGGTAGGACTTCATTCTGTTTAAACTTGCATAGGAGTGTGCCCAAAATAAACTGTTTGACTTGCTATAAGAATCCTCAATGCAAATGAAAGCATATTATATGTAATTAGTCCTTGCATTGTGCCAGTAAACTCACACAGAAAATCCTAATGAACATGAACGGTATAAATAACCAACTATAGATTTGATAATAATAGGTAAAAACAGATAATACATATGAAAAATAGTTTGTGGTCATAAAAGTCCCTGATACCTTTAATTCCCTGAGAAAAAAAATCTTTGTCAGGTACTGTTTCAATCATTTGCAAGCTAAATTGTGCTTGTGCCTTTGATGCTGCACTGTGCAACAGCCATCCCAAAATAATTATGTAATAAGTGCTGTCCTTCAAATTTGCAGTGCTATCTGTTGTAGAAAATTACTGTAGTTGATTTGTTACAAACTCTGAAAACCAAGGCACAAGGCAGCTTCCCATGTTAATATGTCCACCCTTCTGTACTCCTGCTCTCCATTCCTAGCTTTGATGGCGTGGCAAAAACTCAGGGGCAGACTGCTTCCTTTTCCTGTAGAAAGCCCAGTGGTTTGAGCCTTGACATCTTAAACACAGAAACCGGGAAACAATTCTGCCTGAAAGATTGGAAAGTATAAATGATCCTATGCCATCATTTTTTCCTGCTCATCCCTGAGGTTTCTCCACTTTATAATTATCCACCCTGGTCAAATTTATCCATCACATTCACAGCTGCACTCTGCCTTTCTTCCAATGAGCTCAAGGCAACCATACGTGATGTTGTAAATTGTTGTCCTAACAACAGTCCTGCGAGGATAGGCAGGGTGCCAGTAGTGTACCTGAAGTCTGATCAAGAATTTAAACTGAGGTTTCCCAGGTCTAGGACAAACATTTTATCCCTTATATACACTGGCTGGAATCCAAGTGTGATTTCATAATAGATCCCTTCCATTCTCTGCAAAACCAAGATGCATTCCAGAGTAAAAGGTGTTTGAACTGTCATTTATTAAAACACCTTTGGTCTCAACCCAAGTAATTGGTGTGCAAGCAGCCCCTAATTCTTGTAGTATGAGTGAAGAAAAGCACAAAACCCATACCTGAGACGGGAACTGCATTGGAGGGGTTACGGTCAGAACATGAGAGGCTAGTCCCATAGCTCCTCGGCTGAAAACAAATAGATGGCAGTGCATTATAGATGGCTCTTAACATTCCATTAAAAAGAATTATGCACTCCCAAGAAAATAATTTCATGAGATATGCAACATTCGTGTGCCAGATTCCTCCCTCCTCTCCACCTGAAGGCAAGCAGAAGTAGATGGAGCCAGTACGCTCTGCACTTGAGGCCTTGTGTCAGTCTGCCACTCCACAGAAGATGAGTAGTTGCTTTTTCTGTATGTGAAGAAGTATGGGTACTCCTGCAGAGATAAGATAGTGAAAGCAATTGAAAAAGAGAGAGAGACATCATTTGGCACTATGGCTGAAGTCAGCAGGGCAGATTCAACAAGAAGAACAATAATTTAAGATTATCTGGGAGTGTCTGTATCTCCAGTGACCAATTTCATTTCCAGACAGCAGTCAGGGGGCCAGAAGTAACTTGGGCAAAATCTGACCCCTTCAGCAGATGGCCGGCAAAAATACATCAGAAACATCTCCACGCACATCAGTGTTAATGATCAGGAAATACTTCACAGCCATGGAACACCATGGACTGGCATGGCCAGTGCCTGAAATGCAGAGCTCAGAGTGATGCAGCATTAATATTATGGACTAGTGCTCTTCTGTTCATCACTTTTAAAAACAAGTTTCTTCCTTTAATGAGTGAAACTGGGTGGTTTTTTTAACAGCGATTTTGTCCCCAGTTAACTGGGAAGGGGGAAGGGGCTGAAGCTGAGTGATGGAGCATGGGCTTTGCCTGCAGAAGGTCCCAAGCTCAGTCCCCAGCATCTCTTGACAGAGCTGGAAAATCTCCTTTTTTTCTGTTGCTGCCAGTCAGTGCCTGCAATACTGGGCTGGATGAGCCAAGCGTTTGACTTAAGGCAGCTCCCTGTGTTTCTAAGCAGCAAGTGGTCCCAGGAGCACATTACACAGTCCCTTTGCTGGAACTAGGCAGGCCTGGCTCTGGTCTGCATTTGGACTTAGGTTTGAAGTCGAGACTGCCTGACGGTGTCGTATATATTGCATTCCATGAAGCAGTAGGTGAAAATAAATATGTTAAATATTTTTTCTCCAACATGGCAGTTGAAAATTCTACAAGAAGCAATTTTCTTTTCCAATTTCACCCAGTCCAGGTATATACACATGTTAATCCTGAGTGCACGGCAATTTGGGTAAACACCATATGCAAACTGGGTGGTCACTTTGGAAAGTGCAGTCCTGCCCTAAAGTATCCCTGGCAGTGGGAGACCTCCACAGTCCCAGTGAGATAAGATCCCTTGTAAGTCTGGGAAAAGGCTGACATCTGTATTTACAAATAGCGCTGAATTACTGTAGGCACACTGCAGGAATCACTCATTAAAGCAGCGATTATAAAGGAAACATGCACTGTGTGCCTTCTCCTTTCCTAGGAGAAATGGCATCCTTCATAAAGCCATTTCCATAAGCAACTTTTGAATCTGTGTTTGACTTTCCTGTGTCTGAGCATCAAACGGAAATTTTACTTTGGCTAGAAAGTACAATGAGTTTCAGAACGTCTGTCCCCCATTTTCAGCAGTGCGTTCACATCATGCACTAGAAAACGGGCACGCATGTGTATCGTGACCAATCCCATACAGGAAGCCACAGCCTTGAGTTTACAAAAGCTGTGCAGGGCTGTCAAGGAGGGGACATTTTGGAGGGCTTTCATTCCTGGGCTCGGCATAACTCAGAGATGACTTCATGGCACACACAGCAACCGCCACATCATTCTCAACTGATTTATTACAAGTGACCAAATGCCCATAGTGTCTCTCGTGGGAATGCATTTGGATTGCTTTGAGGGGATGCCTGTGCTCAGTCTGGCGCCAGGCTTTTGGGGACAGGAGGACACCCTCCCGCGGCGAGCCTGCTTTCTCCTTCCACCATCTCCAGCTGCTGTTGCTCTCATCCTTTCTCGTTGTTGCTACCACTTGCTCACCTGAGAGGCAGTGAGGTGGTGAGCCAGCAGGCAATGGCATCCCCTGCTCTTTCTCACCACCACCGTAGCCTATTCAGAGCGAGGAGGGGAATCAGAAGGTCGTGGCGGGGAGGAGGACAAGCAATTCCAGGGGGCTCTTGGGTGCCAAACATGCCTCCCTCGCTACCAGCCCTGCTGGTGCAGCTCCAGTGAAACGAACCATAAAGGTTGGAGCCATGTAAGATGGGGAAAAGATGGCAGTGCTGGCATTGCCACCAGGCAGAATCCAAACATGTCTCTTCTGGTGCTTATAACCTGTCCAAGGTTTCAGAACAGCATTCACTGCTACTCTCCTCTGTCATTCTGCTCCACAACAAGCACTGCTGACCAGCCTCAAAGCTTCTGATAATCTGCTTGAGGCGAATAGGTTTCGAAAAGCAGAAGAGCCCAGGAACCTCGGAAAAAGAGGCACCATTTGAAACTGCATAAGCCTGGGCAAGAAAGGTTTCCTACCGGAGAGGGACACCGTGCCTCGGGCATCTTGGTGAAACGATAGGGCTGCTTCTGCCCAGCAGGTTCCATCTAGAGGAGAAAATAGAAGCGATGTGAGATTTGGGGTTGGATCAGTTTCGAAGTTTGTTCCCAGATAGGATGGACCAGCGAGTTCTAATTTGGAGGTACCAGCACTGCATTGGGGATTGGCTGGCGTGGCATCCGGCTCTAGGGGAGGCAAGCCTGTTTCTTGGCTGAAGCACTTGAGGCTGGAGGTGGAGGCTCGTGCAGCTGAATGTACATAGCCAGAATGAAAAAGAAAGAACTATGTAAAGATAAACAATGGCTTTGTCAAAAGAGAGGGAACTCCTTCTCGTATTAATTAATTAACTCTATGTTATCATATTCCCCCTAAGAGACAGGGTATGAGGCTTGGGATTGTTAGATTGTATTTTTACCATTTAATATTATGCACTGGCACTCTCGAGTTTTTAATCGCTCTGTTATTTTAACTGTTTTCATTGCAGTAGTGAACCATCATGGGATTCACTAGAATAAATGATGGTATATAAAAGTTTTAAATAAATAAATGTTTCCTTCACAAAAGCACCCTAGACAAATGGGTAGTAGGCAGTATATTATATTGTATATATGTATATATTGTATATATATTTACAACATAACATAGGCATGTGGCCCAGACAAAGAACTCATCCAATATTTTATTTTTCATAATTTCTCTCTCTATTGAACACCAGGTTCAATTGTGTAATAACTAGAATAAAACCAAGTGATGGCAATTAAATATAGGTCGAAGGGTTTTGTTTTCTAATCCTCAGCATTTTGGGCTCCATCCAAATAAATTAATGTTATTGGACTGTGAGGTATAATAGTTTCCTTTTAGCTCAACTGCAATTTAAAGAACAGACTCAGTAAGGAAATTGGAAGTCGACACACACAACAGTAGCTGGTATCATGAAGAAGGAAAACTGACAATGGAGACATAAGTCATGGTGGCCCATGGTTTGCTGCCCGTGATGCGTTGTTGTGCTGCACGAAACAGGCCGATTTAATTCTGTTTGAAGATGTTGCCTCGACGTGACTCATTCAAATGTTGACAGCATTGCATCACAGAAGCTGAGTGTTCATCCTTCCACTGTTCTAATTTTGGCCTTTGAGTTGTCAACCGAATGTGGTGATGCCATTGATACTGACCATTTACTATACCAGGGGGCAGGTGAAATACTGTATGCATCTCTGAATATTAAAGACTGTTCTGGAGCAAAAAGGTATATGTAAATTCCTCCCAAATAAAAGGAACTCCTGACATTGTCAGACATATGTTTAGAAGAACATAGGCTGCATGGTAGCACCAACAATCAGAAATTAAACTATCCCTTATTAAAAGGAAATTACAGCGTCCAGTAGGTGCAAAACAAAGGCTTCTGCTAAATAAGACACAGCTTAAAAACTGGAGACACAACAGGTATATGCCAAAGCAACGAAAACCCACTGGTTAGGCATTTTATGGTGGTGGCGACTGCTGTTTCTCAAATTCCCAAATGTTCCCACAGGTCCAAAACATTTGGGAGTCATGTATGGGCCCTGGATTTTGGCTGTGAGGTCCAGCCCTAGCAGCACCACTCAAAATATTAGCATCTTTCAATAATCATCAAGGACTATTTTAACTTTATAAGAACTCATAACAAGTCTGCAAAACCTTTTCACACTGCCTTGAGGTGTCCAAGATTAAACTTAGAGGAGTCCAGAGTCTTAGCTTATATTTTGGGAGTGTCTTGCTTTTAAATTGTTGCCTGAACTCCACCAATACACCAGTGAGATGGCATAAATTGGTCTCCTGCAACAGCAGGGGGCTGGACCTGATGGCCTTCATGGCCTCTTCCAACTCTACTATTCTGTGATTCTATGGACAGGGCAAGTCAGAAATGTAAGTAAATGCATGTAAGCATCAGTGAACTGGTTTGTGGCTGCAGCTGTTTGACTACAACCCACAAAGACATAACTGTAGTACCACTCAGAGGCAATTATTATTTCAGAAGAAATTATTCAATATTTAAAAGGCTGAAAACATGGCAAGTTCAATAATACCATGAATAATATTACTGTGTTAACACCTTCAAAACATACCTTCCCTATTCTTTTTCTCAAGATTTTCTTTCCCCAGTCGTATTTCTTAGATGCTTAGTACACGACTTTTGAAAAGCTTTGTTTTTAATAGGAGAGAAGGTTTTACAGAAGGACAAAAGCACTTTGTCTAAATTATGTAATTAAAATGGAAGGTTCATATCTCCTAGAAATAGGAGCTATGCCTCCAGAGATGAAGCTGCAAGTGTTTTGCCAATATTAATTAAATAGCAATCATTGCAGAACATTGTACTGATGGGTGCAATGTTCAAATAAGATGCCTGGTACATTATCTGCAAATAATGTGCCAAGTTTTAATAAATCAAAAGCAGTGAACCTCTCTCTGCTGATGGTAATGAAATCTTTTGGAAATTTCTATGAAAGTGGCCTCTGTTGCCTGCCAGTCTTGTACTTCTCTGCAGGTAACATATTTGATTCTAACGAACAGCCCAAGGGGTGGTCCTATGCATGTTTAGAAGTCTTGCAGTTCCCAGTATTCCCCAGCTGATTGGTTGAAGAAAGCTGAAAGTTGGATTTTTTTGGTCTAATCTTATGGAAGACTGGCCCTTAATTCAGCCATTAACTATGATTTGCCATTAGTTATAGAAACTATTGTCTGTGCAAGATCTTCTGCCCATGTCCCCTTGAGCTACCACTGCTGCCCTTCAGGAGTTTCTTTGCTTCCAATACCATTAGATACATCCATTCCCTTCTGCTGATGTGGCCATTACTCCCAAAGAGGGTGGATGCATCTTAGTCTAGTGTCTCAACTTTGACCATTCCACCTCGGGGGACCCTGCTAGTGAGTCTGGCCTCCTGGTGGCACTGCGCTCAGCTTCTCTGATGCTCTCAAGCACCCTCATCTTGTTAAGGTGTGCATTCCAGAAGGAGAAATGAGGCTTTCAAGCACCTTAAATGAAACACAGGTCCAACATACAAGCATTGCCACAAGTTGCAGTACTGAGAGTCTACTGACCTTTCCCTTGTACTACTCATTGTGGTGAACTTGGGTTGTTTCCTGTTATTTAGTAGATTATATTGTGCTATTCTGATTGTGGTAATAGAGTCTCCTTGTCAGAGATGCTGATCAGATAACTCATTCTGTGCTTCTGAAATTCTGACAGTATCTTGTGCATCATCTGACCTTGCACTGTTTTGCAGGCAGTCATCAAACAGAGATTAGATATAAGGAAATTACCTAAGGGGAAAGAACTTAATACAAATCCCTGATCGTCCCCTCTGGACGCAGGATTGCCTGGATGTTTGAGTGAAGCAGTACAGTTCTTCAACTCTCTTCTTTTCTTTAAAGTTGGCTACCCAATATCAGCATCCTCTGAAAGTGCTGAACTACTACTCCCATCATGCCCACCCTACATTATCCATTGGGCATGCTGTCTAGCGAAAGATGAGAGTTGGAACACAATACGTCTGGAGGGAACTAGGTTGAAAAGATTGGATTCACTATGCGGACACTAGAACCGCATAGCAGACATGTTGGCTAACCCCCCTCTCGAGAAGCAGCTTTTTGTGCAAGATCTCTGAAATACTTGGCTCCTCCAAAATACATTCACAGACTAAAGGCAAGAAAATATAAGGTGATTTGCCTAAATTTAGCTGCAGAACCAAATGTCTACTCCCTCTGCTCACCACAGGCCAAATGAAGTCTGGGGAAGAAGGGGATTATATCATTTATTATAGATAAATAAAATCAAACAATAATAATAAAATAAATTTCCTTTGACAGTTGGATTACTAATCAGTAAGTAACATGAAATTGGATGGCAAGTTACCTTTTGGTAAACCCTTCCTGTTTAAAAAAGCCCATGCAAACCGTTGTGTATCTTATCAGAGCATCTGACCTGTAATAAAAGGCAAGCTGAGACAAGAACTTTGACATTTTCCTGACGGGTATTTATGGATAAAAGGGAGAAAGAGCAAGATAACTGAATGCAGTTATTTCATTCAAGGCTGTAATCTTGATTCAAGACATTAACTCTTGTCTTGCCGTGTGTGTGGCAACAGAGTAAAAAGCTCATGCATGCAAGTAGGAATTGGAGTTCATCCTCCTGTTTTAAATGCATCTGCCCCTAATATTTGGATCCTTTCTACATGCAGTTGTTAACCCACCATATCCACTTTTAGTTTCACTGCAGAATTGAGACAGGGCATTTGCTTTCCTATTTCTCTGCTATTTGACCTCTAAGTGCCACTGTGGGATAACGCAAATTCACTAAAGGAAATCACAGTTTCTTTCACCTTGACAATGAATGCTGCATTTTCCCTGCACTAAAAAACAACCACAAACAAACTAAGCACCTTGACTAAAGTGTTGTATAAGACTCAGAAGTGAAGCAGGAGGGCCACAACATTGCCTAAAGAATGCACAAGCAAACCTGGATGGGAAATAAGAAGCACACAAGAAATGTCTTGTATTGAATGATCTTTCACAAAGGAATTTGCCCCCTCTTTCGGATCATGTGCTCATGTACAGGTTCATTAGTTGTAGCCATTTCAAAAAGGTGTGAAGCATTATCTCCACTGTTAATGAGGCACTTCCCATGCTGCAAGGCTCCTATTCTCTCATCTTACTGGATCAGTTAACCCATTCCAGTCTGAGAGATGAGCTCAAGCAAGGAGAATACTAAGATGGGGAAGTGGACCTGTGAAGCATCACATGTTCAGTATTGCACACTGAGCATACCGTCCTCTTTGGAATGTTTTCACCCCAAACCCAGGGCCTTTTTTCCTTTTGATATATCAGGGGCAGCCAAACTGAGGCTTGGCATGCGGCTCTTTATTTTGTGGCTTGCTGTTTACCCTCGTGGGCACCTGCAGGCACTCATTGATACCCACAGCTGCCACCCACAGGTACCCGCTTGCAACTTCCAAACTTCTGACATTCACTCTATATGCTCTTGTGTTGAGCAAGTCTGGTCACCCTGTTATACATATATTTCCATACTTCTTTTAAGCTTGAAGCTTTCCTAAGCTTTCCTAAGCCTTGAGGATACCTCCCTCCTGTGCATGGATGCGATTACATAAGGCATGAAAACTGGTGCACACTGGAATGCCTGGATATACTATAGATTGCCTGATGATTATATGGTCTATACTACATGGTGGAGTAGACCTAGCATTTAATTTGAACTAGACATCACCCTGCCAACAAAAGTGTGCATAGTCAAGGCTATGGTTTTCCCAGTTGCAATGCATGGCTGTGAAAGCTGGACCATAAGGAAGGCTGAGTGCCGAAGAACTGAGGCCTTTGAATTGTGGTGCTGGAGAAGATTCCTGAGAGTCCCTTGGACTGCAAAGAGATCAAACCAGTCAGTCTTAGAGGAGATCAACCCTGACTGCTCTTTAGAAAGCCAGATACTGAAGATGAAATTCAAATAATTTGGTCACCTAATGATATGGAAAAACTCACTGGAGAAGACCCTGATGCTGGGAATGAGTGACAGCAAAAGGAGAGGAGACAGCAGAGGATGAAGTGGCTAGATGGAGTCAGTGGGGCAGTGGGTGTGGGCTTGGGTGGACTCCAGGGGATGGTGGAAGACAGGAAGGCCTGGAGGAGTGTTGTCCATGGGGTCGTGATGGGTCGGATGCAACTTCGCAACTAGCAAGCAAGCAAGCAAGCAAGGATGACTTGGGTTCCCAGTAAGTGACGTTCTGGGAGTTACCAATGGCCAGCCACAACCTCACAGGTCACTATGAAGACTAAACCTAGAGTACACCCATGTCGAATGCATCCACATTTCTCGGTGGAAGGGTGGCATACAACTGCAACACAATGACTTACGAACAGTGACGCAGATCACAGAGCGGATGGAAGATTTGGCTGCCTTCCTAGCATTCCATATCCTGAATATCAGGGAACCTCTTCTTTCTAAGCACTTGACGTGCAGGCCCTGCAGCCCTAGTGTCAGGGCACCCTACCTCCATTCTGGTTCTTTGTCAGCCATATACCCAGTGATGAATCACTCACAGATACTGGCTCCTTCTCATAAAATGGGAGCAAGGACCATAAAAGATGCTAAAGTGCTGAGTGCACTAAGAGTGGCATATATCCCAAGAAACAATTTATCAATAAAGAATGAGCTGCCATGTTCATCAAGAGAAATTTAGAAAACAAATGTTTTTAATTCCAGCAAAATTTAGAAGAGCAAAGAGTGCAGGGCAGAGCAAAAAAGGCAAAATTAGCTAGAACTGCAAATGTTCCTTGCATGATGACTGAGATAGAACCATGCTTGTAATTCAGTTAACTGACATGTATTTCTAAACAATTCACACACGCCTAGATTGCCAAAAGTGCTCTAGATTGACTTTATAGTGCACTGTACTTCATTAATATACACTAAACCTAAGCAAAAAACTCCTAGCCTGATATGAGGAGGGTAAAGGTTCATAAGGATTTGAGAAACATCTTGCACAATTGAGTTACTATTTAAAGTATGCATAGGCCAAATCTCAAGAAAGCAGACCTAAAAAGGATAAAATGTAACTCATCATAGAAAAGAGCAGTGGCTAAAACACTAAAGGTCAGCATTATGTTTGCATGAATATTTGCTAAAACCATTACAAGAACCATATGAATTCAACAGTTTAAAAGCAGCAGCATTTTAAACATTCAGCAGTGCAATATTAACTAAAAGCAGCCTGGAACAAATAGGTTTTCAGAGCTTGTTTAAAAGGCAGCATCACTGGAGCATCACCAAAATGCATGTCCCTTGGAAAGAAGGGCCTCAAGTATGGGGCTACCACTGTGAAGGCCATGTCTCTAAAGGCTTTTCTAATGCCAAGTCTCAGATAAGATCAGGAGAAAAGGAGATTCAGCAGAAGTCACTTTTGAGGCAAGAATGAGAGGATTTGCTCCAGGTTATGTAACCACCTAACCTGTAATTACGAGACTTGATTTTTGACAGTAAAAATATTCTAATATTCTGCACAGGACATGCAATTGAAAAAATATTATGCAATATGAGTAATGACAGCTTTGCACAGAGAATAGTCTTAACTGGCCGAAGGGGGCAGTAGCAAGCTATTTTCTTCCTGATTATTCCATGTTATTGCAAAAGTGCTAATGTCCCCTCTGAAAGGCTGGTCGCAGGGGTCATGCATTTGGCTGCCTATTTCTCCCTAAGCTTACCATATTGTTCCAGAGTTCCACTCCTACAGCAGCAAAGTTATTTCTTGAGATTTCCACTGGTGTCGTGTTTGTGGAATGGCCATTCCCTTGCTGGCCCTGGAAGAGAAAGACTTTTTGAATAGCTTCTCTTTTACTAGCAGAAATACCCCTAACAGACAAAACCAGCACAGGAAGTAACTGCAAGAAAGTGGAGGGCAGAAGGGAAGGTCACTCTAGGGATTTTCACATGGCTAAAGCCATTATCAGTTTTGGGCCAGGATTACCCTCCTGTCCCCCAGCAAATGTTTGACATAAGAACATAAAAAGAGCTCTGCTGTGTCAGATCACAGACATCTCTAGTTCAGTGCTCTGTTCTCACACTTGAGCATCTGGGAGTTTATGGTTTTATTCTCACTACATTTAGCACATTCTCTTATTTATACAAAAAAGTGGAGAGAAGGACTGTAGCTCAGGGAAAAGCCCTTACTTCACACGCTGAACCTTCCAGGTTAAATGCTTCCCAGTTAAATGCTTGGCCATTCCAGACAGAGTTGGGAAAGATCCCCAGCTGAAACCCACCCTCCAGGGAAAGCACAATACTGAGCTAGAAGTGCCCAATGCAAGGACTACAAGGCTCGCAAGCTGCAAAAAGGTATAAATGGCTTTTCCATTTTTCAAATATACATACATGTTTGGAATACATATGGATTTAATATACATGGACCAGATATCCAAATATATCCATATTAAGGTGGTATCTATATACTGTCTGTTCATATATCAAAAGCATTTTAAGGTCCTTGGTGCATTGCATTACAGGAGAGGAGTGATTATTGCTGCAATTTTGAAATATCAGCTTTCTAGCAGGAATCCCTTTCCCCTCCCATTGTTATTTTCCATGAATTAGGTAAGTAAATTAAAATAACTCCTACAAGAATGAATAGTAAAGCCTATCTCAATACAAATTTTATCTATAAATTCCATCCAAAAGGAAGTCATTCCTGGACATTGTCAGAACATGTGTTTAAGAAACATTAGCTGTGTTCCACCACCAGCAATTAACTGAATTGGACAAGCCCTTATTAAAGAGAGAAAGTGGTATCTAACAGGCATGGGATACAACTTTTCACTGTATATGATGCAGTGCAAGATCCACAGACACAAGCAGTACACACCAAAGTGGTGATCTTCTAATAGGTATTTTGTGTTGGTGACCACAGCTGTTTTTCAAATTCCCAAATGTGGCCACAGGGCCTAAATGTTTAGGGATCCTTATTTAAGGTGAAGAATGGAGCAAAGTATTTATCATGTTCCCTTTGAATATGGAAAAATAAATGCTACTTGGCACAGTCCTCTCCTCCCAGTGTACATGTTATATGGATAATGGACTACAGAAGGGTTTTTTTTCTTTTTACCTCCCAGTGTGACCCAGAAAGAACAAACTGTTGCAAGTCCCACTCACTGTCATAAAAGGAATATCTAGTTCTTGGAGAGGAGTCTGGAGAACCACAGTGAAGTCATCCTTCTGGTCATACTTCCGAGATGCCAGTAACTTCTCCAAAGCAACCTATGAAACAGGATCAACAGCTGGTTAGCAAGATTTGCTCTGTTCCCTGACTGCAGAGTACAATGCTCAGCTCTGTCCATGGCTTAATTGAATTTCAGAACCATTTCTATTGCTAATAAACCAGAATAATCACATTATATAATCACAACACAAAAAAGCAATTCCACCAAAAACAAAAACAAAATGCACAATCTCAGAGAAGCACTGGAAATAATCCAGCAACTGTGAGTTGAACGGCATAAATCCATTTTCTTAGAATAAGCAGCAGCTGAGCACTAGCTTTTTCACACCCTGGAGAAATCTCGGCTTACTGAACACCCCAGTTAGCTAACAGTACTATGAGATATTCTTTTGCCTCCTAAATATTCTGACATGTTTTACTGGCACAGACAGCATTTTTCATCAGCTGGACAACAGAGCTTTCATTATCTAAATCCTGCATGTTATATATTCTCAACACTCCCTTTGAGGCTTCTGGGAAAAAATTTGGAAACTTGGGATTCTCACTGTCATTTATAAAAAATCAAACAGCAAGCTTATAAGCCTCAGGTATCTCTAGAATACATAGCATTCTTTCAGCAAAGGCAAAGGTGCCATAGCAGTCATTACTGTATTATGCACCCAAGTCCACATTGCTCATGAGCACTGATGACTGGAAACATGCTGGAGAGTAGTTTAGTGAGAGCTGATGTGGTCTAACTGGGAGGCTTGCAGGAGGAAGTACTAAAACCCACCCCTTTCTGATAGTAATGAGTCCTGCACACCAAGCATGTATAATGGAAACTCCACATCATAAACAGAAAAAAAAAGATTGCATAGCATTATTTTTTAAAGGACTGGGCAACTGCTGATCAAGAGCAATAGCAGCAGTAGAAGGCATGTGCTTGGAGGACTGTATCCTATGATCATGTTCCCATTGTTAATCCATGTTTTGTTACCTTGCACAGGTTTTGTGTGGCAGAGAATTGAATAACCCGTGGTTTTAAATGTCCCTAGGCTGTTCATTTCCCTCCTCCTTTACCTGTTCCTCCTTGTATCAAATATATTTCTGGTACTGGAGTACTGGCAAGCAGAGCAGCTAGGATTTTTTGTTATTTTTGCTCTCTGTCTCTAGCCTGGCAGAACAACCCACAGTTCTAAGTTCACACATAATGATAATTCATGGCTTAAACAAGCCAGAGTTTACCTTTCAACTAACTATGGTTTCTCTTTCTAGGCTATTTATAGTAAACAAAGCATAGTCTGATAACTCACCTGGGCTTGCATGACATGACAACCCAGAATTCAGGACTGATAGGTTAATGAAATCATGGGTTGGCATTATGTTGCGATCCAGGTTAAGGCTGACATCATTTTCTGTACATGACCAGGTAACCTACATGCGGGTTTCGTAGGGATGGGGGATGCTTAATGGGGTTTGCAACAGACAAGGACTAATGCTGGACCTATTTCATTATTATTGTTTCTGATCCTTTGTCCAATGGCACTGCTCCCACATTGAACATCTATCGATACTCTTTCCTCAAAGCTTTCTCAAAAGGAGTCTGCAGCTCATCAGCAGAACACATACTTTTCAAGCAAAATGCATCAGGTTCATCCCCTGGTGTCTCCAGGGAGGGTTGAGAAAGACTCCTGCCTTGAACCCCTGGAAAGCTGCTGTCAGCCCATGTAAAGCAGGAGTATACAGCAGATAGAATGCTGTGTAGATAGAATACAGCAGGTAGATCTCTAGGCAGTTTGTAATAGAATGGGAATTTCTATTCATTGAAAAGAAGTTCAGTTAAAAAGAAGATTCCACAAGCCTGGAATGTGTCCAACCTTGGGGTAAATAATGGCTTAATAACCAGGTGAACCAACTGTTTGATTCAGAATGACACAGCTTCTGAAAAAGATTTCTAACTTCTCAGTCACTGATACAAAATTCATATTTCTATGAATTCTAGATGCTTGGAGGTATTATACTTTATGCACATCTGACAAATTAATTAAGTTTGCATAAGTGACAGATTTATTTTGAAGACAAAGTTGTTTTCACATATAATTTGGTCTGAGGTCCCCGAATGAGCAGACATGGCAATCCTAAAAATTCACCCATGGAAGCAAGTCCCCCCTCCATGATGCTCCCATTATGATGCTCACCTGGTAGGACCATTTCCATACAACTTCATCCAGTCTGGAATGCTCATTGAAACATGGCTTAGGGAAAATGTCCCTAGAAAATGCCGAAAGCAAAGTAAAATAAAAATGTAAGAATGTTGTTTAGTTTTCCACTCATAAATATGCAGTGTGTTAACACATGAAGAGGAAAGATCTACACTGTGACTACAATTGCATGTATTGCTGTGAACCTGTAGCTGGCAATTTATACTCAGCACACAAAGCTGAAAACGGCAGATAGTTATCAGGACTGACAAGCTGAACCAAGGTAAATTTGGATACTTGAGCTGCCTTTGTTAAAGTTTATGCAAAATCATTTTTAATTACAGTATTATATTTTGCTATACACTTATAGGGAGATACAACACACACAGAGGGAGAGAATAAGTGCTATGGAGCTTTCCAAATCTTATCCAATAAACCTGTAATATGTTGGTTTATTTTATCTTCTTTTCTTGCTGTGGTTTGGTTCCCTTTGCAACACAATTTTAAAAAAAAAGCAATGCTGAAACTCTCCAGAAATTAGCAGATGTTACTTTCAACAAGCAAAGCAGTGTAATTCTTATTTCCATTCCTAGACAGAAACACATAATGCCTTAGATCCCCAGAAATGTAGATTCCTCAAAACACATATAAACTACTTTTTATAAAGAAGAGGCCTATGTGTTCATTTATTGGATTTATAACCTGCCTTTTTTCTTACAAAGAATTCAAAGCAGCTTACATCATTCTCCTTCTCATGCCCTCAGTCTTATCCTCACAACAACAACCCTGTGAGGTGTGTTGCACTGAGAGTCTGTGACTGGCCCAAAGGCACCCAGTTGGGTCCATGTCTGAGTGAGGATCAGAACCCAGTTCACCTGAGTCCCAGTCCCGCACCCTTAACCACTACACCACACTGCCTCTCTCACTGTCACCACACTACTTTGTAAAGAAAGATGTTCTTTTTTTGTAGTGCAGTAATGGATTCTCCAGGTGAAACAGAATGTAACCCAAACATTTGTTTGACATGTTCAAGTAAGCAAAATTTGTTAGCTAATGTTTATATAACATTCAGTCTGGGGACAAGAAAAAGGTGTTAGCTGAAAGCTAAAACATATAAGCTAAGGCCACAATACTAAACACATTTAACACAGTACCTCACTTCTCAGCAAATACATACAGGATCACACTGTAAAACTGGCCAATAGGCCCAAGTAGTTGAAAGGGGAAGATTCACACGTGCTGGTCATCACTTTTGGCATACCAAGGACAGTCTACCCTGGAAGTTATGATCTCTCGCACTGACTGAGGGTTGGAAGATTAGGGTGAAATCTTTCACAACCACAACCAGGATCATAACTGATAAACTATACAGTACAGGACTATTTCTACCATAAGTCCCTGTAGAAAAATGAACAATAAATGTCCAAGAATATAAAAATACATTCTGGACTTTAAATATTTAGAACTTTGGCTTTACCTGATATCATTTGGATCAGTGTGTGAAAGGGATGAGCCAGTGAACAGAGCAGAATCCATCAGGTTTACAAAGGCTTTGGGAATCTATTAGGATAAATGGACAAGATTAGCAAAACTAGAAATGGTTATTCCTTTTAAACATTAATATTGTTTTTAATTTGCTGTTCCACTAGTATCCAACACTGTTTTAGTTCCTCTCTCTCTCTCTCAGATCATCCCCAGGGCATTGCATGCTTGCAGAACATTCCCCTGAGCGAAACCCACTTCCGCATTCCTGCTGTGGTGCAGCTTCGGACGGGGCCAAAGTGGGGCACCCAAAGCCCGGGAGGCCAAACGACCATCCAGAGAGTAGCAGCCAACTGGGCATGCAACTATCTTCACTATCAAGACAGCAGAAGCAGACTCCATTTTGTCCCTGTAGTTGTGATAGAACTATAACTTTAACATGCCAGGGTATAAATGCTCAGACTATTTCTTCACAGCTCAGGTTTTAACAAGTTTAGCATTCTGCTATTACTCTTCTGCTAGACATAGAAGCTAAGCCATGTTAAGTTAGGGCCCATTAGGTCACTGATAAATGAAGGCATCTGATGAGGTGAAAGTCTACAAAAGTGAGATGGAAGTCCAAAGGTCTGGATTGAGTTACACTTATAGGACACTGTAGTGAGGGTGTGCCTGCATGTGCATTTATCAGATATTTGCATATAAGTTTCCTGGACAGACGGAAGCACAAGAAAGTTGGGCATTCCCCAATTGAAGTACCTATATATTTTGTAATGATGTCCTGAATGGTGAAGTAGTTTAAAAAGCAGTAGTCTGCTCTGCTGTGTTCTGTGTGCATGTGCATTAGAGAGAAGGGGGTGGGGGTGGGGGGGAGGCTTGGATAAAAGGGAAGGACCATACAGTTGTTTCACTCTGGTTACCACTTCCTTCCATTCACATCTGCTGCGCTGCAGTTATGCATTTGGTTTACATTACCCTGTCTAATTTGGTTTACATTGACAAAATGATGAAGATGCATAAACTGGAACAACAGTAGAACTCTTTCCCTTTCCTTCAGGCCTCTATACATGCGGTCTCCTGCTCTCTCGCTCTCACTCTTTCTCTCTCACATGCACAGAGAGAAAGAGAGAGAGAGATTGAGAGAGTGTGTTAATCATTTTATTAATTTACAGATTTTAATTGAACAGTTACATATTTTATGATGGTGCTCCAACTATACTGTAAGGCAGCTTGGAATAGATACTATGGGATCAAACAAACAAACCAGCTAATATGTTTGAACTATGTATTAGAAATACTTTGAATCTCCCAAATAGTTCTTACTTCTGTTTGTAAAAAATCCAGAACTGCTTCAAGTGCTTTAATGCTGTCAAGTTGGGAAGTCTCCTGTTGAAAATAGAAGAATGTATGTGAGATAATGGATGAAAATCTGATTATTCCTTTTTATTATAGAGAAAAAGTTTCAAAGTGACATCTCCCTTCATCCCCATCACTTTATTTGTTCTCAAATACAACTAAGATGGTGTTAGTTCCAGATTCATGCTGCCTCCATTGTTCTGAGAATGAGAAAGTTTCTACCCCCTCCTTGCCACAGCAATCCTGCTATCCTTCTGAAAATGCTACATAAACAGCCAAGGGCTATTCAAGGGTTGTCTCCTCCTCAAATAAGCCATCCCACTTGGGCTTGGACGGGTTGTGCCTGGGCAGAATGTTAGGCCAATAGCACCCAGCACATATCAGCATACACCAGTTCAAGCAAGCTTGCTTTGATCTTGCAAACCAGGGCAATGAAAAACATGTTTGATTTATGCAGGCCACCACTCCCTACATGGTCCTTTACCAACATTTGTGACTTTCAGCCATATCCTGCAAAGCAGTCTTATTCTGGTGTAAGCCAAGGTTCATAATCTCCTGCTCTGAATGACTTTCAGACACTGGATGATCCTGTCCTTTCAGAATATGGCCTGAAGGCATACAAGACATCCACCACATCCTGAAGCTAAGCAGGCCTGGGGCTGACCTGAGCTTGGAGGAGAGATTACGTGGGAACCACATGTAGCCACCTTGAGTACCACAATGGGAAAAGGTAGGATATAAATATAATAAATAAATACTGATCCTCATCCCCTGACATAAATAACTGTCAGGTTTGTATGATAGAAGACCCTGAACAAACACTTTATGTCCCATTCAGATGCCATGAAATTAAGGAGAACCAATATCTTTCACAGTATATGTTTTACATGCAAACATAATGAGAAAGAGATGTTATCACAAAATAGCTGCTTTGTTTAGTTCTGCTTCCATCCATCACCTGGACTATATTTAAGAGAGCTGAGTTTCCCAAGAGGTTCCTAGAGCACTGCTGAGGCACACAGCTAACAGTGGCGTTAAAATGTTGGTCCCACCTGGCATTTAATATAGTATCACATTATCCACCAGTAGCCACTCTTTTCGCCAAGATCCTTATACGGTGCTTAAGCAACAGCAAGTCCCACCCTGCAACTATGATTAAAAACTTCTCCTCATGACTTCTGCCTCTAATTTGTTCTATTAAGTGCAGCTGGGAAATTAGTAACAAATTTATTCTTATTCATTTCATAATTGCCCCATAGTCCGATTACCTGTCAGTAGGAAGCATTAATTATGGATTTTCTATACTTTCTCTCTTTTTTGTTATTGGGAAAATAGCATTATTTCACAGTAAAGACAGAAAAAGAAAACAATGAGAGGGAAACAGTAATTAAAGGGGTTTTTTTTCTATTCTTATGCTCAGGATTTGGCTATGAGACAATGCTATAGCAATTTTTCTTTAACCCCTGAACTACAGTGAATAGAAAACAATTAGAAGCTTCCAGGTAAGGGAACTATTAATTAAAGGCACAGTAGCCCCAAATGACCTCTACAATGCTGTATGCTGATGCTGAAAAAAGTCACAACCTACATTATGGAAAAAAGATGGAGAATTAAACAGAAAATACAAGAATCCAGCTGGTTGGCTATCATATTGTCTAGATTTTCTGTTTTAAAAAATCCGTAAAAATAAGAATAGCAACTCTAGACTAAACAACTACTATGAAAGGTAGGATTAGGCCATTTAAGCGTGAGTGAACAGAGACTGTTCTTACCTAGAACTGAAAGATCCCTCTCAACTCTGATGTGATAATCACAAATTTTTATACATCATAAAAAATGGTCCGCAGATTGGCCCCAAACAAGAAGGTCTAGAGGTGACATTCTTTGGGAGGTAGCAAGCAAGCAGTGATCAGATAATATATAATATAATTAAAATACTGGGTTTTGCCAGACATAATCACCAGGTCACTATAATTGTCTGTCAGGTACCTTTGTTGCAGGAACCAAGACTATAGGAGGTCTTGGAATGATGACCTGACAGATAGTGGCCAGCAACTGAACCTATATGTTATAGGTTTTTTCCAGCTCTACCTGGAAATGCCAAGGTTGACTAGCGAATGTCTGTGTGCAAAGCATAAGCTCTACCACATTGACTCACAAACCCTCCATAAGACCACCCAGCAACTGCTAAACCAGTCAACTGGCTGCAGCAGGTTAGCTGAGAGTAGCTTACAGGCTTCCTTGCTGTTACGAGCTATGGAGGCTCTTGCTGCAGAGCCGCGTCTGATACCATCCAAATCCCTAGTAGGACTTATCTCAGCCCAGTTTTCTGCTAAGGGTTTGTAGCTTTGCGCTATGCAGCCTTGTAATGTGCACTGCTGTCCTATGCACAGTTACCTGGAAGTAAGTCCCACTGAACTCAAAGTGTCTTACGGAGATGCATAAAACTGTGCTGTAAGTATCTTTACTAATCCCAGGCCCTTGCCTAGGTTGAGCTGGACTAGAAATTCATAAAAGTAAAGGCAGGAGAGCATCTTTGGTGTATGTGCTTCCTTGGTCCTCTTCAACTGAATCATTTCATTGCAATTACAAGAAATTTACCTTTCTGTTTGTTTGGCTCCCCCCGCCACTGCCCCAAGCCAGAAAGGACTGTTCCAAAGCAAGTCGTTTGAGGATTCCATTCTTGGGCATTTTAGAGAATTGGGGGTAACAACTGCCTTTCAAATATTCGTACATAGTTATCACCTCTGCAGACTTCAAACAAAGTAATTTGCAGAGAGCTGATTAAAGCCCTGAGGAGAGGATGATGCAGAGCTTGCCATTTAGAGAAATTTCATAAAAAGGAAAAGGAAAGAGAACTCTTCGGTGCAATGTGCACACCAAAGGCAACATAATAATAATAATTTTAAAAGCTGTTCTTTGGAAGAATTTTTATGGACCAGGTAGAAAAGATATGCATTCAATTGGCAGAGAGAAAAATTAGACCAGAGGGAAGAAAAATTGCCTAACTTCATTTGGTTCAAGCTACATTCAAACTGTGTATGTTTGAGGTTGATTAACTGTGAGAAAAAAGCAGAAATGTTTATACACCAAATGTTTTAAATGTTCAGTATGATGGGGCAAAGAAAAGTATGCAGAGACATCAAAAACAAACCCGAAGGTCAGTATATAAATGCAGCTATTTACAGTAAGTCCAGATTCATATACAACCCTTTCAACATGGTCTGTGATTCATTTATTTGTTTATTTAGAATGCGGTGCATTTCCCACAATTTTCACTCCAAGTGGAGATGTACAAAGTGGCTAACAAGATCATTTAATTATTAACTTGCAATAAATATATAAAAATAACAACACATCAAGAGTAGAAGGCACAAAAACAAGCCAAGAGTGCCAGAACTAGAAACTGTCATAATGTAGTAAAATCAAAAGCCTTTTGGAAAAGAAACAACTTCAGATACCTGAAGACAAAGGGCCAGTTCACACAACTGCATTGCAGCAAGGGAAGTAACTCACACTGGTTTTCCCTAGTTGTTGCTTGGGCAGCTTAACTTGCCATCCCAACCCTGCCAGCATGGCTTGTTTGAGGAGGACAGCCACTCTCAAATACCCACAGGTCCTGTCACACGACTGCCGCTGATCAGTGCATGTACCTGTTCTTGCTTCTTGGCCTTTTGGCTAAGTTCAGGTGTGTATATGCACCTGTTTCAGTTTCCAGGTTTACAGGTAGCTGAAGAATGCTGGAATTGTAGGCCAACACAAATGGATAGCAGCAAGCTGCCATAACAATCATCAGCCTGAGCCTAGTCATATATAGGATTTTATATGCCATCCTAAAGAACAGCTAACAAGGCATAAGAAGAACTAAAGCAAGGTGCACTTTGAAAAACTATTAATAGTAAGATATAAGGAAAGGAGGGCAGATGTTGAAAAAAGTTTTGTGCTTCCTATTAAAAAAAAGTGGAGACTTCCATAATAATATCAAAGTGTTATAACTTAATCCATGTTTCAGAACTCAATTGCTTGGTCCATCTGCTAAGCCAAAGCATTTGCTTCTTACCTGAGAGATGGAGGCCTGGAAAGGACATGGGTTAAAAACTGTAATTAGCTTCCAGTCGTTTTGGTAATCTATCTCCTGGAGAGGAAAAAGCACAAGAAAAAAAGCTGTCACACTGCAAATCGATGAGGAAATGAGACTCAAGTAGGATGCTTTCCTGCCTTTAGGCTTGCCAAAATTAACATTCACGGAGTTTTGACTTGTGCCATTCATGCTAACTGGAAATTCTACAGACCTGACAGTAATCTAGTGACATTTGACTGTTTCCTATGAAGGCTGTTCATAGAAAAATTAACAAGCTTGAATTCTTTTTTTATTTAATAGTTTATCTCCTGTTCCGACCCCCTTGTAAGGAACCCAAGGGGGGCTTATATATGCTCTTTTTCTCTATTTTATTCTCATAACAACTCTGTAAGGTAGATTGGACTAAAGTCACCCAGTGAGTTTCATGGCTGAGTGGGGACTAGAACCCGGATCGCACCAAGTCTCAATCTGACACACTAACCACTATGCCACACTGGCTCTTTGTGACAACAACACATTGTTGTAGCCTAACCTTATTGTGAGAGATGTAGATAACATGTCATTCATATTAGAACTAAAGTGAAGCCATTTTCTACTGTACTATTCTCTCCATTCAGTGTAATGTGTATTCAGGACTGCATTAACCATTGTAGCTAATATAACCCTAAGAAATTAGAGGCCCTAAAACAATGTAATTACCTGAGGCCTGATTTCTGTATGCTTTTTAATATGAAGAAGTTACCCATGAGATGAGTTTCAAATCACTCAAACAACTTTGGGCTGGCCCTTCCATGAAATAGGATGAAGTGAGCTGCTTCAGGCAGCACTCTGAGGGGAGACAGAAGACAGCTGAATGGTGCAGCAAGACTTCTTAAATTGTTGGGTCCAAGCACCATTTGGACTTCACCACAGGCGGCAAGCTGTCTTTGGCCAGCATGAAAACTACTCAAAATGCAAAACCCTACTACAAACATAAACCTTTGTTGGCTACATCAGCTCAGTGCTTGCATACCTTGCTCTCTTTCATAGTCTTCACAAGTTCTTTAGCTTGATCAAAGAGATTCCTGAATCAGAAATGGAAAAGAAAAATGGTCAAGCGGACAAGCCTCCTACCTTCTGATGCATGCACATGAAATTCTAGCTACATTAACAGCCATGACAGCCTCCTGTCCTACATTGTTTGCATTGTGCCACACTCCTCTATTGTCCTTTGCTTCAACATGACATTGGATTCTTAAAAGTCAAGGGGAAAGGATATCACAGACACCCAGTGATCAGAAGCAGGACTTCAGTTTTCTGCAGAGGCTTTTACCACTGTTCACAATTAACCCAAACAAAACAAACTGTCCATAATTAAACATTCAGATCAGAACAATTTACACAGAACAGAATTCTTCTTTTCTTCAAGTACAGTGTTGGTAACTTTTGGTAGAAGCTTGTTTCAATGCAGAATAGCACAGGCCAGAGGCCATGTTCTCCATTGCAGTATATGGTACCAGCATGCATTGCACAGAAGGCAACAGAGTAGACATTTGGTCTATGACATCATGAGGTCATTGGTCTGCTTTGGTCATGTTTAAATTCCTGGTTTGTGTATAACTAGGAAGTTTTTATTTGCAATAACTACTATGGCTAAAATGATGACCTCCAGTAAACAATAAACAGGAACAAAAATAAAACTAGAACTTACGTAGTTCCATTTCTTGATGGAGCCCTGCTGTTTGCAAGAGCAGAGTGATATTGCACAGAAGGATTAAATCTGCTAACAAGAGCTGGAAGAGACACACATTCTGTTTGGCATATTCATAGGCTCTGGATCTGCTTGTCTAAATATAGCTTGGAATTAGATGGCCAGTGATCACTCAGTTTCTAGCTGGTATGTAAGGAAGTAGGGAATGGAGGCCTACTGTGGCAAAAAAATTTTATTTTATTTTATTAGAACATTTCTATGCCGCCCCTGGCCGAAGCCTCGGGGCGGCTTACAACACAATAAAATACAATAAAATACAAAAATAACAATATAAAATTAACATTAACATTATAAAATAAATAAAAAATATAAAATATAAAAGAAGTCGCCCTGGCCAGATAAATAAGCAAATATTGTTAACAATTAAAATGACACTTAAATAAAAAGGTCTTCGCCTGGCGCCGAAAAACAAATAACGATGGCGCCAGGCGGACCTCTCTGGGGAGCGCATTCCATAGATTGGGCGCCACCGCAGAGAAAGCCCTCCTCCAAGTACCTACCCTCCTAATTTCTTTCACGGAGGGTTCCCAGAGAAGGGCCTCTCCCGCAGATCTCAAGGGGCGGTCGGGCATATATGGATGTAAGCGCTTCTTCAGGTAACCAGGACCAGGACCCAAGCCGTTTAGACCCAATATGCAAATAACAATGCACATTGTTGAAAATATGCTACTGCTATTATTGGAACCACTTTCCGAATGCTTTCAAAAAAGCGGGCTGAGAAATAAATAAAATGAAAAACTGATAGCTGGAAAACCAAACTCAAAATGTTTGGACAGGGTGTCAAGAGGATCTGGTTTGTGACTGGTGTTCTTCAACATTTTTATCAACGACTTAGATGAAGGTGTGGATGGAAGACTACCCAGGTGTGCAGATAATGAAAAACTGGGAGGCATAACTAACACCTCAGAAGACAGGCATAACATTGCAAACGCACGTAATAAAATGTAGTAGTGGGCTAAGACCAACAAAATTAAATTGTGCAGAGGAAATGCTATGTTTCGCATTTAAGCAACAAAACAAAATTGAGATGCACTAACGTAGAAGGGGAATACCTGGCTTGGCAGCAGTACCTGTAAAAATGGTTTCAGGATTGTTGCTGATCACAAGCTGAATGTGTCAGAAGTATGATGTTGATGCAAAAAGGTTTAACACTGTTTTAGCCCTCATTAATAGAACCATTGTTTCCAAATCACAAGAAGTAATTGTTTTACTTTACTCTGCACTACTGCAATCTCAGCTTGAAAACTGAATCCAGTTCTGGGTAAAGCACTTCAAGAAGGAAATAGACAGACATGAATATGGGGTGGGATGGGGAATGGAAAATAAGTTCTCTGAGGTAAGGTTGGTGGGAGTATGTGAGTTTAGTCTGCAGAACTGAAGAAAAAGGGGGAATATGGTTGTAATGTATATATGGTTGTATTTATATTTATATGGTTGGATTTATATTGTATTTTAATTTTATTATGTTTCATGGTTTGTTTATTATTGTTATTTATTTTTATCTGTATTCTAAATATATTTATATTGCACTATGAGCTGTCCAGAGAGCCTTTGACTATGGGGCAGCATACAAATGCGATACATAAATAAATAAGATAGCAATATTTAAATATCAGAAGGGCTATCACATCAAAAAGAGCAAGGACTGTTGCTTCAGGGACAGAACTTGATGTAAGGGACTTTAGTTACAGGATGGTAGATTTTGGTAGATAAACTTTTTAATGGTAAGAATTGTTTGATGATGGAATCAATTACCTAGGGAAATGGTAGGATCGCCTACTTGGGAGAAAGGCCATCCGTTGAAGACATTCTAACTCAAAGGAGGGGTGCTAGAGTAGAAAGCCTACAGGCCCCAGCCAACTCTATGATTCTGTGATCACATGGCTAAGTAAAATTCTGTAGGCAACACCATTTTTTGGAATATTTGGCCATTGAACCATGTGATAAACCTTTTTCAAAGATGTAAATAATAAAACATACCTGTTAGTGTTTTCATGCTTGTCTGGATAAGATCCCTCTCTCTTCTATAAGCAGAAAAATCAATCAATCATTTTTATAGCATGCAGGAGAAAATATGTGCAAACGTATCAGGTCTTTTTTTCTTCTTTGGCTCCTTCACCCCACCCCACTCCTACTTTTGAAAACAGTCTTGAGTTTCAACATAACACAAGCTTACAATGTGGCACAGGTGGCCTAAACAGGGAAGGAACATCACTTTGGATTTGGCCTACATGCCAAGTCTCGGGCTCATTGGCTTCATTCATTACAAAGTAGAAGGAACTCCTATTAATTTAACAACCATCTACTTTTTGGTTTCCATTGTCTGATAGAATCTTTGTGATTCAGTGTAAGAATGAAGGCCAAACCAAATGGTTCATGCAAATACATAGAATAGCAGCCCAATGCATCATTTGGTAACACAAAGACCCATTCAGAGCAGGACAAATACATTTCTGGGGGAGATCTGGCCCTTTGCCCCTCCTGTTAATGTCCAGCTCTAAGTTACCTTAGCAAGACTCCCCACCAACAACAACCCCCATACTGCTGAGGGATTTAAATGTGTGTGCATGTTCAACATTTAAAACCCTGGGAGTAGATTTAGAGTCAGGAAATAGCATGCCAAAAAGGGCTATGAAATTTTTACACTTTCCTCCACCAGAAGCTGTTTTCCTCATCTAAATGGACAGCTGGAATACTGTTGCAATAATTTGGTGTACTATGTACTTTAGATTGGGGCTTACTGATTTTCTTTGGCTTAAGTTATTTTTATTAATTCTTCCAAAGAAACTGAAAAATAAACTTCACTGTTCAAGAGGTGAAGGCAACCTGGTAAGATTTTGGGCTACAGCTCCCATAAACCCTTGCCATCGTCCATGCTGATTGGAGCCAATGGTGCTGCCGTTCCAAATATGTGGAAGGAATTAGGTTGCTATCAGTGATACAGTGGAACCAGGCCTTGCTGACATTAGCATGGGTACTTTTTAATTAGCAGGGGTTCTGATTTCTTCCACACACACCCCCATCCCCTCAGGATTCCCTCTGAACTTAGCTGCACACCTCACAGTAACTCTGTGCAAATAATTTCCCCCAGCAATACTATACTGCTCCTTGCTGCACTGTGAAGCATCTGAGGAGCGGTTTGCTCCTGAATGGACCGAAGCTCCATGAGGTTTACAACAGACTTGCTCCTGGAGGAGATGAAAATGGCTTGAACTAGTTTGTTGGTGTGGACCAGCATAGCTGCTTGCATTTGGGGTGCTCTTGTCAAGTGCAGGCCTCCTGAAATTTCCCACACACCCCATCTTGCAAATCTTATAGTAAAGTATGAAGTAATACTCAGGGTTTAGAGTGCTTAATTATCTGCAGCTCTATTTTCCCCCTCAAAATAAATAATATTAGGATTGAAATTATGCCTGAAAGCCATTTAACTCCAGCTCATTTCACTAAGGTGGATTGACTATGAAGAAGGCCTGCTTCACACATTGCTTGATAGAAGGGGATTCCATTTCTTTAAAAAAAAGAAGTCAAAATAACAGGTTTTGTCATCTCCTTATGACATTCCGGGTGCAACCCTCTTCCTGTTTAGGCATCTCCAAACATGCATAGGATAACACCTTTCTTCTATTATCTCACTATTCTTTATAGGACTGGCTTGGCAGCTTGACCTGGATTTACAGAAGGTGCCAAGCAGCCCACACTGGTCCCTCTTCCACACTGGCTGCTACCAGAATCAGGCATCTTGCACAATAGGTAAAGTGACCGAAGCACATGGCAAAGCTGGAGCACCTTGGCAGGGGTCAAACATGTTTTATGAACAGGATGAAAAGTGATACCTTTGGAGTGGGTCTGCTTGGTCCACTCTGGAATTCCCAATCTGTAATTAAATACGTACCATAAAAGTGTCAGTAATAAAACAAATATAACTAAGTTGAGGAACATACAGTGAAATGTGAATGGCTGAAATACAACTTTCCATCTTTCCCTGTAAACCTGCCCTTCAATCCATCTCTAGCACCAAGGGGGGAACTGCAGCGGAGATTATTGTGCCTGTATGACTAGGGAAAGGGGAAAACATAGAAGGTTACCTGGGGAAACACACAGCTAAATAAGGAGGACTGCCAGGCTTCCTTATTCTAAGAATTTTAAAGGATTTTAAATTCCAGTCACAGGCCTTAATTCTGTAAAGAATATTACAGTCTGATTGTGTAGTGACAACCTATTACTAAGAAATAAAATATGGAACCATGTATACTCCATTCATCTAGCTTGTACTGGCCTTCTAGAGGTGAAGCTTTTGACACAGATTGACTTGAAACTTCCAGTTGTCTACAGGTACAGTGAAGTTTCTCTGTGGGAGAACAACATTGTCTGTTTGGCTATGATTAAAACCTCAAACATCTAGACCGACATTTTTTGTTCACATTTTACAACTAAAATATAACCTCATGCAGCAGTCTAAATTATTCAAATCATTTGTTTTATTTATTTATGAGATTTATGGCCTGCATTTTTCTGTTTTAAAGGACTGAAAGTGGCTTACATCATTCTCCTCCTCCTGCTTTCAATCTTATGCCCACAACCGCAACAATTGTATAATTGCTTCTTGTGAGGTAGGCTGGGCTGAGAGTCTGTGACTGGCCCAGCATCACCCAGGTGCTCCATGGCTGAGTGGGGACTAGAACCTGGATTGCCTCAGTCCCAGTCACACGCTCTGAACCACTGCACCTCGTTGGCTCTCGCTTGGTTAAAGACCAATTTATCTTCACTTGCATAATCCCCTTTTTGACAGCATTTATTGTTGTACTCAAGGGACTGCAGGTGGCGCAGTGGTTTAAACCACTGTGCTGCTGGGCTGGTTGATCGAAAGGTCGCTGGTTCAAATCTGCACAATGGGGTGAGCTCCCATTGCTCCGTCCCAGCTCCTGCCAACCTTGCAGTTCAAAAGCATGCAAATGCAAGTAGATAAAAAGGTACCACTTTGGTGGGAAGGTAACAGCGTTCCGTGTACTTCGGTGTTTAGTCATGCCAGCCACATGACCACGGAGACTGTCTGCAGACAAATGCTGGCTCCCTCGGCCAGGAAACGGAGATGAGCACCGCCCCCGAGAGTCAGGCATGACTGGACTTAACGTCAAGGGGAAACCTTTACCTTTACCTTTATTGTTGTACTCACATTTCCCAAGCTTCCTATCGCAGCGATTGTTTTAATGTCTGATGGTCCCAGAGTGTGAACTGTGGAGATAAAACATGAGCTCCAGATTAGAAAAATGGCAGTTTTTCAAAAGGCCATTTGTATTGATCAGAATACTGATGATGCAAAACAGGCCACAAGTATTGTATGGCAATTATATTCGTTTCTTCTGAAAGTGTTCCCTGCCGCGCCCCCCCCCACCAAAAAACCCTGTAACTGTCATTAGCACCATATCTTCAGCTCTTTTTCATTTCTCAGCTTGTGTATATGTAACCCAGTCTGTGCACCATGCTGCAATTCCTGGTTTATTTAACCCAGGAATTACTGGGGATGACCAAAGTGACAAGCATGCTGCCTCCAAATGTTCCTCATTTCCATTGTCAAATGGAATATCTCTCAGTGTAAGAGAAGACAGTAGGTTGGGATAACATGAACATTGCAACAGTGTAGAAGCAGAGAACAGAGGCAGGAAGTGTTGCTTTTGCCTGTATTCTTGTAACCTCAATTCTTGAGATAAGTAAAAGGTTGCTCTTATTGTAAAATGTTGCTGTTTATAGTAAGATTTGTTTATAAAAACAATGCAGAGTAAGTTGGAAAACTACTGTGTGCTTCCTTATGCCTTTCTCTTATGCTTTATGGCATGCATAAATTTCTGGCAGACTGACAGAAATGTGTTTCTGTAGTGCTGTGCTGTTCTTATAAAATCATTGCTTTTCTTTAACTTTCAGCAAAAATCTTCTTTTCTTTAACTTTCAGCATACCTATTTGATTACCTAGATTCTGACACGACCTGGGAATTCCCATTCCTGGATTCTTCAATGATACACTAACCTGAAACTCTGTGCTGTTTATGGGTTAAACAACTCGGAGTTAACTTAGAAATAAACCACAGACATTTGTTGGATCAACTGTGGTTTGCTTAATGCACAAACAGCCATGATTTTCTGGGGAGTGCCTGTGTTGTTAAGTGAAGTGATTTATTCAAGATTCAAGGGTGCCTCACAGAGATACTCTGTAATAGCTAATTTTTTAAAGTTGAGAAATAAGAAAATTCATGAGGACTGACTGGTGTACATTGTATAATTGCTTCTCTAATGGTTCATCTTGGAGTAAATAAGTGCGCTTGGCTTCCACATTTTACTCATTAATGCCTTCTTTTGTCTTACTATTTCCTCTATATAAGTATTTCAAATACAAATACCTGAACTTGAGGCTGGCTGAAAGGAGTGCTGCCACACAAAGCAATCATGAAAGCCCTTTGAAGAAGAATAAACAATGATTAAAGAAAGAAAGAAAGAAAATGTGGAATTCTTAAAGTCACACAAGGCAGAGGGATAACAAGGATGGATTAAGATGGTCAGTCCAAGACTGCTGACAATACAAGTTCACTCTTCCTAGAAAATATTTTCCAATAGGCCAGATGACCAAAACCTACAACATTGTTTAGGAAAATGAATGTGAGCAAAATGGCCATCCTCAACCTATATTTCAAGTATTGCTCTTATTTTCCAAGAATAGGATATCTTGTAAGAAGGGCATCCTCTCTCCCCTTCCTCCGAATATAAGGTTTGCCCATGCGAACATTCTGTTTCCCCACAAGGCCTGTTGGCATTTTGTCCACCCTTTTGAAAATGGTATGTGGTCTCCGAGGCTTCAGGAAACTCTCTTATGCACAAGTTCCCCTGAGAACTCTCTCTAAGCCTTGAGAACTCAGGAAGTTCCAGATTCCCAAATTATCAGTGGACCTCCCTGTATGGAGATGACACGCATCATCATAATCACTATTGCTATTGTTGCATTACATCTATAGCTCACCCTTCTTCCTCTTGCAAGGAAGCTTACAAGAGTTTCTTCCTCTCCATTTTATCCTCACAACAACCCTGTGAGGTAGGCTAGGCTGAGAGTATGTGACTGGCACAAAGTCACCCAGTCAATTCATCGTTGAATAAGGGCTAGAACCTGGATCTCCTGAGTCCCAGTCCAACATTCTAACCACTGCACCACATGGGGTCCATCATTCATAATGATGGAGTATTTCCCAGAAGTCAGCCTCTGGCACTGTAGTTACAAAGCTGTTCTGACAGTAGGAGTGAAATTGAGATTCTGGCAGTAGACGCTGGGAGTGGGGAGCAGAAATTAGACATGGAAAGGCAGAGCTGTACATGCCACGTGAGCTTAGGTGTGGTGAAGGGCGGCACCAGTGTTGAAATAAGATCCAGCTGCCAGTCTGGTTGCTATGTTGTTATGTACTGTCAAGTTGTCTCTGAGTTATGGCACCCCTATGAATAAGGCCCTCTTGCAGGTCCTGTCCTTGAGTCCCCTGCTCAGCGCTTTCCGCGGCTTCCCTCATGCAGTCAGTCGATTTCATATTTGGTCTTCTGCCTTCAACTAGCATTACTGTCTTCTCCTGTGGACTGCCAGTCTGCTCAGCCTCCCTATGTGGAATGGAGGCTGAGGGACCCATCTAAACTTTTGCCTGAGCTAGCAAGATGTCTTAGTCCAGCCCTGTGTAGCACCACGGCTTCCAAGGAAGAAAGAAGACAGTGCCAGACACAAGATTCTGCAGGCAAGTAAAATTCTAGGGAGAAGAGGTTGCTATGGGTTCCTTGAACAGTGGAGGCCTGGCAGTACAGCTTCAAAAAGCTTTCGTGCCCTTGGGAGATGACCTAGTATCATATAAACAATTATGCGATCATGTCCTGTATGCATGGATGTCCATGGATTTATCTGTAGGTGAGGGTTCAGTTTTGGCCCTCAATGGTAAATCAAATTTAAAAGCAAGCCAGGTTCAAAATATCAATCCACCCTTTCATCCAGTAATACAGAGAAGAAGAAAAAATACTTGCCTCCAGTCTCATTTCATCTTTGATATTGTTCTTGGCTGTCAGAATATGAGCTGAAGTCCCTTTAAGAAAAAAGAAAAGTTTGCTTTCATTTTCTGTCCTTTCCCCACTTTGCTTCGTGTGATCTATCTGCTATTGATCCATATAGTATTTTATATTCGTAGATTTAAATTGTCATTTATTAAGTTCAGGTGTAGTTTGGGCTGCAGAATACAAATAAGAGGACATGCATGCACAAATACATCAGTGAAAAACAGTCTGTGGATTTTTAACACTGTTCCAAGAAGAGAGAAATGACTAAGACTCTGTACACACTGGGGAATAAGTCCCACGGAATTCAGCAAATGCTTACGTCTTATGCTTACATGCATAAAACCGCACTGTAAATACTATGACCACAGACCCCTCTAACAAAAAAGAACTAACGCAACAAAAGGTCAGAAGAGGGCACTGAGTACCATAACATTTGCACATGCTGATTCATTTGTATTGATGCATTTAGGAATAGTAACTATAATTTGTATAGGAATACAATAACCTAATTCTAGCAGGGATGCTTGTCAGCAGCTGACTGAAGAGGGAGAGACCCAACATGGCTGGCCCCAGCCAGAGCCAGGCAGTGAAGTCCGTGTTGCAGCTGACGAGATTGCTTTGGAAGAGCCTTGGGAAAGGTGGAGGGTCAAGCATGAGCATCCTAGGTCCAAACAGGAGACGCCGTGCGGGCCTCCCTTAAAAGCAACATGCTGTGCTGATTTCCAGACAGCCCTGCTCTCCGTGGCAGACAGTGGCATTTCGACTCAGTGCTCTGCCTTGACCTTTTGGGCTGGATGGATGCCTCGTCTTCTATCCGCCTGGACCGCACTCTCGGCCACTCCTGCCTGACTTGGACACTTGGCATGACAAACCCAACAGACTGACCACTGGGCTGGTTTCTCCCTTTGGTAACTCCCTGAAAATGCTTCAGATTGGGCTAGGCACTCACTGATGCGGGAGCAGGATAGTTTGGCTGCTGTCCCTGTTTTCTGCACCTCCCCACTGGCAAAATTTTATTTGTTTATTTATTTATTTAAAGTATTTATATGCCATCCTGTCGTGAAAGCCTCAGGATGGATCACATAGATAAAATACAATAAAATATAACATAAATAAAATTATCTACCCACACTGGCTGCAAAAAAAACATATAGGTCATGATATTAAAACTTATTAAAATATTGCTGAAATAAAAAGGTCTTACCCAGGTGCCGAAAAACATATAACGACGGCACCAGGCGGACCTCTCTGGGGAGCGCATTCCATAGGCGGGGCGCCACCGCAGAGAAGGCCCTCCTCCGGGTACTTTGCCTCCTAATGGCTTTCACGGAGGGTTCCCGGATGAGGGCCTCTGCTGCCGATCTCAGGGGGCGGGAGGGCAAATACGGAAGAAGACGTCCCTTTAGGTATCCAGGTCCCAAGCCATTAAGGGCTTTATATGTAATAACCAGCACCTTGAATTGAGCCTGGACTTCAATGGGAAGCCAGTGAAGCTGATAGAGGACTGGGGTTATATGAGAATAAAATGTGCTATAGAAGAAGCCAGTCCTTAGTGATTAGGTTGCTCAGTTTGCTGCTGCAGAACTATCCTGAAGTCCCAACAAAGGCAACTGTATATTTATTTATTTATTTATTTATTTAAACATTTCTATGCCACCCCTTGCCGAAGCCTCGGGCGGCTCACAGCACAAAATAAAATGCAATAAAATACAAAAATAACCATATAAAATTAACAATATAAAATAAATAACAATATAAAAGAAGTCGCCCTGGCCAGATAAATAAGCAAATATTGTTAACAATTAAAATGACGTTTAAATAAAAAGGTCTTCGCCTGGCGCCAAAAACCTTTTAATGACGGCGCCAGGCGGACCTCTCTGGGGAGCGCATTCCATAGATTGGGCGCCACCGCAGAGAAAGCCCTCCTCCGAGTACCTACCCTCCTAATTTCTTTCACGGAGGGTTCCCGGAGAAGGGCCTCTCCCGCAGATCTCAAGGGGCGGGCAGGCATATATGGACGTAAGCGCTCCTTCAGGTAACCAGGACCCAAGCCGTTTAGGGCTTTATAGGTCATCACCAACACCTTGAATTGGGCCCGGACTTCAATGGGAAGCCAGTGAAGCTGACGGAGGACTGGAGTCATGTGAACATAACACCCAGTCCCCGTCAGCAGCCTGGCAGCTCTATTTTGAACCAATTGAAGTATCCGGACCGTCTTCAAGGGTAGCCCCGTGTAGAGCGCATTACAGAAGTCAAGACGGGAAGTCACCAACGCGTGTGTCACTGTCGCCAGGCAGTCGTACTCCAGGTAGGGGCGCAGCTGATTAATCAGCCGAAACTGAAGGAAAGCGCTCCTCGCCACCGCTGTCACCTGAGCTTCCAATGAAAGCTCCAGGTCGAGGAGCACTCCTAAGCTGCAGACCTTGTCCCTAAGAGGGAGTGCAACCCCATTCAGGACTAGGTCAAATCCACCCTCTCCGAAGCCCGATCCGCCAACCAACAGGACCTCCGTCTTGTCTGGATTGAGCTTCAGTTTATTGGCCCTCATCCAGCCCATTACCTCAGCCAGGCATCAGTTCAGCACAGCCACTGCCTCACCTGGATTGGTGGAAAACGAGAGGTAGAGCTGGGTATCATCAGCGTACTGATGATTCCGCAGCCCACACCTCCTGATGACCTCTCCCAGCGGTTTCATGTAGATGTTAAACAGCAAAGGGGACAAAATGGACCCCTGCGGTACTCCATGGCATAGCTGCCATGGCACAGAGCCATAGTCCCCCAGCACCACCTTCTGGAATCGGCCATTGAGATAGGAGTGGAACCACTGCAAAGCAGTGCCTCCGATCCCCAATCCCGCTAGCCTATCCAGAAGGATACCATGGTCGATGGTATCGAAAGCTGCTGAGAGGTCCAGGAGAACCAACAGGGACGCACTCCCCCTGTCCTTCTCCCTGCACAGGTCATCGTACAGGGCGACCAAGGCAGATTCAGTACCATACCCGGGACTGAAACTGGACTGAAATGGGTCTAGTTTCATCCAAGAGTGCTTGGAGTTGTCCCGCCACCACCTGCTCTAACACCTTGCCCAGAAACGGGATGTTGGCCACAGGTGTATAGTTAGTGGCCATCTCTGGATCCAGTGACACTTTCTTCAGGACCAGTCAAAGTACCGCCTCCTTTAAAGGGGCAGGCACCCGACCCTCCCTCAGAGAAGCGTTAACCACTTCCAAGATCCAGGTCCCAATCCTGTGCTTGGAATTGGGCAAGGGTCCAATAGGCAAGTGGTGGGACGTACTCATCCAAGCACCTTGTCCACATCATCGGGCCGCAATAACTTAAATTCATCCAATAATTCTGGACCAGATGGCAGCATTGGTGTCTCCCCAGAAACCTCTGATTCATTAGTGGTGTCCAGCTCGTGATGAATCTGAGCGATTTTCTCCCTGAAATGCCTGGCAAAGTCATCACAGTGGGCCTTTGAGGGTGGAACCGGATCTTCCTTATGACCCGGGCGAACCAGGCCTTGCACCACTTGAAAAAACTCCGGCAGACGGCATTGTGAGGAGGCAATGGAAGCAGAAAAAAAACTTCTTTTTCGCCACCCTCACCGCCACAGCATAGGCCCGATAATGGGCTCTCAAGTGTGTTCGGTCAGATTCATCCCGTGATCTCCTCCACCTATGCTCTAGCCGTCTCCCAACCTGCTTCATTGCCCGCAATTCAGGTGTATACCAAGGGAAAGAGTATACTTCGCTGCCTGCATCTGGCTGAGGCTGCCGCCATGGCTCTCCCCCTGTTCTGCTTCATCCTCCAGCCACAAGACCCTAACATATAGCCACAAAATAGTTTCAAACTGGTTGAACCGTCCTTCGGTCCTAAGAGAGGACAATAAGAAATGCATCTTTATGAGGCATGGGCTAGAAAGCTCTAGCAGTTCATTGAGTCAAAATTCATAGGATTGTCTGAGGGAAAGGCAGACCATTAAGATGAAGGCTCTGTTGGCAGTACAGCAATAGGGTTGGATCCAGGATTTGCCTTGCACAAGAGGAGGGGACGCTTCTGCTCGTGGAGGGACCCACCACTTGGGGATGCCCTTTCCAACATCGCAGCTGGCCCCATCTAGCATCTGCAAGGGGATGGAGGGGCTGCCATAGGAAGGCAGGAGTGAACACGTCTCCTTCTGTCAGTGCCAGTGCACATATGGATCCGACCCATGCAATATTGTAGCAGTGGAACTCAATAAGCGTTTCATGCTCGCCCGGGTCTACAGAAAAAGCAAAGCTATTGTCCTCTTTGATGCTGCTGAGTTTGCAGGTAAGGGTCTTTAATGAGCATGGTGCTATGCGGTTTGAATATCTCTGCGTTCTACCACCAGTCCAAATCCTCCAGCTGCAGCCAGACTCCTGAAGGCACAAAGTGACCAGCAGCAACCAGTTCTCCCCATCAGCCCCCTGGTGTAACTCTTTCCTGCAACTCAACACACACCCACAGAGACACCTGACTTGGAGTACCGTTCATTTTCCTCCTCCCAGAGATGTGGCCACATACATTGCCTGAGGTTCAAGCAAAGGCTCTCCTTTGGGACATATCTGGAAGGGTTACAAGGGACAAGGGCCTTACCTAAGAAAAAGGACAGCCAGAGGGAGATGGGCAGTTTCTTCATGCTTTGCTCCTGTGTGAAGAAATGCTCCTGGAAAGGTTTCAATTCTGCTTTACAGTGATCTATGTGTGGTCAAGAAACCGTCTCATCTTCCAACTTCTTTTTTATATCTTAGTGAACAGACAACTCAGCGGTCATAAATTTTATTGGCCTTTCGCCTTTGAAATGCAGCCTTAGAAGCAAATGATAAAATATTAACATTTCAATGCCATTGCTTAAAAAGACAAGTGTCATGTACTTTATACATCATTAGTTTGTGAGAGAAGAGTGTTTTTTTTTTTTAAGGAAGATCGTTTGCCCTTTAAATAAAGACACAGAACAGGTTCCCATTTTTTATACACTGGTATAATGTAAGCTTTCATTTCTGTGGCTATCAGATTTAAATAGACATACCACATCAGTTACATTCCTCCGGTCACCTATATTTGCAGACTTCTATAGAATGGTAAATTGCTTTATAATCAGTATCTTACTAGGAGTGGAAATAAAGAGAAAAAACTATGCCGTGTTAGTGAATATGCAATATTAAGATGGGTATTAAGAGGGCACACTTTACATAACTGAAGCTGCTCTGCAGAGGAAACCTTCTTGCAAGGCCACTGTGCAAATAAGATGAACAAAGCAAGCTTCACAAGAACTTCCCCGTGAGTCAAGGAAGGTCAGAGTGTGCCAGTCAACCAAGTCTAACCTTAACTGACTTAGAGCTATAGACTTGCAAAGTTTGCATTGTTTATCTTAATTGTGCTCAGGAACACAGGAGGTCCTATCCTACCAAGGAGGTCTTCTTTCCAATAACAGCTCCAGTTGGGCAGAGTGATTCCAATGACTTTTGTTAGGAAAAACATGGAGTTAGCCACTCTGCTCCTAGAATGGTACCTGTCTTTCAAAGGGGAAACCGGGGGGGGGGGGGGGGGAGGGAACCTAATAAAATAAAATGAAGTGAACTCTAGTGATACAACAGACACTTTCAATATTTTGGAAACACGACAGTCTGGCCACCTAGGAAGGCCTCAGCAATTATATGTGACCTATAAATAAATAAATACATAAATACATAAATTCTGAGTTAAATTACTACAAACAATAATGCTGTGCAAACAAGCCGATTGCACAAAAGTTGTAGGAAAGCTCCACAATACTAAAATGGTTTCCATGTCAGCTCCTTTGTATCCCTTCCTGTATACTAGAACACCAATGTGCTCCAAGGGCCCTTTATCACAAGCAGAAACTGAAAGCGATGGTGTGATTGCACAACGAAGTCTTATTTGGAACCATTATTGTGGAATCACAACTCTGTGGTGTTTAACATGAGCATGGAAACGCCTGCTTGATAAACAAACACTGCGAGTTTCTATTTCGCTTTGCTTGAATTCCACATTTCATATGGAAGACCCTGTTCTGCTGTTTGTTAGAAATCGCATCACAGCAGCTCCTATTTTAAAGTGAACTTAACATAAAGATAAGAAAAGACCTGCTGGATCAGCCCAGCCGTCCACTAGGCCAGCATTTTGTTCATTCACTGGCAAACCAGCTGCCCATGGGAAGCCTCAAGCAGGATAAATGCACCAGCTTCCACCTGGCAACGCTCCCCAGAAAAATGGTAGGCACAGGCACACTGCCTCTGATAACCGGTGGGAACCAGCCGTGAAGACTAGTAGCCACTGATAGCCTTGAATTTCTCCAATGTCCTTTTAATACCATCCATAACAATGAACTCCATAGTTTAACTGTGTGCTATGCAAAACAGAGCTTCCTATGTGCCCCAAATCTCCCACCAATCAGCTTCAGGGGATGAGCCCAGGTTCTAGTATTATTGCTTACCTGAATCAACATTTGCACCCCCCCCCCCCCATGTGAACCCATTTTCCCATTGCTATTTGCATTTCCCTGAATTTTGTAGTGGAGTTTTCCAATCCGAAAGTTGCATACAAAAATGTATATATTAGGGGAAATAACATAAAAATGTTATATTAGGAAAATTGCTTGCAAAAGGTATACAAGTACATGTATGAGAGGAAATGTGCAGGATAATGCTCCTGAATTTTCATAAGAACATTACAAAAAACCTCAAAGTGCAAGATGAACTGAATATAAGAACGGGGACATTCTTTAAGTCCAACATGAACCAAAAGATTGAGGAAAAATGACAGTGGAGATAAAATTAATATGAGAAAATGAGCCATCCTTGTCAGAGGTGTTTCCTAATGGCATAGTCAATGGTGCTTTGCAAGAAGGCAAGACAGACAGACAGACATATGGACAGATGGACCTGGCCAGCAACAAACAGGCATTGTTGCTGCTGAACTGCCAGCTCAGGATGGTAGCAATCACCATGGAGACACGTCTTCCCAAGCATCCCTTGCCCAACTCTCACCCTGCCTAACAGTAGGGCCGGCCCTGAAAAAGCAATGGAGGTAGTACTTACATTCAGTGTTTTTACTGAGTGGATCTTGAATATTCTTCTGTGCTGTTCTCTCAAAGACACAAAGGACAATGTTGTAGTTGTAGAAAAGAGGTAGCTGAAGCATTGGAGATATGCCTCATGCCTTAAACCATTCCTTGTTGGCCACCATGGAACATATCTAGGCTGCTTTGCCTTGATCAATGCGCCCAATGGCAATAGGATAAGATGTCTTGAGCAGTGGTGGGGAACTGAAATTTTTCTAGGACAGTGCACCGGTTTAGGCCTAATAAAAGCCTTGAATTTGGAGGGGGAGAGAGTCAATGCATTTCAAATCAAATGACTCAGGATAATTTCCAGTCTGTTCTCATTTTCTAGAGGTGCATTCTTACAAACTGGGATCTTAAGGCAAACAAAAACCCAGGAAGAGCAAAATTAGATGGAGGGCTTAAGAGAAAGAAGAGCAATTGATGCAGTGGGCCATCCTTAGGCAGAAGAGGTAGCTGCCTCAGGTCTCATGAGGCAGTAGAATGCTAATGAATTAATTAATCCAAATGCATTTTTAACATCAATGTGGGGAGAAGGTTGTGGGATTTTAGGTCTTAGGAACTAAAATAACTTGGCTGGCTTTGAGCAGTATAAGCTCTGGACTGCTTCAGGTAGCAAAACATCTTCGGCCAGACAATCCTGAAGTCCAGCTTATGGGAGAGCGGAAAGATGTTCCACCGCCAAATACTAGAAAATATGAAAATTGCAGTTGGCACAGAGGAAGCACATAGAGGGTGACAGTGAGGGATCAGTTCTGTACCCCCCCCTTTGATGCTCAATGGATTATTCCTTAGTAGCCTTTGTGCTTCTTAGCTGCTTTCTAGTGCCATGCGCTGAGTATTTATTTATTTGTTTGGTTTTTTTTTTTTTTTTTTGGTATGCCGTCCTATTTGCATAAGCCTCGGCACGCCTTTCAACATAATAAATAAACAATCAACCATATAAACAGATACATATAAAAACTGGATTCACCCTGGTTAAAATATTTAAAACCAATAAATAAAATTAACAATTATTAAAGTATCGTTTAAATAAAAAGGTCTTGGCCTGGCGCCGAAAAACAAATAATGACGGTGCCAGGTGGACCTCTCTGGGGAGCGCATTCCATAAGTATTGCTCTAAATCAGGGTTGGGGACCTAGTCCAATTCACAGTAGTCCCATGTAAGACTCGTTACAGCAGACCAGCCTAGATGCCACTCAGAAGACAGGCTGACACAGGAGAAGCACACCAGACTCACAGTGTACATCAATCCCAAGCTGGAGACCCCAGGCGCAAATGGTACATCAAGCCCAACAGTCCTGAAAATTCTGCTGGAGGGGAGGACCAGCATGCCAGAACGCCTCCATCCCTTCTGTCTGATCAGGCTTCCTCAAGCCCAGCTCCAGGGTCTCTTTGCTGCCCACTTCCTTAGGTCAGGCCTCATCCCCAGTGCCCACTCACATAAGCCTTATTCGCCCTGCTAAACCTGGCACCCCAGCTCCTGATCCTGCTCAACCCGATGCCCTCCACATCTTCTGGACTGCAGGTCCCAGAATTCCTCTCCAATGGCTGTGCTGTCAGGGCTCATGGGAGTTAATGCTCAAAACACCTGGAGCACACTGGATGAGGGAAGGCTGAAAGAGGGAGAGAGATTTCAAGCAGCATCTGCTCCCTTCCACTTGGCTATGGGCAACATGGAGGCCAACCCAGAGACTTACGCACCCAGTTAAAAAAAAAAAAATCCTTACCAGGTAACTCTTAAGAACAGCTCATTCCCTTTGATGCCAGCCTAAGATCTGCATCCTCTCCATCATGTCATGGGCAAGGGCCAAAGTAAGAGAGAGGAAATAGCAAGAGCTCTTGTAACATAAAGGAGATGTCACAACTTTGGTTCCATCACTTCCTTTTCTGTTGCTTTCGGGAAGCATCAAGAGCAAAAAGATATTATGATAAGGCAGGAAACAGACTAGCAAAGTAATATTTCAACGCATAAGACCTACTTTAAAATTAGATTTCCAATGACTGAACGCCTAGTCACTGTAAATATATTCAGGCTCTGAAGTATAATAAACTCAGGATGGGATTATATATAAACCACTACATGTTAGATGCTTTCAATCACTTAATTCAGTCTTGTGACATTTTTAAACACCCTGACAGCTTTTATTTAACTGCAGTGCAACAGTGTGGCAATGGCATTGATGAAAAGGGATTAAAGTGCCCGAAACCTCACACTGCCAGCGTCCTGGATGCTGCTTGTGAACCCAGAATCTCAGGTTATTCAACCCATTTTAGTTCTCTTCCTTTTTTTAACAAATAAGGTATTTGCATGCCCAGTAGAGTTAAAAGGCTCTAACCATTTGCCATGTTACACTGAGTAGCGCACGGCACAATTTCCATCTCTGTGGCTAAAATGAATTCATTGCGCTTTTGGATTTTCTTTTTGAAATGACCTTGCTCCTGACTCATGTCAAGTTCCTATGCAAGCAAAACATAAAACAGTGAAAAATGAGCAGGTTGTTCTTACAATCATGGCTGGTGCATTATCATAAGGAAGGGAGCAGCAAAAGGTAGACCTGCAGATGTTTTGGGCTTCCACTCCAATGCTGGGAACTGAAGTCCAAAACAAGTGGAGATAAATTTTCTGCCCTCCCCTGTCATAAAATTTGACTCCTAAAACGAAAATGAAAATGAAAATGTTGGATGTGATATTTGTTGGGCTATACTGTCAAATCTCTGGTAACGGCTTGGGTCCTGGTTACCTGAAGGAGCGCTTACATCCATATATGCCCAGCCGCCCCCTGAGATCGGCGGGGGAGGCCCTTCTCCGGGAACCCTCCGGGAAGGATATTAGGAGGGTGGGTACTCGGAGGAGGGCTTTCTCTGCGGTGGCGCCTAAGTAATGGAATGCGCTCCCCAGAGAGGTCCGCCTGGCGCCATCATTATTTGTTTTTCGGCGCCAGGCGAAGACCTTTTTATTTAAGCAGCATTTTAAATGTTAATATTATTGAATTTTATCTGGCCAGGTTGGATATTTTATATTGTATGTATTTTATTTTAAGGTTTATAGTTTTAATTATAATTAAACTAATTGTTGTAAGCTGCCCCGAGGCTTCGGCAAATGGGGCGGCATATAAATGTTTTAATAAATAAATAAATAAATAAATAAACTAAATGTAGAAATGAGCCTCATCCTAACCATGCTTACTCAGAAGACACCAATCTCCATAGGCTGATGTCCTTGTGACTACATGCTAGATTCCAACATGGGTACTTCCTTGGTTGTACAGCAATACCTAGGGTTGAAAATAATATTATTGGTTGGCCCAGCCATTAGGTGCTGGGCCAACCAATACCCTTCACTTCCATACCCTTCACTGTCTAACCCCATAAGGAGTTGTACAAGATGTAGTACACTGAGCACTTCTTCACACACGATTTTTTCTTGCCAGTGGTGTAATGCCTTCATACAAATCTGTACTCATCCAGTCAATGCATCTCAAAAATCATTTTGTAGAACTGGAAACAGTGCAGAAAAGATGGTGCGGGATAAACACTGTATGATTTATAATTAGGAATAAAAATAAAATACTTTTCCACATGCATATTGGGGTGGGAAGCCACTTTTTCCATGCACAGCAGAAAGGTGCCTTTTCTGTTGCAAGTGAAGCATTTCTCCAGAATTAAGCATGGGTGATTTTCCTCTGATCAATATTTGCTTTTTAGTAGCTTTTGATCCCACCCTGCTTCCAAGAACAGGCCAGCATGCATCCCCCTCTTCTTTTATCCTTACCAGAAGCCTGTGAAATACATTAGGCCTCACACTGCCCCATGAGTATAATGGGATTTGAATTGGGATCTTTCTGGTAAATCCCATCACACTACAGCAAATTGATTCACTGTTAAACAGTGTTGACCTTGGTTATATGACCGGCTGGATACAAACTGCAACCCAATGTATCCTCTCAGATATTTTGGAAAGGTCTGAACTAAGACGTCATATTTTTGGCACTGTGGTTGAGCGCTCCCCATGGGAATATTTTCATTTGAGAGACAAAGAAACCTTCCTCCAGTTCTTGCATCCCAGGGACACTTCTGCCATCTGCTGGACACAAGGAGAATATTGGATGCACCTTAAAAAGCAAAAATGTATCATGTGTCTCTTCACTTAACTTCTTTCTACATAGTGATACTTTAGGACAAAATACAGATATACAATGGTATCTCAGCTCACAAATTTAATCCGTTCCACGATTCTGGTCACAACCTGAATTGGTCACGAGCCAAGTCAAATTTCCCCATAAGGGTCAATGTAAATAAGGTTAATCTGCTCTGTAAATATTTTTGCATCACAAAAATTTGAAACCAAGTAACAAAGAACAACAAAGAACAAAGTACAGTACAGTGGAGAACACTAACCTAGGTGTGGGAGAGGTTATTGTTTGGAGGGAGAGTCCCCCTCTATAAGGACACTGGGGAGATCCCTTTCAGGGGTTTCCTCTCTTCTTTGTCTCTTAGCTGCAGGGTCAATTTTGGGGGGAAATCTGCATGTTCTGGTCACTTTCATTACTGCTCCGCCCTTTCTTTTTACCATCATGCTTGCTCTGCAGTTTCTTTGGAGCAATTATTCAATAAGCTTCACAGCAAGTGACCACAGGTCTATCTGCAACCACAAGTGGGGAAGGTGGCCGCGATCACGGTCATGCCCGGGCGGGGCAGGGGAGATGGCTGCGATCGCGATCATGTTCGTGCAGGAACATGGCCGCGATCGTGGTCGTCACCTGATGTGGAGTTCGCGACCTGAGGCAATTTTTCCCCGAAATTTCTGTTCGCCACCCGATTTGGTCATGAACTGAGGTGTTCATGAGCCGAGGTACCACTGTAGTTTCACTCTCCCTCCCTCCCTCCCTCCCTCCCCCACTCCCTTCCCCCCCCCTTCATTCTCTCTTGTAGCTCCCAAATTATTTATTGTAAATATAACATCAAACAAAAGTTCACCAAATGATACAGATGAAAAAAGGGATGTCCAGCTCCATTCACACAACCATTTTCTACTCCTTGTGCCCAAAATATCTCAGGGAAGCAGCTGTGGCTGCAGCCAGGAT